ATATCGTTGTAAAATTGAGTTCAATGATAACTAAAGCTTTAAATAAATTCAAGATTTTTTGAACAAAATGTCCTTCAAAAACTACTTTTTGAAATTAAAAAAAAAGTTTCACATATCACACTTTGATAACATTAGGTAAGACTACAATATAAGTCAAAGTGGTTTAAACTTTATATGGGGGCTTTAAGCATTACATTTTTAAGTATTTACTTTAGAATTACTTATTTTTAGGAAATCTGTTATTTCAAGTAACTCATTTTGTTCTCAGAAGTACTTCATCTCAAGGTCCTCCCCTCTATGGGGTTTTATCCAAGTCAGTTTATCAAGACAGTATTATTAAACATTAAATCAAATATGTAGGTTAAAAATTTAATGAAGAACCAAAAAGTCCATATTACCTTGTCATAGGTCTCTGCTGTATTCTTGTAATGATTGTGCACTTCATCATATTCAGCAAATGTTGAAAGTTTATAAAAGGCATTCTTCGCGTTATCTTCATAAATCTTGTCTTCAGTTTCCATGTTCTGCATACTTTCATTCATAGTCTACTCAATCCAATGATTATAGCTACTTGGGATTCAAATGAAAAAAATGTTTATATTAATTATGCACACGGGTAGGAGTGGAAGATTTGTCCACTATGGGGGATCAAGATATTTTCAAACTTATCAGCAATGATACCATATTGCATGGAATATTGTCATTTTTTTCAGTATAATGAAACATCCGAGCTAAAAATAAGTTTTTCTTGGAATTATTTTATGAAATGTAACTTGATCTACCTTATGTAACAAATCTTTCGATGACCCTACGATAGAGCAGAATGTAAATTTTGTTTTTTTCATTTTGATTCTTTTCATATGTTGATTTATTATCCCATCGAAGTCTTAAATAAAGTTGATCCTTGTGCGAGCCCTACACTTATCTATTTTGTCAGAAACTGATATAATACATGTAGTTATTCCGTGGTATAAAAATCATTTCAAAGGTAAAAAGGAAGAATGTCATTGACTTTGGAAGAGAAAGTATTATATGGTCAGAAATATCCAATTTTTACCATAACTGTTTCACATTTCAACAACTAATATGCATTTTATTTTGCATGTTTTCCTGCAATTATTTGTAAAAATAGTTTTAAATCTTACACTTTTGACTGGAAAGTGAAGAGACAATGAACAAATATACTCTTATTATTGGTCACATTTGGTATCATCACCCAAACAGATATCGGGATTTTTTTTAGTCCAGGCATATGAGGACACTAGTGTGAATTAAATGGTCATATTATATGTTGCTTGATTAAGCTAAACATATGTTGAACCTGCTTTGGCCATTAAACTTTAAGTTTGCTTTAAATTTGGATTTCAGGAAACATATCCGCCTACTGATCCAAGTCAGAAATACTAGAGAAAGTAACTCTCATGAAAATCTTCGTCAGTGTGACTGAAGATTACTGATTGCAGCCATTAAATTAATGACCTCATATTAGGATATCCTCTACTTACAACTATTATTTTAAAAAATGTATATTTTTCAAACTCATCTTTTTGACAGTCGCACCTTAGTGCAAGCTGTTTAGCCCTTTTGTGTCACTGTTTTGACTGCAGACAAGTAAAAATGAATAGATAATAGATCAATCTATAATGACTATATTTAAAGTCAACGTAGCTGAATTTTTTTTTAAGTGGCAAGATAATGAAAAACAATACCCATGATATATTTCCTAACTTATATACAAGGCATATTGAATTACATAAGTATGATACAAGAGAATCCTTTGGAAGAAAGATGCTTTCATTTTCCGGACCATTTATTTGGAATGGCCTCCCTTCAGAAATTAAAAATCAAGGTCGAGTAAATGCCTTAAATCTAAATATAAGAAACATATTTTGGCTTTGTATACACAAAGGCTGGTATCGAAAGATTTCTGCTGTGACGGAGCATGCTATTTTTCATAAAAACACTAAGAATGCTTCACGATTTATTTTTTAACTCATATGTTTCGTTATATCAAAGATAATTACTTACTCCATGCAATCGATATATCATTTGGGTGTAACCTCCACTTCTGTTTGAAGTCCAATAACGCTAGGAGTAAAATCTATTGAAAACGGCGCCAGAGTATCAAACTCTAAAATGTACCATTTCTTTTTTAACATTTTAATGGCATGATATAGTGACACGATAATATTAACATATGTTTTCAGCATAACTCTGAATGTATTAATTAGATATTAATGCATTGGGTCTTTTAAATTTTTTTATAAAAAATAATATTAATATTTTTTGTCCGCTGTGACGGAGCATTTTCACAGTTATCATTTGCAACTGCTCCGTCACAGCGGACAAAAAAGTTAAACAATATTTTTTATAAAAGAATTAAAAAGACCAAATACATCAACATCTCATTTATACCTTCATAGTTATGCTGAAACCATGTGTAAATATTATCATGTCACTATATCGTGCCATTAGAAAGTTAAACAAGAAATGGTACATTTTGAAGTATGATACTCCGGCGCCATTTTCAATAGCTTTTCTTCCCAGCGTAATTGGACTTCAAACAGAAGTGAAAGTTACCCGCAAATGATATATCGATTGCATGGAGTAAATAATTTTGTATGGTATAACGAAACATATTAGTTAAAAAATAAATAGCGAAGTATTCTTAGTGTTTTTATGAAAAATAGCATGCTCCGTCACAGCGGACAAATATTTCGATACCAGCCTGTGATACATGATTTCATTTTACACTTTTCATATTCATGTATTTTATATAAAAATGATATACAAATATAACTCGAAGCCTGGGTACTGGACACTAAACCTGTAAATATTTATATCTGTGATGCACCTCCCCCACCAACACTTCCTCTTCGATCTTCTCTTAGACAAAATTTAATCTTGATATGTTTGATAATTCCTTGACCTTACCTTGTTCTTAATATTCGTAATATTATGCTTTAACATGTACGGGTATAAACATCAGAAATGATGTCACCTGTTAAACCTTATATTATTAAGGAATAAATTGAATTGAATTGAATTGAAATTGACTATGAGTCAATTTATAGTAACCTACCCCAACATAGGTTTAGCCTTACTAAGCCACTTAGAAAGCAATTTTGCACATACTAAATTCAATGTGGAAAAATAATCCTATATGGCTATGATATGTGACCCATGTAAAAGTCGAAGAATATGTAAAAGAATATGTGAAATGTGTAATAACTTAAAAAATGTACCTTTGTATAAAACCAGCAAGTCAAACACACTTGCAATCACTTCGCCAGCTTGATCAAGAGTGTCAATACATATGTCTAGCGCTTGCAAATAAAAGATAATTCACTGGCGTTTAACGTATCTCAAACATCATGCCTAGTAGCACAAAACTCACGGCACATGTATCTCTATGTTTTTTTTATTAAATCCTTTATATAATTCATTTGGTGTTTTTTTTCTAGCACAAGTAATGTGACTTTAATCAGTATACTGGTGATTCAATAAACTCCGGGCTACAAATTAAGCATACACGTTGATCGGTGTGTGAGTAACTTTGCATATTGTAAGATTTTCAGCAGATGCCATGTATTTCCTATGAGCAACTTTAAAGTAGAATTTAAGGTAAGTTATATTCATTTACACCTCCATTTTGAAAATATATACGACTTGGGCTTTATTTATATAGAACATTGGTCAGATAGTATATTTGTAAGATTTGTTGGAATAAATTAGTCATAAACTAAGATTTAATAAACTAAGATCTTTAAAATTGAACCCTTCAAAGACTGTATCATGTCCAACGTACTTGGGTAGGTGGGTATGAGGTAGGAGGTTTTTTATACAAAGCCTTATTTATTTGCGTATGGTATACGATTATATATGTATTTGTTAAAATAACACTAGCTGAAACACTTGAGAATTATTTAGCTTTGAAACGTAGGTGTTACATCATTAGGTTTTCAAACAAAATCTACCCCTTCTCCCCATCCTAATGGTGTTGGAAATGTGGATTTCCCACTCAATGAGGATATTCCTCAGGCATGTAGTTCATAGGGGATTTTAGCGCTCCATTTGTCACAACTTAATTGAAGCATCTTGTTCTTGATCAAATGCAGATCATTCATGGTTGAGAAAACCATCAATGAATAAAAACAAAGGATTTAATAAAACTCCATAGAGATACATGTGCCGTGAGTTTTGTGTTACTTGGCATGATGTTTGAGATACGTTAAACGGCAGTGTAATTGGTTTTATTGCCTTGAATTCACTATTGGGTATTTGACTGTACAGTAAAGTTGACTGGCTTGGTTCCCAATCATTTAAAGGCTAGTATTCTTAAACCATTAAAGGGTGATGTTATTAACACATGGGTTACAGATACTATGTCTATGACTGTGTTTCTTTTCAGATATCACTCCAGTAAATGTCATACAGTATCTGACCTTGGTCAGCTATGTTACTTTGGCTACAGAGGAGAGGCATTAGCCAGTATCACAGATGTTTCCCAGACACTTGAGGTGTCCAGTCGTCATAGAGACAGTAAACAAACCTACAGTACCACCTTCACCAGTGGTTGCCAGGGACAGGTGTTGAAATGTAGCACACAGCGCCCAAGTTACGGCACAACCATCACAGCACATAATATATTCTATAATCTACCAGTAAGGAGAAAAGCCACAAATGCTGTACTGGAAGTTGAAAGAATTCGGCAAAGACTCAAAGCTATTGCTTTGATCCATCCTTCAGTGTCTGTTTCACTACGTAATGATGGATCTGGGCAGATTGAGCTTCATACTCACAAGAGTAAATCAGTATTAGGGGTGTTTACTCACATTTATGGGCAGGAAAGATCAAAGGAAATGGTTGAATTAAACTACGAATCTGGGAACATTAAGGTTCAAGGTTTTGTTGGAAAGTCTGGACACAACAAGAAAAATATTCAGCTTATCTACATAAATAGCCGCCTGGTATTAAAAACAAAACTTCATAAACTTGTAAACAGATTGATTTCAAGATCTCTCATTACAAATGGAAAATATGATAGTCCAAAACCTGACCAAATTGATACAACAGCAGCAATTAAATATGGTGTATTTGTCATAAATATAATGTGCCCGCACAATAGCTATGATATCACATTTGACCCTGCTAAAACACATGTTGAGTTCCATGATTGGGATGGCATAATGATCTCTTTGGAGGAAGCTGTGAATGGCATGTTAAAAAGGGAAAACCTATTGTCTGTAAATTCTACAGGAGGCATTCTAACTGGAGATATTGAAGATGGCGAGAACATTAAGAATGATGGAGCGAAGGATTGGGTATGCAGCTTTGAAATAGGAAAGGAGATACATACTGAAAATATCCGAAATAATCTTCAGTCCAAAAAAGTACATAGAATGAGCAACTCTGCTCTGATGTCAAGTACACCTCAACTATTGAAAGCTTCAGAACCAGTAGCATGTGTGACCTCAGACCAAGTGTGCAACACTTTGGTCCACTTTTCTGAAACCTCAAGTGAATTTGACAGCACAACAAAGCAGTTAGTAACACCTTTTCAGTCTTCCGAGCACATATGTGAAACACTGATGCAAAATGTCAAAGACACACCTGTTCAAATTGATGAGGCTATAGGGGAAAAATTCGAAATTGACTTTCATGAGGATCCCTTACTGTCTACTGAAAATACCCTACCACTCTGTGAAACCCAAGCCACCAACACGGAAGAGGCAATTCCTTTGGCTCAAATGCATACATCAACTAAAATTCCTCAGTTGACACAGAGTCCAATGAACTCATTTGATGCTTTAGGGCTAGGATCGTATAAATCTCAGAATCAAAGAATCTGTCAAAGTTCATTGGACACCATGGATCTTGATTATTTGATATCTCCACATGGGCATGAAAATATGAACATCTATGAAGATGAAATGGGAGATGAGACTGAAATGGATGATGCTGAGACAGAAACTGATAATGTTGAATGTCAAGGTTATATTTCACCAGGGTCCTCCATAAGAGATGTTAATATGAGACACTCACATACACAATCAAGAAACACAAATACTCAAATGAGATATCCATATACACAACTTGGATACTCAGATAAAGAAACAAGAGACTCGAACACAGGATTAGGAAACTCTATACAGAGTAACTCAGACATAAAAACAAATCTCTTGAATAAACAACAGAGAAACTCGAATACACAATCAAGACACTCATATAAACAAGTGGAACACTCAGATGAATTAATAAAACCAATAGATGGGAACACTATAATAAATAGTGAATATGATAAACAATCCTTGAAAAGAAACAGTCCTAAATTAAAATGTAGTGTGGCTGTAGGATTATCTATGCAGTTTCAATCTTCAGCTTGTTGTAGTAGTAGATTGAGCAAGCCAGACTCTGCTCAAATGCAATCACTTGGAGATTTCCGAAAGACAAATGAAAATGTAAAACACATATCTAGTACATCAGATAAAGATAGAACTCACCCAACATTTCAATATGTTAAAGGGCTTACACCATTTTTAAAGATAAGAGAAAGATTGTCAAAATCACAAGGCAGTTATTTTAATAGAGTTCCTGAATCTAACAAAGGAGCACAAGATCGAACTGCAAAAATAATTGATAGGAGGAGCAATAAAGGTGAAAATCAAATGGAGAACATTGAGGATGTGATGGCTAACAAAGAAGACAGACATAACAATAACCCTAGGGAGTATAGAAAAAGAAGAAATCAAAATCAAAACAGCATTGGAGTAAACAGATTTGGAATTGGAAGCAGGGATAGGTTTACAAGTAAAACTAAATCTCACCAACATAGTGATGATACATTGAGTAGTTGCAACAACAGTGATGACGTTGGTTCCAGGAAAAAGATTTCATTACTGAACAGAGCCAATGAATCCAATATTTTGAACCATAGGTCTGAAGATATTGAAAATGAGTATGAAAAGATACCTGAATCTTACTTAAGGAAAGAATCAAGAACTAGACATAATGAAGATAATGATAAAGTTATTAGTTGTAAAGCCAGCAAGAACCAATGCATTTTGAATGAGCAAACAATGCTACATGTTAAACCCCTGATAGAACTCTACAACTCTACAGTCACTACAAGAGGTTCACACAATCAGTCAGATCATAGACATCCAAAGACAACATCTCATAGAGGACAACAACATGCTGGTAATCGAACAAGCACAAAGAGAAGAAAAGTTCTAACTAACGAATCATTCTTTCAAACTGCTCAAGATATTAACTTTGAGGAAGCAATGTATAACTTGACAAAATTGAAAAAGCAGTCATCCAAACCTAAAGCAAATAAGCTGCTAGCTGTGGATTTTAGCAAGTTGCCAGTTACTAACCATTCATGCCAAACACTGGCATGTATGACAAAGAACTATCCAAAGCCAATTATTTCAACTATTGCCAACTTAAAAACAGCATCAAATAATTCAGACAGCCAAGCTCCTGGAACGTACAGCAAATCGTCAAACTGTGATGATGGCACAAAACACCTTCACGCTGATCCATGTAGCAATTACCAAACAACATTTCATCAAAAGCTAGCTGAGCCATTAATTGACACTGTTGGTTCCAGTAACCTCACTGTTGGAGAAACTGATGTGCCAAATGATTTCCAAGATGTATTCCATCTGCCTCCTGATGGAGAGACTCACAATAAATTCTACAATTTATCAAAACAAAGTTTTTATGATCGTAATGACACATTTCCATTGGCACATGAAAGTACCAAATCATTTCCCTTTACCAGTGAAGTTGCAGAGTCATTTCACCTAAACAATCTAAGTGCATTTGGCAGTGAAACAATGAATACCAACAGTGTCTTATCAAAACTAGTATTTGACAATGAAAATAGCCTACTTAACAATGTCATATCTGGACACTGTGAAACCATCTTCCCTGAAAGAGTTAATGTTGTTAACATTACGGACCCAGTAGCAAGAGAAGAACCTCCACTCAGTGACCCTGTAGAAAGCCATAAACCTTCTCTGACAAAATCAGTAGAAAATCAGGAACCTGTATTAACAAAGCCAGTAGAAAGGCCAGAACCTCCAGAACCGGTAGAAATACAAGAGTGTTCACCAGTAAGCTCATTAAAAAGACAGAAACTTCTTTTAACAAAGATGAAAGAAAGACAAAAAACTACCCCTACCATGTATGTAGAAAGAGAGGAACCAGAAGTAACAAATTCAGTAGAAAGGCAAGAACCTCAACTTCCTTTTGAAATATACAAGGCTTTTCCAATCCAAGCAACACAAGGGTTCAGCTTTATAGCATTCCCAAGTCAACAAACATCTCAGGGTTTTAAGACTGTGGAACATGAGAGTTCTATAGCAGAGAATGGCAGTTTCACTGACTGTCAAGGTCACCATTATCACCAACAGGACCAGCATCAGCAACAGGGCCAGCATCACCAACAAGACCAGCATCACCATCAGGACCAGGATCACCAACAAAACCCACATCACCACCAACAACAACTGCATCTCCAACAAGATTGGAATCACCAACAAGACAAGCATCACCAACAAGATAAGCATCACCAACAAGACCAGCATCTCCAACAAGATCAGCATCTCCAACAAGATCAGCACCACCAACAAGACCAGCATTACCAAAAGGACCAGCATAACCAACAAGACCAGTATTTCCAACATGATCAGCATCCCCAAGAAGATCAGCATCACCTACAAGACAAACATCATCAACAAGGTCAGCATCCCCAACAAGGCCAGCATCACCAACAACACCAGCATTACCAAAACCACCATCACCAACAAGATCATCATCACCAACAAGACCACCATCACCAACAAGATGAGCATCACAAACAAGACCAGCAAAACCCCGAAGATTCCCATCTCAAGCATCTTCAAAATCAGAATCCAAACAAACATGCTCAAGTCATAGAAAGTGAAAATGTGATCGATAAAATTGTTGTTCCAATTGATCCAGGAAAGGCATTAGGAGGGTCTAATGCCAGTAGTAAAGATGAAAAGGTTTCTGTTGATGATGCATTGAATGATAAAGACAATAAACAAGTTGTGAATGGTGTGAATAATCCATTGGATGATATAGTTGATGATTGTACAACAACCAAGCCTGTTGTAAATGAAGCCAGTCATAGTAAAGGCCAGGCCACATGGATCTGTCAGCTAGAACCTAAAACAGGTTAGAGGCACACTTTTTGTTGTTTTTGCTTTGTGTATCCTCTTTAAAAAGTATATTGTAGGTTTATCTCAAAGCTCATGTAGCTTGGATGATTATGGCATAGATGTACAAATGGGGAAAATAAAGAAACATTTAACTTGAAGGAATTCTGAATTTTAATAAAATCAATATCATAATTTCAGGTCGGACCATGTATGTTAATTTGGCAACAGGACACTCATCATATGAAAGACCATTGCTCTCAAACCAGTCATTACATAGTTGCCCAAGTAAGTAGCACTGTCCTAGCAAGTATACCTTGGGTTGTCGAGTTGGCCGAGAGGGCTTGAGCGCCAGCACGTTCAAGCTAGGCGAGTAGGTGCCGTAACCACTAGGTTGCGAGTTCGAGACGCGTTTGCTCCTTGAGTTTATTCATTCATTGATTAATGACTTGAAGTTGAAGATTGAATAATATAAATTTCACAGTTGCATTTTTTTCTGTATGTCATCCATTTGATGTACTATGATGTGTCTACCATTTTTTTAACAGAGAAAGTGAAATGTTAGGCAATTTTCAATTATTTAGTTTTTATATTTTCCAGATAGGCCTTTATTTTCGATAGTAGAGAACAAGTCAATGCAGCGCCTACTGACCCACAATGCAGTAGAATTTCTACCGAGATCTAAAGGAGAACGTAGTTTTGGAAAGAAAATACAATGTGGAATAAACAATGCTAAAAGAAATCAGCTTAAGCCAAACAATGGAACCACAAGGGCTGACATTATAGAAGGAAAGATAGGCAACAAAAGCATCAAAGACAACAACATAGAAGATCAAGATGATTGTAGTGACAAAGTGGATGGGGAATGTGAAAAGGAAAATCTTCCTATTTCACCAGGTCCACAGTGTATTAAGTCCATGCTGGATGAACATGTTGCTGAGACTGGTGTGCAAGATACAACAAAATGGAGATCAAATACAGGTTTGGTTTTTGATTGGTTGTTTGTTTATTGTTTGGTAAGGTCATGACTCGAGATTTGGACTCGGCTAAAGCTTAATTATTCAAGATACCCATGTAATTGAAAAGGCAATTCCAACAAATTGAAAATGCGATGTGATTTGTTTTAATCATGAACATATAACTATTGAGGATTGAACACTAATATCATCTTAAGATATATCAGAAAGCTCAGCTGTTAAAGTATAGATCATTCTTCTAAAAGACATTTGCTTTGATCACAATTTTACTTTGCCATTACTTCAATGATGGTTCTATGATAGAATGAAATATGTTATTTCCACCAATACAAGCTAAGAGTTTCAACAGGGGAAGTTTAACTGGGAATGGATTCATCAAAGGATAAGTTTCCCCTCCAATCAAGAGACCGAGAAGCCTTTAGTTGTATACCAGTAGATAGGGTGCCAGTACAAATGTTGATGCCTTAAGTGAGTTTTTCACAAAAAGTGCAAAACTTATTGTACAATTTGATTGTGATTCGATAATCCTCTGAGATGTTTTCATATATTCCAGCCAGGGACTGTATTGTTAAAGATCTGATGTTGAACTGGGAGAATCCAGTGTTCAAGGTCCCAGAACAGAGAGTCCTCAGTGCTCATATACAGGACCTTTCTCGCCGAAATACCAGGACTCTATCTACCCTGCAAGCCATAAAGTTCACCAAATCTCTCTTCACAAATCTTAAGGTAATGCTGTAGGTAATCAGCTTGATTAACTGATAATGATGAACTGATATATTGATGAATAGAGAATATAGCCTCTTCTTTCGATAAGCTTCCCGTATATTTGTTAAAATGAAAATCTCCCTTTTATAAATGTGTGACGATCTAAACTGTACCAATGTTATATAAAAGTTAGAGGTGTTGACACAACGACCTCGAGCCTTTGAACCCTTGAGTATTATTCCGGGATCGAGCCTTTTATACTAAATGGTGAGCAACACCAGAAACGAGCATTCGATTTGCTAAACGATATGCGTCACCCTTTAACAAGATGTTGAACATATTCAACTTGTTGATTTTGGTTTCAATACTTCTGATGTGCATATCATATGCACCAACTGGGTAACGAAGGGCTACTTTGGAGTATGTTCCACATTGGATCTAATGTTACATACTCTTCATGCTTGTATAAAAATGTACATGTCATTGTTAAAGGTACTCTATTTCAGGTCTTGGGTCAGTTGGACTGTAAGTTTATATTGTGTGTGGCAAAGGAGGGTGGGGCTGCCTCTAGAGAGAATGAACTGATTGTTGTCATAGACCAGCATGCTGCTCATGAAAGAGTCCGCCTCGAGGACCTTATAGCAGGTAGGACCTTAGAGATGTTTTGACCTTATAGTTGTTAGGACCTTTAATAGCAGACAGGACCTTATAGTTGATATAGAACCTTGTAGAAAACAGGGTAGAACTTTCAAGTGGGTAGGGCTGTGAGTGGACTGGACCTGGTAGATATTTCATTTGGATAAGTTTTGCATCTCTAATTCTAGTTTTATTATGTCACCGCCACTACAGTGGTTTCAGTAACTTTGTGTACAAGAGGCAGATGAAAAATACAAGAGGCGGTATTAAAAATAACCAATTTTACGCTCCCGACAACGCAAATTCTTATTATTTTAGAGTCCATGGACTGAAAGAAAGATGTTCAAGGTTTGTCAAAGTCATTTCCACGTGTGATGTGGCAAGACATGGGCTCCACAAAATAACACCTGGAACTGTGGAATGACTAGGGCAACTTATATAGAATGCCATTTACCTTTTTTAAGATAACTTACCCTTACAGAGGTTGCATTTCACAAATCCAAATGCACCTGTTGAATTGAGCACTTTTGATATAAATCAAAATCTAGAATTGTCATTATTAAAATGAGAGTGATGTATTAATAGATGATTCACTTGTGATTATGTGTATATCAGATACATTTTAGTTTTTTACCTCCTCTAGAGGGTACAGGGTGTTCCAAAAGTAACAGGACTGGTGCTGGTATTTTGTTAAATATACACCAATTGTCTTCAAAATTTTACATAATGTACCTTCATGTTTTGTAACTAAAATTGCCGAATTACATAATTTTTGTCGAAACTGATCTAGAAATCGGCCGATGACTATTCATCGGCCGGCGCCCGGCGCATATGTGGCCTAGGCATTAGAGAGAGACCGAGGTGGGAGATATCCCCCTCCCCTCTACACCAAACTTGTTCTTACTACGTTTTCGAAAATTGCCTGAAAGGCCTCCTCACACATTATTAAGGAAAACATATCTACACATTTTGCGCATTTAACCATTTTTTCTCGAATAGGTATTCTGCCATATCCAGCTCCTGATCATCCAGTATTTGTTTAATATTGCTCGCAGAAATGATGTTATTAGTATTATTACCACCGTTAACACGGTGCCCATGTCAAGCTGCGCGCCTACTTAGGCGCGCAGTTTGTTTCGATCACAAACTGCGTGCCTAAGAACATTGCATCATTTAAGTTGGAGTCTGTATTTTGAAACGTAATTTAAACATTTATCCTGCATTGTTTTCCTGTTCAATGCGTTCATTCTGTGGCGAATATACGAATCTTGCAAATACTAGCAAAAACAATGTGCAAATGAATCTAAGTTTTAAAACATAAGCAGATTAATGGCACTTTCGTCACTGATTTAACGGGAATTTATACGTAAATCGATCTAGCACTTTAAACATAAACGACAAATACTTTAGACTCGTTTTATATTTAATTCCTTACACATTTATCATGTATAATTCAAAATATTTCGAGATAAAAGAGATAATCAGGAGATTAAAAAGAAATAAATCACAAACTGCGCGCCTAATTTAGCCAGAAATTACAAACTGTGCGCATACACTATTAAAACTACATATTATCATTGGAATTTCTACAGAGGCACGTGTAGGTGTTTTTCATGTAGCTTTGGAAATTTTGCTTTATCGTCAGATTTTATGAGATTTTCATATTGAAAGTCAAAATGTATAATAGAAGTGACAATTAAGTTGGGAACGAAAAAAACTTTTATTTTCAGATCACCATCTTGGTGGATGGACTCTCATAGTGTTTCAATTATGGGGTTCTACTATTAGACACATATCTGCCTTGTATGGCGCTTTTGTTTTCTAATAATACAAAACAAGCTTGGATAGGCAAGCAGTTTGGAAATATTAGGCACGCAGTTTGGGAAATACATGTGAATTAAATCACGTTTATGGCGTATTATCGTTTTGAACACAAACTTTGCTGCTTTAATCAGATGGAGTGATCCTATATATTCTAGCATACACAGACACAATGGCTGAATAAACGGCAAATGGCGATAAAAAGACATAGATATAACTTTACACTCTAAATTTTGAACACAGAAGTTACTTAAGACCCTTATATTGAGATAACTAGGTTTACATCGGGAAAAACATTGAGTACTATGAGTAAATTAAGTTCATCTTCAAAGAATGGTACTATCTTTAGAACTAGACTAACCTTGTATTTTTCGTATTTTGGCTCTTTTTGGGAGTCGTGTCCTCCCCGTCTCACATTTTGAAATATGCGCGCAGTTTGTCAGAGTTTCAAACTGCGTGCCTAGTAGGCACGCTGCTTGACATGGGCATCGTGGTTAATGACCAGGACTGAAACAGCAAGAAAATCTTACGCATTGAACGATATCTAATTTCACGGGGAAAATTGCCGGTGTAGAATATATTCTAGACCGGTCCATATGGACCACCACTATGACGTCACATATTTCTCAGGTCGATATAATAAAATAAACGCCTTCTAAACTAGCACTAAAACCCCTAGAACTGGCCCGGCAAGGTGGTAATAATAGATGATAAACTTCTCAATATATAGAGATTATCCTATATGAGGTTCAGGATATTGGGATTATCCCGAGGCCAATATAATATATTTGCCCGAGGGCCGCAGGTCCCGAGGGAAAATATATTATATTGGCCAAGGGATAATCCAAATATCCTGAACCGACTATAGGATAATATGTTTATCCCATACCAATCTTGGTCATCTGGTTCACATTGTTCAATCGTGGAAATATTTTAGAATATTCACGTCCAGTTTTGTTTTCTTGGCCGTGGGCGGACTTGTTCTCTCAAATATTCCCACATTTATTTTCTCGAATTTTTGATTGATTAAGTGAATGCTCCTTCCCTTTTTTTAAACTATCAAACAGATCCAGATTGTATGTGTTTTCTCCATTGTCGTTTACAGTCATTACGCGAACGTTACAAATTATGAACAAATATGCGAGCGGCGATTATGACGTAGCGGGCAGATATACTATATCTGCCCGCTTGGAGCGGGACGTACAGCTATATCTGCCCGCTGATGAAAATATAAGTTTTTACAAACCGGCTTTATGTACCTGTAACACATCAAAGTATGGGATAAAAGAAATTACCCTCATAAGACATTGTTGCAAGGTGTGTTGCAATGAATGTGACATCCCACATTCTCAGGCCCGCATTATGCATTCTCAAAGAAAGCCATCATGATAAATCTCATTTCTTCTCAGCCCTGAGATGATTCAGGTGAAATTGAAAGATGCTATTATCAGAATGGAAGAAAGCATATGTTTGCATTGATGGTGTATAGATAGTTATTTTATATACTCGTAGTGTTTTTAGTTGTACGTGGAAACATATTCTAACCAGGAAGGATATTGCAACTTTTTTCAAGATCCTAAAGTTGCAATTTTCGTTATTATGTTTCATTGTAAAGACGCACCTGTGAAAGTGTGTCGCTGGTACAAAGGCGTAGTTCTAGTTCTAAATACATTTAAGATTTTTAAACTTGTATGTGAAGGTGTAGAATTATGGACCTGATGGATTTTTTCTCCCATTTGTACTGTTAATACTTGGCCTGTTGAGTATATAAAGGTATACATGTATACAAGTGGAGGTTCAAACCTACCCCCATCCACACATACACTTTTTATCATGCTTAAGTAACTTCGCATTGTAATTACAAGGGTGTTATAAACGATACACCAGGGTGATAAGGTAGGGGTACAATATAGGGCCCAAATCTTGAGAAAGAGTCGAAGGCATGCGAGGCAAATCCTGGAAACTCGGGGTCGGGAAATCGGGGTTCACTGTTTGGTTCCGTTGACACCTGTGCGAAACTACATTCATAATTTATCAGACAGTCGCTTTGATAATGTTTCTTTATCTTGTCTGCGACTCGATAAAGAGGATTATTAAAGCTCATCAAGAATGGACGATCTTGCACAGGTTCTCATATAAGAACCTCTATATCTTTTTAACACCAATATAAAGATTGAACAACGGACAAACTATGTTAAAAATAAAATGTTATATCTAATGTGCCAATTCAATGATTTAGCATATCGAAAATATTTTCAACCTAAGTGACCACATCGTGACATCACTCGGGGGCAACATTTTTCAATGTCAATCTTTTCTAAATATGCTAAACTTAAAAAATAAACCAATTTTGACTGTCTAACCAGGTTAAAAGGATGAATATATTATGTTTTTAATATTACTTTACCATTGGTTTCAATGAGAATTAAAATTTTGAAATGCATCTTTCCCTGAACCACTTTCATGCATGGATGAGTTCATTGCTCGCTCATCTATCAACCAATTTTCTTGATTTTTTTCGGCAAAAAAACAAGTGTGGATGATTGCTATGCATCGGTGTGAATTATCGCTTTAAAGGATAAATGTGACATCTTAAAGTTAGTTTTAAATAAATTCACGATATTTTGAACAAAAAGTCTTCAAAAACATTTTTGAAATTAATAAAAAGTTTCACATTTCACACTTTGATAACATTGGATAAGACAACAATATAAGCCAAAGAGGTTTGAGATTGTTACTCAAAAAGTAAAATGGTCCCAATTGTACAAAAAGCAGCAGCATTAGAAATTCAAGATGAAAATGAATCTGATACTCGTGTGAGGTGCTTATGTGTTGAATACTAGATGCTAGTGCCTAGTTGCCTATGTGCTTATACAGAGACTGAATGAGTGGCGTTCGTGCTTTTGATATCAAGTGGCGTTCTTAGTGTGACCTAGGGGACATATACTGTATCTGAGACAATACCGTTATTCAGCAATGTGTATTATTCAGCAATGTGTATTATTCAGCAAAGTGGGACAACGTCGTTATTCAGCAATGTGTATTATTCAGCGAAGTGGGACTCTCACAGTACATGTTGCAGTGACAACATGCCATCAACATAGTGTGGTGATGTTATAGTGGCACTCAGTATTTTATATGACACTGGTATTTTGATAGAGTAAAATATGTACAATTAAGATATTAAACCCTAAATAGAGACTCTTGAGTTGTAAACATATCAAGATAATGATCATATGCGAGTATATATTATATTTGTCTTAACCCAAAGCTTTATGTAACTACATGAACCGACTTTATAGAACGTTACATTGGTGACTGGTTGGACAGATTTGTATCAATCATACATGTAACTGCATGTCCAGTGGAAAATAACCAACTCTGATTATACCAAAGGTTGGAATTTGAATTATCATGCACATGATAGTGGTCAGATAGTGATCTAAAATGCATAGCCCAAACGGGTAAAAAATTGGATGGTGTTTACTACTATAATGAGATCAGGTGATCTTTACGATTATAGTGAGTTTCCCTTGCAGAAACTGAGGTACAAATCATAGACAAGGAAGTGCAAAACAAGATCGCTGAATAAAATAAAGGATAGTCTATAGAAGACTTTTAATTTTCCCCAAAAACCTAGACAATATTTGACTTCTAACAAGCGGCGGATTATCGAAAACAAACGGCGATTTCAGACACTCGCCCCTGCTATTGAAAGCCCTGCACTAGTGATGACATACTGTTGTAGTTTCCACATTTTTTGCGGATATGTTTGGTGGTTGGGGGGTGGCAGTCTGCATCTGTATCAAATAGCAGGTGGTGATATTTTGCATGTTAATGCCTTGTTGTAAATGTTTTGAATTTCTCTTCTAGAAGCCTATGAAGAGACAGCTGGTTGTAGACAGGTCCGTAGTAGCAAGGTGGATCCTCCAATGCATATAGACTTTTCCCTCAGAGATATTACTTTGCTAAAAACCTTCAAATCAACCATGGAAAATATAGGTAAGATTTTAGAATTTCATTAGCCATGCAACGTTGAACATCTAGTAATACTAGCCTGCTCAACGATTTGTGTTCTTGAAATGATGATTCTAGTGATCCCAGTGATTTATGACTATTGCAGAATTCAGTCTGGACAATTATTGCTATTAATCAATACCATAGAATCTGATTAGTCAAACTGACTTGATGCTACAGGGTGGTCAAAAAAATGGAAACCCTTACACCATTTCCTCATATATTTGTCATTTTAAGAAATAATTCCCTGATATTTTGCACATTTGTACATCATTCAATTTCCTACCAGCCTACTTTGTTTCATGACAATCAGATTGATAGTCACAATGTTACAGCACTTTACAGAACATGCCCTAGTGGCCAATATTGCCCTGTCGGGCCACCTGCATTCGCTGTCCAAAATGTCCCTACCTGTAGGGATATGGCAAGGAAAAAGTGTATGAGAATGACCTCTGGACAATCACAAACCTCAAAAGTGAGATCATCCATATCATTCAGGCCATACCTGCTGAGGAATGCATTCGGCCCATTAATAACTGTGCAGGTTTGCCTACAGCGCGATGATGGCCAAACTTGAGGCATGTTATTCAAAGTGCTGTAATATTGTGACTATCAGTCTGATGGTCATGAAATTGGTAGGGTGGTAGGGTGGTAGGGAATTGAATGATGTACAGATATTTGAAATATCAGGGACTAATTCCTTAAAATGACAAAGATATTAGGAAAATGCAGGGTTTCCATTTTTTTTGACCACCCTGTATTATATCTTGTTCTTCCACTTGTTCAAGGTATAAGATACCACAGTTTAAAGAAGGGTGCGAGTGGTATAGAGATCTCTGGTCTACCTACATGTATACTAGAGACTGAAATGAGTAAGGAGCGCATCCAGGGTGTCATAACAGACCAGCTAGAAGTCCTCACTGAGACGCAGGGAGCCTTAGGGACGCTACCAAAGTGTATCAGTGATGCTCTGAACTCTCAAGCATGCCATGGTATGTCACCTTAGGTAACCCTCTATTGACTATCCACTATCCATGTGTGCATGTCCCGGATCAAATTGATTCATCGAAACAGGATCATCGCTTCTCCCCTCCCCTTATTTGTGCACAGTACTCTCTATGAAACTATCCATTGAAGTTTAGAAAAAATTAATTGAATTAAATTTCACAAATTTTCCAGAATATTTGTCTTTTGTAGGTGCTATAAAGTTTGGAGATGCACTTAGCCTGGCAGAGTGTAAACTGCTTGTTGATCAGCTGTCTGAGTGTAACCTTCCTTTCCAGTGTGCGCATGGTCGTCCCTCTTTAATACCACTCTTAGACCTCACACATGCTGCAAACACTCTCAGACTACAGGTACATGACACAATAGCTTAAAGCCTCTTGTTTTCGTTTTTGTGTACTGGATATGTTGAACTGGGAATAAGATTAATGTTTCACTATTTTATCTCTCATACATGTACATGTACATTCAATTAGTCCATTATTCATGGAAGAAAATCTTAAAGGCCCCCTTGCAAATACCATTGTGAAGGGCATGCAATTTCAACAATAAAATGTCATTTCTAAATGTTTTAGCATATTAAAAATTTGAAAAAAAATTCTGTCAATCCTTTCTAAATGCGTTAAACTTTCAAAAATAAACCAATTTTGATTGTCTAACTAGGTAGAAAAGAAGAATATATATGATGTTTTAAATATTAATGTGCCATTGATTTCTGAGAACTTAAATTTTAAAATGCATTTTCTCTAAACCACTTTCCTGCATTAATGAGTTCATTCCTTGCTAGTTTATCAACCAATTTCCTCAATTTTTTCGACCAAAAAATGGAAGGACGAAGGCTATTCATTGTGTGAATTACCACTCATTAAAATATATGTGTGACCTCTAAAATTTAGTTTCAAATACAATATACGCCAAAGTGGTTTAAATGTTATATGGGGCCTTTAACAAAATGGATTTCACTGCATCTTTTAGTTATTTCTTTGAATAATGAAGAAAAATGCATAAAGGTGTCAATCTGCTATAATTTCAGCCAGACAAAAAGCACTCAGAGAAGCCAAACATCCAAAGACTAAAGAAGTGTATGGAGCATTCTGAGGCTGATATGAACTGAAAAAATATCTGCTTAAACTGTTTCCTGTGATACAGAGAATAATAAAGTTGGGCGACTTAAGATGTATGAACTGATAGAAGCTCCAGTTTTATATTGAAAGACTGGCGTTTATTTCTAGAGTTGAAATGATGAGTTACTGTAAAACGGGTATTGTTAGCGAGGGGTAATTGTTAGCGATTGTTAGCGATCGCTATAGTTTCGCTAAAAATTCAATTCGCTAAAATAAACCGGGGTTAAAATAAACCGGGCGCTAAAATTCGCAAATTCCCGGGAAACTACATGAATACTATAGTATTTAAAGAGCTTTTCGTTCAGTGCTCGACTTCCGGTTTGTAATTTGAAAAATGTAAATATTTTTAAATCGTATGTATTTAAATGCTACCGTGATTTTGTGATTAGTCAGATGAGATTACAGTAGTTTGGACCAATACCATGTGCGTTAGAAGTCTTACATTTTGAAAATTCCTCTGTCATGTCCGTAATTCATTCTTCTGCCATAAATGATAAAATTTCTAATGCATTTCTCTGATTTGATTTTTTAAAGATTAATCTTCATTTCGCTAAAATTTCCCGCGCTAAAACCCCCTAAAATTGAAAAATCGTTAAAATTTCCCGGTGTCAAAATTACCAGTTTCACAGTATCTGATTAAATATTTAGCTGGAACTAAGAATGTTTCTTAGTACTGCAGTAGTGAACATGTTGGGGTTCTCACAGGTATTTGTATTCTATCAGGTATTTTTATAAATCCTTGATTAATACAAAAATCTCCATAACTGAATCATGTTAGACCCCCATTTGCACACGCAGTTCTGTGTATAACATAATAAAATGTAAAAGTATTCTATTGTAAATGTATATGTAGAATTAAGACTTCTGTTGACCAATCTAGTCCAGAAATATACTAGTCCCAAAGATGCCAACTCCAGTTAAATTGAACTTGTGAACTTTTTCAGGATTAAAATATTCTGGGTTCTGCAAAACAGGTGTTTGCTGTACTTGACCCAGAATCTTGTTTCCTGTTTAGTGATTAAATTTAAAGCCTCGATGTATTCTTGTGATTTATTGGAACATATTTTCATTTTTTTGATTTGTTTCATGTCACAATGTTTTAGGTTAAACTAGATTTTAGGTTAAACTATGTACATGTCACATAGCATTAAGTTCATTTTTTTAATCTAAAACATATGGTTTTAAGTTATTTGGAATATAATATTTTTCTTATATGAAAATATGGCCATATAACTACTAGTATTTATTTTTTAGAATATCTGATGACATTTCATCCCTTTATGTTCATAAATGATAGATTACAGACCTATTAATTTTGGACAAGACAAACAAGTAATCTTCACATTTTGTAAAGTATATTTATACTCACAATCAACTGATCCTCATTTTATAACATATATATCTTTATCAATAAATATGCAAATTGTATTATGCCTTATATACAAAAAGTATGTACAATATATTTACAGCTGTTATAAAGAACTAATTGTTTTGTTGTTTTTGAAACTAACAAATAGAAGTCTTGAAAAATAAACTTGTAAAACAATGAAATAAAACTTTTACAAAAATGGAAAAAATCATGTACAACATGCAATGGAAAATCATTATACTATATATAGAATATACAAGGTAACTCAAAAAGGGAGCCCCAAATCCCTTGACTCTTGAATTAAACTTGTCAAATATCAATGATATCAATTTAATTTTTCAGGTACATTATTTGTATTTCACGTATGGCTGATAACTGTATTTTGCATGAGCATTTAACCATTTACCTTTAAGTCAGTCAATGGTAGGAATTTTCACAATATACATAAGAAATTACCTAAAAGCTTTACCTAAAAATCACGAGTCTTGAACTTTCAACTACAGAATGACATGAGGCATTAACATGCAAAATGTCACAACCTGCCATTTGTGACAGATACCAAACACCAACCACGGAACACTTTCCACAAAAAAGTATGAGACTATAACAATATGTCACTACTTCTGTGGTGACATCATAACCAGACAAGTGTAATACATGTTTTATAGAAAAAAAATATTTTGGTATTTAAGTTAATAATATGACTCTCCCAGCGACATCTATGTTATGCATCTAAAAACGTCTACAGCTGTAATAATCAGATCCAGTTTAGAATATCAAATATAGCAGAGTTTACATTCTAAGGTTCATTCACATTCTTCAGGTAACGTACTTTATCGTATGATCTGTAAAATGAAGCCCTCTGATTGGTCAGTTCTTGTGCTGTACCAATCTGTATTGCTACTGAGGTTGTCCCCGTTGATCATCTCTGTCGCAATACAGAAATACAGAAGCAATACAGAGGATCACACAATAAAAACGTTATTGAATGATTTGAAGTGCAATACAGGATATATTCTGCCTCGATATTTTGTATTGGCACTCGACTTTGTCTCGTTCCAATACAAAATTTCTCGAACAGAATATATCCTGTATTGCACTTCAAATCATTCATAGTATTTCAAATGTGGATTTACAGCTTTCTCATATCTCCTCAATATATTTTATACTTCTATACGCACTGCCCATCCCTTCACTTTTAAACTCCTTTAGAATTGTTCCGCATTGGAATATGTAGGCCTATTGCATCAATGCAATGCTATTGGTATTAGGTGTTCACCTCCTGTTTAACGTCCTATCTACCTAAACTTTTGGAGTTTCCCCTAAGGTCTGTTCAGTTGGGTGTGCAGTACTGTCATGACTAGAGTTGGATTGACTGGTAGTGTTACTAACACCATCCTCCATTGATCTTACTTGAGTTATATGTACCTCCTCTTGTACCAAACGCTCTTTTTCTAACTCCTTACGCTCTTCTTCCTCCTTAAATACAAACAGAATCTTGTCAGGGGATGTAGAATTTTGTCAGTGGATTTAGAATTTTCTTAGAGTATTCAGAATCTTGACAGGGGAGAGATATCTGACAAGGGAGATATCTGACAGGGGAGATAACTGACAGGGGAGATAACTGACATGGTTTTGTATTAAAGTACAACTAAACATTCATATTTGTGAAAAAAATAAGAAAATTGAATTACTAGTAATGTTAAATGTGAAATATGAATATGTGTTAATGTGAAATAAAGACATGTATAACCCACCTCTTCCTTGATTCGATGAAACTCATCTATTGCATACTGGTATTTAGGAGATGTGATGCCAAAGAACCAAGCAAGCTTTTCACCACAGAAGTCTGCAGCTGAAAAAATATTGTCAAAGATAAATTATCAGAATACACAATAGACAAGACAGGGTAAGAGAATGAATCAACACTTGAAAACAAATATTTAATCCTTTATCAATTTTTCCAAACAGTTTAAATTTATAAAATGTCCAGCTATTTTCCCCATTGATGAAATCAAGTAAAATGGAGAGGAGAAGATAAACACTAGATCTGTATATAATATTCCTTTTTAATAATCATCGAAGGTGAACACTGTGTCTACTTGTACAGTGTACATGGACATGAAGATGTAAAGAGGTCCCTCTAAAACAACTTTCATCCAGAATAAAAGAGAATCAGATCATAATTTACACATGTATTAATTATACATAAAATATATATCTCAGACATGTCTGCCAGCCATTCCTAAATTAGAATAAATAAAATAGATATCTCAATAATTGCTTTGTTCAACCTGTTTCATGAAATTCAAATACATGTTCAATATTTATCAATTATCAATTATCATTTGAAATCATTACCAGTATAAACTGTGAATAAAACCGTGTTTGCCATTTACTCACCAGCCAAAGATCTGAAGGCTCCTGCTACAGTCCAGTACCAAAACCATGGGCCCCAAGTTAATGATTTCTGCAACAGTACAAATAATAAAATTTGCATTCTTTTTAGATAACATAAATAGAAGATATCCTATGATTTATGAGTGATATGATTTTTATCCACGAATGGATATGATATCTGCACGAGCGAGAGAGTGCAGACATTAATATCCATGAGTGGATTGAAATCATATCACGAGTAAATCATATTAGGATGTTCTTTTTATTCCATAGTTAAAGTCATCATCAGAATCGTCGGAAATTAAGTGATTTAATTCGAATTTTCCAAACGATCTGGCAATATTAACACTTAGCCTCGTTTTGAGTTTTGAGTAGCAAAAATCCATAATTCATAGCATATGGTGCCGTATGTCATGACTTAAACACCGTATGCTATGGTTAAGTGAAAATTTGTCAAAAATATCATATTTTACCACTGATTACAAAAATACCGATTTATTTTGACATGTTATCCTATGAATATCATGCTAACTATGGAATAAATAGAGGATATCCTATGATTTATGAGTGATATGATTTTTATCCACGAATGGATATGATATCTGCACGAGCGAGCGTAGCGAGAGAGTGCAGATATCAATATCCATGAGTGGATTAAAATCATATCACGAGTAAATCATAGGATGTTCTTTTTATTCCATAGTTAAAGTCATCATCAGAATCGTCGGAAATTAAATTATTTAATTCGAATTTTCCAAACGATCCGGCGATGTTGACACTTAGCCTCGTTTTGAGTCTGAAGTAGCAAAAATCCATAAACCATCGCATACGGCGCCGTATGTCATGGCTAAAAAAATGTATGCTATGATTAAGTGAAAATTTGTCAAAAATATCATATTTTACCACTGATTACAAAAATACCGTTTTTTTTCACATGTTATCCTATGAATATCATGCTAACTATGGAATAATATTTAATTAACTATAGTGGAACCTGTATAAACACCTTTCTAATCCCAACACCTGTTAATGTGAAAACTTTTTCTTGGTCTCCCACATATTAAGAAGAAATCGAACTCCCATGCCATGCAGCCTCTTGGAATAGACACTGCAGTGCGTCAGTGGGCAGATGCAGAAATAACCAAAAAGACTAGTCTCGGTTTGGAGAACGAAATTCATCAGTCTACTGCATGTTACACCTGCTTTGGACAATTTTGACTTTTTTACATATTTTAGATTTAAATGTCCTCTTTTGAAAATCCATAATTTAATTTGACTGATATTTCTATTTTTTCATAATAAAATTATTAGCGCAGTACACTGATGAACTTCTTTCTCCAAATCAAGACTTGTCTTTTATTGAATCAGTCTATAACTACACGTTACGCCTGCTTCAGACAATTTTGATATTTTTACATCTTGTAGTTGTAGATTTAAATGTCCTCTTTTGAATATTCATAATTCATTTTGTAATTTAATTTGGGTGATATTTCTATATTTTTCATAAAAAAATTATTAGCCAAGGAGATTGTTCTCCAAACCGAGACTTGTCCTTTGGTGAAAATAGTACCTTGTTTTCCCCATACCCTGTAGATTTATTCAATTTTGCTATCATTATTTTGTCAAAATATTCATAACTTACTGGATCCACTTGTGGCTGATCCACCTGATCTTCGCCCTCCTCTTCATCTGTAGAATACTCCTCTAGAATACCATCACTATAATTGAATACAGAAAATGGTTAATTGCAGAGTTTTGTGAATTATAGTTTTATGACAGGATATTAGTGATATTTCACACATAGCTACGCAAGGTGTGTCCAATTCTAGCCAATCAGAACATGTTATTTCATATAACTGCATTCAATTATATAACCAACGATCCAACCAATTTGAAGATTCTGATGAAACTAATGAACCAGCTCCAAGCAAGTCTACTGGTTCAGTCTATTTCTAAGAAATTAGGGGAGTTTGGTAAATTTAAGTTCATGGAAATCGTCTTCCTGGAGATAAAACAATCCATCGAAAAGTTTCCAATCTGAACACATTGAGAAGGTCAAGAGTAAGTCCCTTAATTGTAACCAAAAATTACCTGAAACCTACACAAATGTTACAAAAATTGGAGGCTATAACAATACAGGCCCATCCGAATGATTTCCCAATGGGCTGGTGACTTGCATATGCCCCTACCCAAAGCTTTGCCAGCACAGAGTGGTCGCCCCCAACACCCCTCTCCCCCTCTTCAGACAGGCTTGCAATATGGCTATGACATTTAAACCTTGTTACACCCCAGTATATAGAGAATTAATATAGCCTAGCAGTCTATTATTAAGAGTCTCTACACCAAAAGACAAAACATGTGAATATTACTATCTTAAGAAGCATTACAAAACAATGGTCAGTGATCTCCCCAAAGAAGGTCTTCAATACTGTAGTTGCAAAACTCACATTTTTACAAAATTGGTCAAATTATGCCACTTCTTCATGATTTTTAAGAACATTTTCAAATGAGTAAAAATGTGTTTTGGGTGCTTGTCATAGCTCAAGTATGAAACTTAGAACAGAATCCACTTGTTACAATGATGAGATCACTGATAATGTGTTATAGCCAATGTCTTATGTTTTCAAAACATTACACCTGTTCTTGGAAGATTCCCTATTAATAAAAACATTCTTACCCCCTTCTTGGTAAATGCAAAATATAAAATGGAATTCAGGCTATAAAATAAAGTGTTATAATCTAAACTTTGAAATTACTTCAGTATACATCTCATTTTATACAGAGAACCACACAAAAGACACATGTAAGATACTTACTAATACACAATCATAGATGGTGTGATTTGATCTCAAAACTATAGAGATACAGCATAAACCCAGGTAAAGTTTGGTACCCTTAGGTAGCCTGACTATTCCTTAGATACATATGATCCAAATTATGCTAGTAGGTAGTAGTTGGTAATATACTTGAAGTAAAACTAGAATGGTTCTCGATAGCAGTTGCTCATCATGTCTAAATAACAATTACAGAAGGTCTATACTACAAGACGATGCCTTTTAGACTGGCAGATAAATCAACAAAAATGTACTACTTAAATTTTGTTTACCTAAAATGCAATATTCTCCGAGGTTGTTTCTTTTTTCTTTTACCATCAGCTGTAAGCTCTTCAAGGGGGATGTTTGTAAACTCGTTCTGATCACCATTCTGTAACCAAAAGTGTATTTTATATTTTAACTATTTTACTTCTTTAAGTCCACTAACCACTGATGGACATTGAAGCGTATATTTTGAACTAAGCATGGTATTTTAAAGAAGGCTAAAAAATCACAAAATCATAAAAGTTTAAACAAAAAATTACAAAATCATAAAATGTTGCACAAAAAGTAAGAAAATCCTCCACACAAAAAACTATGTAGCATATGCCTATTATTATATGGATAACATAAATTGTTGACAATTTAATAAGTTGTCCATAAACACACGCATATTTTCACTGACCAAATTCATTTATTACATCCAATGATATAAGAAATGAAAAGCTTGTTCCATAAGGGTCCATACCAACTTTTGTCAAAAATTAGATTGTGTAAGTAAAAACTTGGCCACAATATCCCCAAGGGTCCACATTTTAGTACATTTATTTTAATATAAGCCTACATTAATACTTTCTGGTCTATTAAACCTGACACTGCTGGCCAAAATCTCTAGAATCAGCTTTGGCGGTGTATCGATTAATCATGATCGTTGCATACATGTACATGTATGTCGATCATTTTGCTGTTGTTAGTGCATGAGAGTATTGTGAAAGCCCATGACCAGGATAGTCTTATCAGCTTATATCCAATAGACTGAATTTCTTGAGAATTCAGTTGGGTTACATCAACCTTAAGTGTTCTGTTACGTTATATTTCGAATAACACTAAGAGATATATTGGCTGACTTTGTCCAGTTTATTTCAATATGGCGTAAGCCCCGATCATGACGTAATACAAAATAAGTATGGCTTGCCAGCCCAACAATACAATCAGACAATTACATGACATCTCCCTTTTTTCTTTTTTGAAGTATTTTATGAGTCTATGTTTAAATGTTCAAAAGTGTCTACAATTTTGAGAGTCTTCATCTGTAGATGTATATAGCAGGGTATAAAGTCAATATTCACTGCTTATGAGTCCATGTCTCAAACCTGTATTCACCCTGTGCACTTATCATGTTGAATACGGTAGTAGAAAATACTGTATGCTGATTTTGTTTTTCTTATACACATCTCTAACAAAAGATTGTCTTACATATAATCAATACAAATGTTTAAAATAAAACATGCATTATAAAACGTAATCCACACCAATCTGTGCTGTTTGAACATTTTATAAAGATCATTATCTAAACAAACGTTAACTACGGTATGTGTACATTATTATGAGCTTTAGTCATTTAATGTCTAAATGTACACTACTGTCTTTTGAGTCTTGACAGTTTATGTGCATGAAAAGTATTATTTCAAGTTACATAGTCTTTCAGCCATTTTGGCTGATTTACAATCCTCTTTGATTTCCTTAATGGAGAACTAGAACTTGGTTCAGTGATAATAGAGCTATGAGAGACTGGTGTAGTATTACTAGTAAGTGGAACATTATTAGTATTTTGACCACCACCATCTATCCCTCCCTCCTTGGGATGTTTACTCGAGAAAAACACCATTGGTTTAAGCATTTTAGAACCCCGTTCAGGAGTTGGAGTAGGATCATGGCCTGTTGGCATCAAATGTCTACGATTTCTCCTGAACAAAGTTCCACTGTCACTTTTGATAATGTATGACCTAGGAGTGTGAGCTTGATTGAGAACCTTATATGGTTTACTCCATGCCTTTTCCTGATCAAGCTTCACTCTCACAGACTGTCCAGGGGACAGTTTCTCAAGTTTTCTTGCACCATGAGATCTGTTAAAATGTTTGGCATACAGTGATTTTGCTTTAGCATCATTGTTTTGAACTTCCTGTTTATCAGGCCAATTTGGGTTTAGATTCTCAGGCGAAACTGGCAGTTTAGTTCTGATTTGTCTACCATAGAGTAATTGACTTGGCGTTTTACCTGTAGAACTGACTGGAGTGGCCCGATAATTCATAAGGGAGCTTAAGGGGTCTTCTGATTTGAGAATACGTTTGGCAGTTTGGACGGCTCTTTCTGCGAGACCGTTACTTTGACTGTATCTGGGACTTGATGTTACATGTTTAAAATCAAACTCTTTTGCGAAATCTGCAAATTGTTTTGAGCTAAACTGTGGTCCATTATCTGATACTAACACTTCAGGGATACCATTCCTGGCAAATATCTTTTTGAGTTTGTTTTTGATTTGAGTTGTTGTGACACTACCCCTAACATGAGCAATTTCTAGATACCGGGAATAGTAATCAACTGTGACTAAATATTGCTTCTTGAAGCATTCACATAAATCAGTTGCTAATTGTTGCCAGGGGCGATCTGGTAATTTTGTTGGAATTAATGGTTCACTTCTCTGTTTAGGTTTCAAAATTTGGCAGTGCTTACATTTGGCCACCAATTCTTTGATTTGTGATGTAAGCCCTGGCCACCATACTGTCGCATTAGCGCGTTCACGGCATTTGTGAATTCCGAAGTGACCCTCATGAATTTGATCAAGAATATTATTGCGACATGCAGCCGGTATAGTGATACGGTTACCATACATAAGTATGTCATTGACAACACTCAAGGATTCTCTACAATCATAGTATCGCTTGGCAACTTCTTTCACGTCTTTGTAATATTCCGGCCAACCATGAAGAACATAATTCATGACTGTTGAGATTTCGGGATCAATCTGTGACAAGTCACGAATATTCTCAAGACGCGACTTCGCGACTGGTAGGTTATCATATATGAAACTCTCATATTCCGTCACACTTTCTACAGTGTTTGATTCCATGCTACTAAGCGGTTTTCTAGACAAAGTGTCTGCTATGACTAATGTCTTTCCGGGTCTGTATTCAGCGATACAATTAAACCTCATGAGACGAATTAGCATTCTCTGGCATCGCACCGGTGTTTGATCAAGATCCTTTTGATTTATAATTGGCACCAGAGGTTTGTGATCAGTCACATATACAAATGATTCTAGTCCGACCAAATACTGACTGAATTTTTCCATTGACCACACCCCTGCCAAAAGTTCCTTTTCAATTTGAGCATAGCGGCGTTCGGCATCAGTTAATGAACGAGAACAGTAATGAACAGGAAACCAATCTGTTCCATGCTGTTGCTCTAAGACACCGCCTAACCCGTAACAGCTACTGTCAGCACTAACACGCGATGGCTTATTGATGTCGTAGTATTTTAGAACAGGCTTACTACTTACCTTCTGTTTCACTGTTTCAAAGGCATCCATTTGTGCTTTTCCCCATGTCCAAATTGTGTCTTTTCTCAAAAGTTCATTCAATGGGTGAAGCATTGTAGATAAGTTTGGTATAAACCTACCTATCCAATTTATCATGCCTAAGAATCGTCGTAATTCTTCAACATTTTCAGGAATTTCCATTTCCACTATCGCGGCGACTTTAGCTGGGTCTGGCGAGACTCCATTAGCGCTAATTTTATGCCCTAAAAACACGAGCTCAGGCTTCCGGTAATGACACTTCGCCTTGTTGAGAACTAGACCGGACTGTTTGATTCTCTGTAAGACTTGTTTGAGATTTTTATCATGATCTTCTACATTCTTACCATGAACGATAATATCATCCATGAATACTGCTACTCCAGAACAATTTTGCAAAATGCGCGACATTTCTCTTTGAAAGATTTCTGGAGCAAGCGATATGCCTTGTGGCATTTTCTTGTATACATAACGACCGAAGGGTGTTATAAACGTTGTTAAACGCTGACTTACCTCGCTAAGTGGCACTTGATGAAAACCTCCTGTGGCGTCGAGGGTTGAAAAGACAGAACTTCCCGAAAGTTTCTGTAATATACAGTCAATGGTTGGTAAGACAAATCTCTCGCGCTTAACGGATTTATTAAGTTTTCTAAAGTCAACCGTCACGCGAATTTTTCCTGATTTTGAAACTACCGGGACCATGGGTGAACACCACTCAGTAGGCTCAGTTATCTTGGCAATAACACCATTGGATTCCATTGATTCGAGTTTTTCTTGTAATGGTTTCATTATAGGAAATGGAACGCGCCTAGGTACCACAACAGCATATGGTTCAGCATCTTGCTTCAACTCAATTTTGACAGGCTCACATTTCATTGTACCCACTTCCCCATACAATTCATTATCATTTATGGGGTCTTTTACATGACCTGGCATTTCAGAAGTATTGTTACTAGGGGGCATTGGAATTTTATTTCTATGGTTACCAGGATCAGAACCATTTTTACCTGCCTCGCTCTGAGAGGTCTGAGTTACAACATGTACATTTTTAGTAACTAGATTCAACATTTTAGCAGATCTGCGACACAATAAGTTATCACACTTTGGCCCATTTAATACAAATATTCTCATTGAGAATTTGGTACCATCAAGATTGCTATTTGTTATAAAGTAACCTCTTGTATCTATTACCCCACCTACTGACTTCAGTGGAGGACCATCATGCCTTTGTAACCTAGGTTTTGGTGTAAGGCATTCATATGCTTTGTTACTCATAACATTTACATCAGCGCCTGTGTCGATCTTGAAACTCATCAATTTACCACAAATGGGTAAGGTCACACGCCATGGTGGCTCTGTGTGCCTATCTACAATCAGTGACTTGGCAGAATCAACCAAATGCACAAGCTCACCTACATGAAACTCAGTAGTGTCAAGATCGGCATCAGCACATTCATCATAACATTCATGTACAACTCTTTTATCAACAGATTTCTTATTTGATTTACACACACTTGAGAAATGATTTAATTTCTTGCAATTATGACAGGTTTTCCCTTTAGCAGGGCATTTATCATTTCTGTGAATGTAGCCACATCTGTCACACTTGTGTTTGTCTGCTTTGTGTTGTGCCTGGTCTTGTTTTCTGTAGTTTTGTCGTGTAGCTCTCTGTTGCGGGGGTCGATTACGAACAAAATCAACGTTACTTGTATCAGTAGGTCTCCCTTCAGCTTGAGACTGTGATATTATAAGTTCATGACTACGAACTAGTTCAATAGTTTTCTCTAGAGTGAGATCACACGTCATGGCAAGTGTCTGGACTCGCTCTGACAAGTCTCTGTCTTTGATGGAAACGATGATCTTATCGCGAATCATTTCGTTTCTGTCAACGAATGAACAATGTTGACTCAGTTTATACAAATCTCGGATATATTCCTCCATTGTTTCTGACTCTCCCAGTTGTCTAAGGTTGAAGACCCTTCGTTCATGAATAATGTTTATCTTTGGCACAAAATAGTTATCAAATTTGCCCAAAACGGCATCAAAATTGTACCTGTTGTCTGGCGGATCAAGTATTTGGCCATCTTCAGCAACTGGTAAGGGCTCAAACGTAAACTGTTTGTATATGTCCTCTGCGGATTGGCCCATAATATATATAAGTTGACTGACTTGTGTAATATCATCCTCTTTGTTAAGTTTTGTAGCTAGCCTAAACCTCAGGAACCTTTCTCTCCAAGCAATCCACTCATTGGGTTTATCAAAGTTAAAAGGGTTTGGAGGCTGTATCTTGGCCATTATAATAATCCAAAGATGACAATATAATCACGATAGTTAATACACAAGAGTAGAAGTACAGTTCACAAGTTTAAATATCAGTTGGACTCAAATTCTTACTGTAGTACAGCAGCAATGACGCAATCCATGTCATTTGCATATCTCCGCGAAGCAATGGCGTAATCCGTGTCGTGTGCACATATCAGCAAAGCAATGATGTAATCCGTGTCGTGCGCAAAATGTCATGCTCGAAATTTGCACAAAATTTCACCGGCAATCAAAGTTAAACACCAAAATACCTCTAATCTGGTCACTTTCAGACAAGTTTTACATGTCCTACTTTTTCTCTGTGGTTTTATATCCCCGTAGGCTCGCATCCAACGTTTGACACCATGTTCTGTTACGTTATATTTCGAATAACACTAAGAGATATATTGGCTGACTTTGTCCAGTTTATTTCAATATGGCGTAAGCCCCGATCATGACGTAATACAAAATAAGTATGGCTTGCCAGCCCAACAATACAATCAGACAATTACATGACATTAAGATTAGGGATCTTTCATAGAGATCCAAAGATCCCTTGAACAACAAATGAATTCAAATGGATTAAAAAAGTGACTTTTTAAAAAAAACATAATTGAGTCTTTATTCGGGAATAAAACATTGATCTCGTGTTGTATTTCTAAAAACATCTTGTTGAAGTTTTCCTTATTTGACATACCTGCCCTACTAAGTGTGACATATCGACGTCATTTGGAGAAATAGTGGAAGAAGTTCTATTTTCATATTTTGCAGACGCCATATTGTTTTGATGATTCAACCCGGAAGTAATTTTTCATAATCATTACAAATATGACTTTATTAGACTTCAAAATGAAGATAAAATTATAAAAATGCGCGCTGTATATATATGATAAAATAGACGTAAGTAAAATAAGAGAAAAATACATTTATAAACATCTCGCGCTAAACGAGATCTCGTTTTCAACATGGAGGACACCGGGTTAAATCTTTTTGAAAAATACAGATATTATTGAATTAATGATGGCCACGCGGCCCAGGCTAATATTTATAGCATTGATAGTATGTGCCATACTATTTTGGACATTATTAGGCATATTTGATTTCATCAAGGTGGAAATCGACCGAAATATAGATGGTCATGTGCGTAGTAATTCTCCTCCGTTTCCAGACGACAGATTTCATCACTTATTTTGGGTTGTCCAGGTGAGCTTCAATTGATTTAGCACTATGTATTGCTTGATTCGACATATTAGTTAAACAAATCGAATCATTTACAAAAAGCATTTACTTTTGTATTCTCTCTGCAGATAGATCTACAGTCAAATTTTTTATTCTGTCAATCAGTTCATATGGTTAGAATAAGGAAAGAATGTGATGTAACCACGTGTCTACTTACTAGCTTGTTCTATGTCATCCATCGGACTAGGTTACATCGTGGAACGCAGCCAAACACGACAATGAAGCCAGTATTCTGTACTGGATAAAGCATAAGAATGAGATTTTATAAGAAATAATATACCGAAGGCCGAAGGCCTGAGGTTATTATTTCTTATCAAATCGAATTCGAATGCTTTATCTTACTTAAATCATACACATTCTTATTACAGGTAAATGGTATATTGCAGGTAAATGGTCAATGATCTAATCTGGAAAATTTTATTTCTTTTGTGTTGACTATTCAAACTGTGAATTTTGCAAACTCAAATCAGGCTCACAATGACCCTGGCTCTTATTGGTTAAAATTTGTTGTTATATAGCCAATTAATTGTAACAACAAAAGGAGTTGGTTGCATTTACCTCATGAGTGTGAGTTGATGTAAGTGACTGAGTGGGCTATAATTAGTCTAGCTGTCAGTGCACTACAGGTGACTGTCCAGTCCAGAACATTGAATTTGAATACAGCAGAATATTTGTAAGTAAGATAAGATCAATGATGTAGATAATTGATAAATTGTTTTATTCTAAAGAATGCACAGTAACAAGAGAAGGGTACATGTATTTTTGTATATTGTTTTTATGGAATGAAAACTATCAAAAACTGTCAATGGTCATTTATGTCTCACTTGTTTTTGATAGCTTGCCAAGTGTACATTCTTTAAAAACAATAGAAAAATAATGCACTTTCCTTTTGATAAAACCATACATTCTTAAAAATAAACCACAGCAAATTCTATTGTGTTGCTACCCAAGTGGGATTTAAGAGGTTATAAAATCTAAATCTAAATAATTTCCCATTTGCAGCCCCTTGGAGATTTCCGGAATTGAACAAAGTAGCGAACGTTCCGATCTTTCAACTTTAGTTCGTTGTTTTTTCACCACCTTATGTGTACTGTTTTCATTTAGGAGGCGGTCTTATTTGAATGCATCATTACAGGTCTTTATGAATCAATAGATCAATAAACAGCTCTAAAAATACAATTTAGCAGTTTCTTTCATTGCGTACTGCGCATGTTAGGCACGAAAACAATTTAGCAGTTTCGTTCGTTGCGTAATTGGGCCTTCTATAATCAGTAGCAAATGCTCGGAAAACATTTTCCAAAATATTTACTTCCGATTTCCTTGAAGACATGATTGGGTGACACGTCATTGACACGTGATAAAGTCACATGATCGATACAGTAACTAGTCACGTGATCAGATCATCAGACATGTGTCACGTGTCAGTCACGTGAGCTTGCAAAATGGACGATCCAAATTTCCAAAAATTCGGCTAAGATCAAGATAGATATGCTGTTGCCTTCAGCGTCCTGTTCGGCTGCGTTCCACGATGTAACCTAGTCCGATAGATGACATAGAACAAGCCGGTAAGTAGACACGTGGTTACATCACATTCTTTCCTTATTCTAACCATATGAACTGATTGACAGAATAAAAAATTTGATTGTAGTCAGCTTTTTAATTATCAAGGGTGGAGGTAGGGGGGTAAACTATATATCCAACAGTCTGATTCAAAATTCTATTTAGTATTTTGAATTCAAAAAACAAGCAATCAAATGACCATATTGCAACAGTTATGAAAAAATAGAAACATATGTACAGTGGGGATCATAAAGAATTGCAAAAGCTATGAAAATTACATGCTGTCGCACATGTAATGAATTCTTACCTTAGTGTATTCAGTGCTCTATTTTCTCCGTCTTAGTAAGTCCAAATATAGTGGAATTTGTGTCCCTAATGACAAATAAGAACTTCAAAAGTTGAATTGGATATTCACATGTTATGCCGACTCTTCAAATGTTGAGGTGATTTTGTCGGCCGATTGCGCCGGAACGGAGGATTGGCTCCCAGAATGCAACATGACACGTGCCAGCTTTCAAAATGCTGTTCCACCATTTTGAAACCTGTCATGAGAAAATACGGTTAACTGATGTTGCATTCTGGGAGTCAACCGTCCTTGGATAACAAACATGACGATTCATGAAAACATTCATTCGATTTGGTAGGGATTTATCCATTATTTGCAGGTATGAAGCTTTGGATTCATTTATTGTGCTACTTTAGTGAACGGGAATTATTTTTCTACCGCTTGGGAGAGTTTGAGACATGAAACTTGGAAATAAGCTCATTGTGACAACTTGTGAACGTTGAGTTTTATTTTTGTCCCCCACTCTACTGCCCTGTCAACCTTAGTCTATATCCAATATACTGAATTTCCTGAGAATTCAGTCTATTGATCATTATGTCTCTCCTGTGGGAAAAAACAGGAAATTTCCTGCACACAATTATCAATTTTAGGAAACTTCACTTCCAAAAAATAAGCATTATAACAATTCAATTAAGTAGTAAGGTACAATTAAATGCTATAAAAATTAACACAGCATATTGTCAAATGGAAATAAAGCTAGGAGAAGTAACAAATATGCAAATTAATTTACCCAGTCGGCCATTTTGAATGGCACTTCCTATGTAAACAAATAATTTTCGATCCCATATTTTAAATAGTTTTTCAGACTCTCTCCTGTGGGAAAAAACAGGAAATTTCCTGCACACAATTATCAATTTTAGGAAACTTCACTTCCAAAAAATAAGCATTATAACAATTCAATTAAGTAGTAAGGTACAATTAAATGCTATAAAAATTAACACAGCATATTGTCAAATGGAAATAAAGCTAGGAGAAGTAACAAATATGCAAATTAATTTACCCAGTCGGCCATTTTGAATGGCACTTCCTATGTAAACAAATAATTTTCGATCCCATATTTTAAATAGTTTTTCAGACTAGAGGATATAGTCTACTGTCAACCCTCACGCATTAGGCTTGATTGTCACGCATTTGCTGGAAAAATAGAAATCACGCATCAATTTAGCGTGTATGATCAAATATCACGCAAATCACGTATTTTGTTGATATTTTTAAAAATCGTTTTTTGTGAAATGCCGATACTGTAAAAAACCGAACGGCGAAAAAAGCGAACGCATTCCATTCGGTCTTTGCACGCGATTGCTGTTTATGTCACGCATTTGGTACAAAATATGTGTGTATATCACGCATTTGTTTTGAAAATATTTACACCTACCCCCCCCTGGAAAATTTTTTTAGGTGTCCAAAATCTGCCAGGTCTTCACTGAAGCTGTCCAAAGTTTGAAGGAAAGTGTTCAACATTTGGAATTCACTCATGTTAGATGGTCCCAAGTTGACAGCCCTGTATGTACTAGGCATGCCCGTAGCTAGCTTTTGATCCATCATACCATAGACTACATTCATTAAACAATGTTTCAGATATCTGATATTCATGTCAGCAGATTTCACGATCCCAAACGAGTACCAGATTTTACAAGATTATTAGAAGAAGATCTGAAAGTGATTGATCCTCATTTGGTGCTTGCCACAGGTAAGTAAAAGGTGAAGAAATGCCATGACTTTATTACATAATACTGTCACGAATTGGGTAATAGAGTTTTCTCAACAGTTCTGATTAAGTATATATAACTTATATTAAGATGTTGTATTCACACATATCTAGGCAAGATTTGTCCACTTCCAGCCAATCAGAACACGCTATTTCACGTAACTGCATTCCGTTATATAACCAATAACAAACTGAAGGTCACTAGTTAAATGGTTGTCATGGTGATGACTAGACTCTTCAAATTGAAATTGATACTTTGCCAGCTTTACCCTTGCAAAAAGTGTCATTGAAAATGTGTTGTTTTATTGATTTCATATCTTTTAGATGATTTTGTAGAAAATATTTTGCAATGTGTGAAAATAATCAGAAAATAATAATAATCAGAAAATTTTTGATTAACACTCGGGGCTCTGCATCTCTCGCAAATTTTGAAAAGCAAAACCTTCAAGGAATGGCCATTCCACATTGCAGGGCTTAAAGTCCAGTCTTGAGTCCAGGGCTCAAATTCTTAATTCCACGCCCAGTGATCGTGAAAATGGGACGGAGGGGGGAGCAAGCAATTTCTGGTAGAAAAATGAACAAATCTGCAAAAATTATTTTTTCAAGAAAAGGTTTATGATTTAATTGCTAAACGAATAGGCGCATGGTATGGTAAAACATGTCACCTATTCTACGAATTTTTTTTAGCTGATTCTCTTCTTAGGTATAAGATCTATTAAAAAAGGTGCAATGCCACCAACGTGCAAAAGTCAATGTTTTTGCTTTAAATCAAGCATCAACGGTCTACACAACCTGCAATAAATATTTGTAAGTGACATTATCATCATAAAATTAATGACCTTAATGACTTTACAAAATACATTTCTATACGTTGTATAAAAAATAATCGAAAATAATTAAAATGGGCCGGAGGGGGGAGGGGACGGAGGGGGGGGAGCAAAATGTCTATACGACATGATGAGAGATGTTACTTCACTTTATATCCAAATTTTCCCATTTTCTCCTCAATTACAATGGGTTAGGAATTGATAACAAGTTGTATTTGTAGTTAGATTTATTTAGGATTATCAAAATCTTGGAGGAGAGCGTTTATCTTTTTATGTGTATAATAGTTTTTATTTTTTGAAGACTTATCATAAAAATGTAGACATCGCATCATATTTCTATTTGGACATGCAAGTTTTCGAGTAAGCAGTTACTAAAGTTGTTTCATTATTAACCTCGCTACCAGATATCTAGTATATGTTAATATTTTTGATTATGTTGGTCTTCAGCAGATGTAGAATTTAGACTAAATAATCTGTCAGGAAGTTTCCCAATTAGTGTACCCAATCATACCATTGGCACATCGCCTATTACGCCAAATACTGTACTGTACTTTGCATATACGAGGGGTGATCCAAAAGTCTTGGACGCCCTGCTCTAACTTTGCGATTTTCTAATATAATTACATGAAACTTTCAGATAATAAGGATCAACATCTTAACAACTTTGTGTGTAAGTTTCAACAGAAAATAATATAATTTAGCTACTTTTCTAAATAGTTTTTGATACCGGGTCCCTGCCACCCGGAACGGTATCTAAATATAGCAAATCACGTCACAGCTGTTTTAATATGGCAAATACTTGAAGTGCAGATGCACAACCTAACACCAGTCATGATATGAGAGAATTTCCGATTTTCAGTCTGAGTGTCATCTGCTATCATCATCTTCACATATTAAAACCTACTTTTCATCATATTTTCCTTGAATTTGAACACATTATTCATACCGCTTTACCATGGAATGAAAGTCATTTATGAAACCGCCATTGCTTATGTGATACAAATGCTGCTGGAGTGCCACTCTAAACCTCATCCAATGAGTAAAAAATATTTTCTTTCAACCCTCCTTTCAACTAGGAGAAAAAGAAGAAAATCACATGGAGCCATATCTAGACTGTATCGTGCATATGGTCAATAATAGTGAAAATATAATGTAGTATTCTTTGTTCCACTTTGATTTCTTTCATGTTCTGACTTTCAGCAGCCATCTTGGAGAAAGAATGAGGGTTGATTTTCTGATGACAATTTTTTAGAACTTGACATATACGGCCATTGTTATATGTGATATTATGATAAAAACACAATTAATTGGTTGCCTGATAACAAAGAGAGTAAACTAATATGGTTTAACATTCAAAATTTAAGGAAAGATAGTGGTCAAGACTTGCAAACCGAGTCAAATAGCGGCAACATTTAAGGCTAAAAGTTGCCATGTGCGAATACCGTTCCGGGTGGCAGGGTCACTATATTAATAACTATTGAGAAAACTACATAAAATATATCATTTCACCATGAAATTAATACACGAAGTAGTTAGGTTGTTGGTCTGTATTATTGGAAAGTTTAAAGTTATTTTATCAAAAACCAACAAAATTAGAGCAGGGCGTCCAAGACTTTTGGATCACCCCCCGTATTTTCTCACATTAAGTGTAATATATGTATTTATTATGCAATATGCATCTCACATTTAGTGCAATATATGTATTTATTGTAACATTTGTCCTTGACCATATGCATTTTGCAATTCACATTTAGTGCAATATATGTATTTATTGTAACACTTGTCTTCGACCATATGCATATGCAATTCACATTTAGTGTAATATATGTATTTATTGTAATATTTGACCATATGCAACATGTTACTCACATTAAGTGTAATATAAGTTAAAGTTGCCCTGTTTGGTGACCTAGGCTGGAAGCCCATAGAAACATTGTTGGAAAAGAGCATGATAAATTACTATATTTACCTGAAGTCCCTTAACAAAGACAACTTACATGCAAGGTTACTTAACGACATGGAAATAAGAGCCCAGAAGGGTAAGCAAATGGGTTGGGATTTCATTGGTAGTGTCTATAGAATCCTTAACAAATATGATCTAGATTTTAATACTGATTTTAGTGATCTAAAACAGATGTTTGAATGTAATATGTCTGATAAGCTGAAAAGCGATTTTAGTGACAGTGTTAATAATATGACTAGTCTTAAAACCTATGTACATTTAAAGAACAGATATGGCAAGGAGGAATACCTTCGAACATTCTCGAATGACTTCCTAGGATGCAAATATAAATTCCTTGCAAGGAGTGGTAGATTCAAATTAAGATCTGAAACCTGTAAATGGAGAAATCTGAGTAATGATCCACTGGACGATAAATGCACATATTGTAACTTGAATAGCGTAGAAGATATGACACACAGACTCTTAATATGTCCCCATTTTAACGATTACCGTATACTATTTTATAACTCAATCACTTATATCGATCCAAATATATGTACTCTGTTTTTTGCTTTAACAATTGAACAGAAAATTGTTTGGATTTTGGGAGATGGAGCAATGATTGGAGGACATGACTTTTTTTGTAAATTTGATAAAGTGTCAAAGAATTTTTTAAAACAGATTTATAGTCATAACTTTTAAAGTAAAGATGTAACCATTTTAATGGATATTTTACCTGGATGCACCTAATTTTAGTGTGCCACTGTTGTAAAAGTGTAATTCCAAATAAATAAATAAAAAAAAAAAAAAAAAAAAATATATGTATTTATTATGCAATATGCATCTCACATATATGTATTTATATGCAATATATGTATTTATTGTAACATTTGTCCTCGACCATATGCATTTTGCAATTCACATTTAGTGCAATATATGTATTTACTGAAACACTTGTCTTCGACCATATGCATTTTGCAATTCACATTTAGTGCAATATATGTATTTATTGTAATATTTGACCAAATGGGTGACACTATATATATATAAAGTATCAAGTAACATCTCATATCATATCTTATAGACATATTGCTGCCCCCCCTCCGTCCCCTCCCCCCTCCGTCCCATTTTAATTATTTTCGATTATTTTTTATACAACGTATGGAAACATATTTTGTAAAGTCATTAAGGTCATTAATTTTATGATGATAATGTCACTTACAAATATTTATTGCAGGTTGTGTAGACCGTTGATGCTTGATTTAAAGCAAAAACATTGACTTTTGCACGTTGGTGGCGTTGCGCCTTTTTTAATAGATCTTATACCTAAGAAGAGAATCAGCTAAAAAAATTCGTAGAATACGTGACATATTTTACCATACCGTGCGCCTATTCGTTTAGCAATTAAATCATAAACCTTTTCTTGAAAAATAATTTTTGCAGATTTATTCATTTTTCTACCAGAAATTGCTTGCTCCCCCCTCCATCCCATTTTCACGATCACCGGGCGTGAATTCTTGCAACATAGATAAAAGTAAAACCAGTTTCTACGTAAGCCAAATCTGACTGAGACTGCATGGCCTACTGGTTAAGATTAGCATATATGTGTATATAAAGGGGTTTTAGCATGAGAGGGTAATAGATGAGACTAAAGAATTACATTGAAATGTGTTTGAAAGTACTTTTTTTACTTTTACATTAGTCTAGCTACAAGTCCTTGTGAGCCCCCCCCCCCCCCACTACACACCTTCCCTGTATGAGAAGTCAAGAAGTGGGAGCACTGGGAGGTGGGAAACATGGGCTTGTAGCTAGACTAACTTTACATGTTCAGTTCATGTAAGGAGGTTTGGTTTAATTGATCTCAATGTGAATTTTGAAACAACTTCAGGAGATCTCACTGATGCCAAGAGTCTAGATGGGATAGGCTCCACACAGTACAAAGATGAATGGCAGCAGTATAGAGATGCCTTACAAAAATCTGGGGTCCTTAAGTGGACTAAATGGCTAGATGTCAGAGGAAATCATGGTGAGAAACTGAATGTGGCTGTACACAATGATATTCTTGTGCTTTGTTGGGCAATATACATAGAATTATATTTAAAAAAAACTTGCAATTAAAGATATGCCCTAGTTATGCCATTCGCATTAGAAGTACACATTTTGTAAGATTTTGGATTTATCTAAACATTAGTCTATACAATGTACTTTATTATACTTTATGATACTATACTACACAACACTACATTCCATTCCACTGTTGCATCTCCATGATTTCAGTTTTATTGACTTTACAGTATTTGGTATGATTTGGTTTCAGATGCATTTAATGTAGCGGAATTGAAAAGTGATTCAAATATGTTCAGGTATGTTTGAAAATGATTTAAATTATTTTCCAAGCATTGAAACAAATGCGTACACTAAGTTGAAAATGAAGAATGTTGAAAATCTGATATTTTAACCTGATGTTCCATAAAAATCTTTCACTCTGTTTTTAAAATGCATTGGAGGAACACTACAGAATGGTTTTAATTTAATATTTTAACAAGCATTACTTATAATTGTTGTAATCTTGATGTCATGTTACATGTGATTTGTTAAACACAGAATTCTAAAATCCACCACTGCAATCGCAAATACATACACACAAGTATGAAATATAGATGGCATACTAGTTAGCTCCACCCCTCCAATTATAATATAAATATGAAATTACGAAGTTCATGATCTCTGTTTTACTTTTTAGAACACATTCAGTGAAGGGCCGTGAAGAGCAATACAACTATATAGAAAATGTGCATATAGATGGCAGCACTTACAGCTTTGTTGCCATGGATGCATGCCCAAAGCCTGGACCAAAAAGACCTTTCAACTTCTTTGGAGTCTTATCAAATGTAAGTTTGAGGCTACCACTTCCTTAAAGTTCTATATCCATGGCTATGGGTCCCTTTACTGGTCATTTAAATGGCATAACTTAAATATTTGAACCTGCAGTTAGTAAGTCCTGCAATTTCGCCCACTACGTAAAGTATGTCTGAATTTCTCAGATATCACTTATGCTGTACATATAGAAACAGAGAATTGATGAATTACAGTAAGGAGTTTTGATTTGACATATATGCGTTTTCATATATATGAAATCAATAACTGGTGTATGTAAAACTCCATGTATTATATTGATATTATAAATTACTTTGTAGGAATCTCTGACAGAATTAGAGGAACTATCCAGACAGACTAAGAACAGCAACATGACAATCTGGTTTGGTCATTACCCCACATCAGTCATTGTTAGTCCATACCCAGGTGTTCGCCACTTTATGAGGTAACATATTGCTTCTATTTTCAAATTGAACCTCTAAAGTTAGTTGTATTGAAGCAGTTCAAACTAGTTTTTTTTTCTTTTTCAAATATAGTTTATTCCAATTTAGGTTTTTACGATACAGAAATACAATGATACAATTAATTACAATAATGTATAATGAGTTATGTTTTAATCATTTTCCATTTGTTTTTAAAAAATACATTTTTACGAGTACAGATTTCAAAATTTAAAGTTTTAATAGTGCCTTCAAAATTACGCTAAATACCATTATTCAGTTCTTGAATATATGTTTTATATATAACAAATGACACAATACTTATAAAATAGTTTAAAAATTCAGTATGATTGTCATTTCCATTGTAACCAATTATCAATTTTCTGTAAGTTACTCTTAACCCTGAGATATTATAAATATGTTTCCAAATGTTTTGAGAATATGAGCATGAAAATAACAAATGTTTCAAGGTACATAATTCATTACATAAACTACATTTGTAGGTTTCACTTTTACCAAATATATATAAATCACTAAGGCTAGGAAGAATATTGTTGATTATTTTAAAGTTGGAATTACCTATTTTCTTTTCTTTACAAATTATTTTTGTAGAGAAAAAGTTTTGCCAATTTATTTCATCATTGGCTTCATAGCAAAACTCTTGTTCCCATTTCCTTTTCATAAACCATTTTTCCGATCGTTTGTTATTTAATACTTTTTTTATAATCTCATGTGGCACAGATAATACTGATGCTGCATAAATTAATTTTGGAATTGCCAGTGATTTAATCACTGTAACTTTGCCAAAAAGTGTAAAGTATCGGTTCTTCCAGCTGTCTAATATTTTTTCTACTTTTTTTACTCTATCTTCCCAGTTTAATTCATAACATCTTTGTTTGTTGTGTCCTAAAAAGATTCCTAAATATTTGATTGGTTCATCAGTAAAAGTTATATTTTCACATTTCTTTTCAAAGTCCTTATTTTTTCCAAGCCAAATGCCTTCAGTTTTTTCTATGTTTAACTTCAGACCAGAAAATTTTGAGAAATTGGAAATAGTATTAAGAGCATTTTTCAATGACTCTTTATCTTTAATGAAAAGTGAAGTATCGTTCGCATATTGGGACATCTTATATTCTTTACCATCAACAGTTATACCTGATATATCATTATTTTGCTGAATTGCTAAGTTCATAACTTCGCAACATAAAATAAATGCCATTGCGGAAACGGGGCAGCCCTGCCGACATGAGCGTTCAACATCAATATTTTTTGATAACCATCCATTTTGCTTAATGTTTAAGAAAGGTTTTTCATATAAAAGTTTGAGCCATTTGATAATCTTATCACTGAATTTAAATTTTTTCAACGTTTCATACATAAAATTCCACTCTATACTATCCAACGCTTTTTGGAAGTCAAAACTAGTTAGTGATTTTATACTTGTTATTTATCACCAAAAGTTAAGACATATTGTTATAATCTCCAACTTTTTTGTGGATAGTGTAAAATAAATTATATGCAAAGTTGATATGTCTACTTTCAGAGGAGCAACAGCCTACCTGTGTGGCCATCTACACACATTAGCAGGTCTTGTTCCCAACATGTACACCATGCAGAAGTCTGGGGGCCTGGAATTAGAGTTAGGAGACTGGAAAGACAATAGAAAGTAAGAGTCTACCTGTACATTGAGAGGTCCCAAACTCATCACATGCTCTTCTCTACTAAGCTAAAAACATTTCAGTGTTTTTTAAACAATATAAAAGTAAGGTCCATTCATTTATTCATTTATTATTGATAGAATATTCTACCATTCTACCGGGACTACTGGGAATTGTTCTAGCCCTTTTCTGTTTTAATTTACACCAATATTGTACCACTGAAGAAATGAAGCAAGCTGTCAGTTTTCCTATGTCTGTGTTACCGATGGTGCAAATAGCCCAAATCATATAATAATCTGTGGCCTTACTTAGTATGTACATATTTTTTAGTAGACAATTTTGGAGGTTTTGCATTATTCTGTATGTACATCAAAATATTGTTCTTACACATTTAATAATAATGCTAATTATAGGTTCAGGGTGCTGGCCATTGACCATGATCTGATGTCCTTCACTGATGTCAGTCTGGATGATTGGCCCATCATTCTAGTCACCAATCCCAAGCACGCCCTTTTTACTACTCCTCTACATGAGCCAACTGGCAGGATACGTCAATCATCACATATAAGGTACTCTTCATTAAGATCATAAGAGCGAGTAAAAAAGAGAAATCACAAGGAATTCACAGGCTTGTTCTTAACACTCTGAATTTGCTTATACTTCTTAATACCAGAGAATGAATCTTGAGAATGAGAAAAAATATGGAAAAGACAGAGAAGAATTTTAGTCCATGTTCTATGAATTCCTGATTCACATCTGATCTAGTCCAATATCTAAATATCCTGAATCTCAGCTCTAAATTTGATAGGCCTCTGTCTGGGATCATCCTCTGAGCACAGGGCTCCAAAATCCAGAATATCTTTTTCCGTTTTCTTAAGAAGGAGGTACAGATTCTAGACACCTGCTTCTGTGCTTAGGAGGATGGTGTGGGACAACCCTGATCAATGATTGTGATATGCAAAGTGTTTTACACGTTTATGTCTTTTTTCAGGATACTAGTCTTTTCAAATAGTGATGTTGAGAGTGTCACTGTCTCTCTTGATGGAAAATACCATGGACTAGCTGTTTCTTCCTGGAAACCGTTATATGTGCTACCATGGCAACCATCAGATTTCTCAACTGGAGTACACGAAATAGAAGTAACAGTAAAAGTAAGTGTGACAGCTAGTGTGAATGTTAGAGTAAGTGTGACAATTAGAGTGTGACATTCAGGAGTATGTACGTTAACCTTCATAGCTAGATAGGCATTCAAATCTTAGAATGAATGTGCCAGTTTGAACAAATTTCCAAACCAATATTAAATTGCTTTTCCAGGACATTCTTGGCAATGAGAAGACCATAAAACAGCCATTCTCTGTGGACAATACCAAGTTATCATTTGATGTGCTTCCTAGGATGATACTCATGGCCAACATGGCTTCAGTGGTAAGTTAATAGTTAAAAAGATTCTTTTTTCTGAATGGATACATTGACATACTCCAATTACATTTAAAATACTTGTACAAATACCTATACCTCGTAGATCAAGAATGATTTAGAATGTAAATCCAATTATTATATCACAGCAGTTACTAAGTGATTATTTGTATTGAGAGAAAAAAAATTGTTGAATTTTTTATAAATAATGAGCTTTCTGCATTGTGCAATTTTGTAGCAGAAGAAAACATCCTGGCTGTCAATTAAATACATATGCATCTTTTTGAAATTAAAATACCTAGCTGTGTATTTGTTCCCATTTAATTGTTTGGACCAATGGAAGCCTGTGAATTTGAAAATATTACAGTTTGTTTGAGAAATCATATCTGTTATAGACATTGGTGAAAAGGAAGGAACACTCCTGAAATTGAGACCTCTACCATGAGACGATGTACCACATCTCATCAATATGTTCATCATTGTATGATCCCTGTAGCTAAATACCTTGCCCTGGGATCATTGGATCAACCCATTTATTGTATATTTCAGATGCAAGTGCTGTTGGGTGCAGTGTACATAGTTTACATGTCTATTATATATTACAGATGGAAGTGCTATTTGGTGCAGTGTACATAGTTTACATGTCCATTATATATTTCAGATGCAAGTGCTATTTGGTGCAGTGTACATAGTTTACATGTCTATTATATATCTCAGATGCAAATACTATTTGGTGCAGTGTACATAGTTTACATGTCTATTTTATATTTCAGATGCAAGTGCTATTTGGTGCAGTGTACATAGTTTACATGTCTATTATTTTTATATTTCAGATGCAAGTGCTATTTAGTGCAGTGTACATAGTTTACATGTCTATTATATATTTCAGATGCAAGTGCTATTTGGTGCAGTGTACATAGTTTACATGTCTATTATATATACCAGGTGCAAGTGCTATTTGGTGCAGGGTACATAGTTTACATGTCTATTATATATTTTAGATGCAAGTGCTGTTTGGTGCAGTGTACATAGTTTACATGTCTATTATATATTTTAGATGCAAGTGCTGTTTGGTGCAGTGTACATAGTTTACATGTCTATTATATATTTAAGATGCAAGTGCTATTTGGTGCAGTGTACATAGTTTACATGTCTATTATATATTTCAGATGCAAGTGCTATTTGGTGCAGTGTACATATTTTACATGTCTATTATATATTTCAGATGCAAGTGCTGTTTGGTGCAGTGTACATAGTTTACATGTCTATCATATATTTCAGATGCAAGTGCTGTTTGGTGCAGTGTACATAGTTTACATGTCTATCATATATTTCAGATGCAAGTGCTGTTTGGTGCAGTGTACATAGTTTACATGTCTATCATATATTTCAGATGCAAGTGCTGTTTGGTGCAGTGTACATAGTTTACATGTCTATCATATATTTCAGATGCAAGTGCTGTTTGGTGCAGTGTACATAGTTTACATGTCTATCATATATTTCAGATGCAAGTGCTGTTTGGTGCAGTGTACATAGTTTACATGTCTATCATATATTTCAGATGCAAGTGCTGTTTGGTGCAGTGTACATAGTTTACATGTCTGTCATGTTGACCCTGAGGTTCTACTGGAGACACATAGCTAGTAAGTAAAAAATAAAAATATAGATAATGTGTGTCTTTCTTGGTGTTAATTATCCCACCGAACGAAGTTCGAGAGGGATATAGGAAAGCTGTCCGTCCGTCTGTCCGTTCGTCCGTCCGTCCGTCTGTTTGTCCGGGCGATAACTCAAATACCGTTTCACGGATTTGATTCAAATTTTATAGGCTTATGCCTTATGGGTGTAGGACCTCTGCTCGAGAAGGAATTTTCAATATGGCCACTGAATTCAAAATGGCCGCCATTTTTCGTAAAAAATGTAATCTCTAATAACTCAAATACTAGTTTGCAGATTTGGTTCAAATTTTATATGCTGATGCCTAGGGACAAAGGAGTTTCGCACAAAAAGAGATTTTCAAGATGGCCACTTAATTTCAAAATGGCGGCCATTTTTCGTAAAAATATGTAATCTTTGATAACTCAAATACCAGTGAACGGATTTGGTTCAAATGTTATATGATGATGCTTAGGGACACAGTAGCTATGTTCGACAAAACATTTTCAAGATGGCCGCTTAATTTCAAAATGGCGGCAATTTTTCGTAAAAAACGTAATCTTTGATAACTCAAATACCAGTGAACAGATTTGGTTGAAATTTTATATGATTATGCCTTGGGACACAGTAGCTCTGTTCAAGAAATAATTTTCAAGATGGCGGCTGATATTCAAGATGGCGGCCCATATTCATAATAAAAAACATAATCTTTGATAACTCGTATACCAGTGAACGGATTTGGTTCAAATTTTATATGCTGATGCCTAGGGACAAAGGAGTTTTGCACAAAAAGAGCTTTTCAAGATGGCCGCTTAATTTCAAAATGGCGGCCATTTCTCGTAAAAATATGTAATCTTTGATAACTCAAATACCAGTGAGCGGATTTGGTTCAAATTTTATATGATGATGCTTAGGGACACAGTAGCTATGTTCGACAAAACATTATCAAGATGGCCACTTAATTTCAAAATGGCAGCAATTTTTCGTAAAAAAACATTATCTTTGATAACTCAAATTCCAGTGAACATATTTGGTTGAAATTTTATATGATTATGCCTAGGGACACAGTAGCTCTGTTCAAGAAATAATTTTCAAGATGGCGGCTGAATTTCAAGATGGCGGCCCATATTCTTAAAAAACGTAATCTTTGATAACTCATATACCAGTGAATGGATTTGGTTCAAATTTTATATGATGATGCCTAGTTCACCATGGTATAAACTAACTTTGTGCCAAATTTCATGCTTCTATCACAAAGTACACAAACATTTCAACATTTACACTAGCTATAATAAGCATAATATGTTTTGTTCGGTGGGATTTGCTACTCCGTGGAGTTGCTGTTTTTCTAGTTTGGATTGTAGATATTTAAGCCCTGTTTTCTGAGGATGTGATGATGTTTTGCCTATGTGTGAGGGGCTTTTATTTCACTATTACAGTCTATGTAGTTTTAAGAAGATGTAATGTTGTCATAGTGTCAAAAATTAGTGCTTTCTAGAGAAGTAATGAGTAAAAATCAATCATTTTTATTTATTCCAATTATAATATTTGCGAGATTGCTAAATGTTATTGAATTATATTACAGAACTCTTGCATCAACTTTTCTAAGCACTCTCATCTGTTCATAGTTCATCTGACTAGTAATAGACAGGTGGCTTGAAAGGCTAGATTTGCATTACAAATTGTCTTATTGTTGATTTAAAATATTATTTAATTCATGTATTTCTATTCTAGTCAGTGCAAGTCTTCCAAGCTGCCTAGTGAACTGCCTCAAGGTTTGGTCAACAAGGCTCTGTATGCTGGCTAACACTGACAAGATCTTTTATCCATTGATGATATTCAACATTTACATTGCAGTTGGTAAGTTAATGCAGCAATTTTTATTTTATCATTTGACATTTAGCATGACATCTTTCCTCAATTTTAACACTCTTACATTAGATTGGTGGCAGATAAAGATTTTAGCTGAATTGTCAACTTAAAAATACTAAAGCATAAATGCCTGCTATCTTTCTAGTGTGTTTGTCTTCTAAAGGTAGTAATTGATTTTTATGTCTTGGCAACTCAACTCAAGTTAACCCAACCTATATGGAGGCCATGTTGAACGCTTGTAAAGTCATGTGTCATCTTCATGTAAGCTTTATACATGAGGTGAATACTGTTATTTTTGAAGTATTTCAGCTACATGTGCCTGTCCAGTGTTCCCCAATGCCTGGCACAGTAGTTCTATTGTGTTCTTGCCACGTCTTGGTAAAATGTCTAGTAGCTTCTCAACTTTCTTCTTCCTTGTTATTTGAGCCTCTATTTCATCCTTTAGGTCAGGGGTCAACACTCTGAAATATGCAATTTTTGATTATTGAGCATGGCACAATTATATAACATGATGCAATGTACATAATATGATGCAATGTATGTAACATGATGCAATGTATGTTATATGATGCAATGTATGTAACATGATGCAATGTTTGTAATATGATGCAATGCATGTAATGCATGATGCAATGTATTAACATGATGTAATGTATGTAGCATGATGTAAGGAATGTAACAACATGATGCGATGAATGCACGAATGTAACATGATGCAATGAATGTATGATTGAAACATGATGTAATGTATGTAGCATGATGCAATGTATTAACATGATGCAATGTACATAATATGATGCAATACATGTAACATGATGCAATGTATGTAATACGATGCAATGTATGTAACATGATGCAATGAATATAATATGATGCAATGCATGTAATGCATGATGCAATGTATTAACATGATGTAATGTATGTAGCATGATGCCATGTATCTAACATGATGCAATGAATGCATGCATGTAACATGATGCAATGTTTGTAACATGATGTAATGTATGTAGCATGATGCAATGAATTAACATGATGCAATGTTGTAGCATGATGCAATGTATATAACATGATGCAATATAACAGATGAAATATATGTAAAACGATTCAATGTTTGTAACATGAAGCAAGAATGCATGATTGAAACATGATACAATGCACTTAACATGATGCAACAAATGTAAGATAAAATGATAATCATCCTATCTAACATAAGACCTTGCATTTGATATAGAAACATAAAAAGATAACAGATTGCAAGAATCACTCCTTGTTTTATACATATATGTACTTTAGTTCTTAGTCTTACATAATACTGTACATGGAATATTCTTACCCCAATTGTAATAAGTGACTCAGCAATGATCCAGGTTCAATCTCATCCCCCAGTGTGGCATAGTTGCTTCGTATCAGCTCTCTGTCTTCAGGGGGCATCAGCATATCTAAGCCTCCACCCTCAGTACTTATGTGGTCTTCAATGAGGTCTTTAAGCTTCAATATATGATCCAAAGCTTCAGACTTCTTCTCAAAGATATCATCCTTGGTAATGGTGTGGTTAAGTTTCTGCAGGAAGGTTACAGCATCGACGTAAGTGACGCTTTCCTCAATACGATGTTTTTCTAGTTTCAACATGTGGTTGATACTAGCATCCCTAGATGCTGGGAGGTCTAATACTGTTTGGCCAAACTTGTTGGAAATGTTGACTCTGGCTTTATTCTGAAGCAGGATCTTCACGAGTCCTGGGTGCATTTCTTTCACTGCATAATGAAGGGCAGTGAATTCATCTTGGTCTTTGTTGTTCACGATGGATTTCACTTTCTCATTCTGTAGTAGATGCTCCAAAATCTCACATCTTAATGACTCTGGTAAATTTCCAACCACACACAGCACATGAAGAATTGTTTTTCCAGTTTTGTTTTGGACTGAGACATCACAACCGGCAGTGAATAGGGTATCTAACTTTGGGATTGCACTTTTCCCATAATATAGGACAGCTAAATGGAGTGCAGCATATCCACTATCATTCAGTTCATCTAAGTTGCTTACTTTGCCACTTTCAATGATCAGTTCTAAATATTTAGGTGATCTACATTTCGCTGCTTCATGAAGTGCATTATCTCCATCCTCATCAGCGATGTTTGGATCAATGTTTTCCAGGGATATTAAATATTTGAAAAGTTCTGGATGATCGTTCATTACTGTTCGTATAAGTACAGTTCTGCCTTGCTGACATTTAGCATTTACATCACAACCAGCTTCAACAAGCATCTTGGAGACCTGCAAAATAGCAAAAGAATCATAAGTTCACTTTTTTTTATGTCACCACCACAAGTTGTGACATAGTGTTATAGTCTCAAACTTTTTTGTGGATGGTGTTGGGGATTAGGTGGTTTGTCTTTGGTGGTTTGTGTTTGGCATCTGTAACATATGGCAGGTGGTGACATTTTGCATGTTAATGACTTGTGTTTTCCTTACCATGTATATGTAGTATTAACATATGAATAAGGATGTTTTGTCTTGAACATTTTGAAGTAAGTTTAGTGTTTATTTTCTATACTAGACCAGATGTTATTCTCATTCAGTTAGATAAAATATCATAAAGGATTTTGTGTCGTGAAATTTATTTGTCTTTACCTTCAGTTTTGATTCTTCTGTCATTGACAAATCGCTGCTAGTATTGTACAGTGGGGTGTCGTTGTATCTGTTATGATTATTGACATCACACCCTCGCTTAATGCATAACTCTATGACTTCTAAAGGGCTTTGACTGCAAATAGCATGATTCAATATATTCGTTCCTTCCTCATCTGTGTACATTATATCACTTCCACCTCGTAATAATTCCTGGCACATTTCTAACTGAAGAGAGGATTTACCAACAGCCAAATCTATGACATCTCCATAAGGATCTGATGCAATATCAACCTTACTATCAACAAGTAACCTTATCATATCAAGATTGCTGCGGTAAACAGCATGCCTTAGAACTGTCCATTCTCTTTCATCAGTGGCATTAATGTCAAACCCAGCATCAATCAGTGATCTTGCTATATCAATATCATTGTGTTTTACAGCGATGTGCAGTACAGTGCATCCATCAGAGTCTCGCTGGTCTTTGTCTAGAGAATTTTTCTGTCTGCTCAATATTTTTTTCACTCCGTTAATCTTGCCCGCTTGAACTGCGTCAAGAATTGATGTTTCATCACCTAGATAACATAATGATCATGAATTATTCAATGAAAACTGACGAAACAAGGGTTTCCCTGTAAAGCGGTCACATAATATGTTTGCAGGGGTAGCATGATCTTATAGTACAGTGATTCATTGGCCATCTATTAAACAATACAAATTATGACAATTCGTATTACAAATATGGTTGAAGTTTTAACATACCAAATTCATCATATTCCTCTACTTTCCTTGCCAGATCGATGCGTCCAATTTCTGTTAACAGCTTTGTTAGATAAGACACATCACTCTTTGAAACAGTTTCTTTAGAGACGAGAAGCTCAATTAGCTCTAGACCTTTGGCAGCTCCCTCTAGAATCCCTCGCTCAAACTTAGGACCCCTTAGTAGCATCTTCAAACTTGCAATGTCATCTGCAATAAAACAACCTTGTGGATTGTGTTTGAATCAAAAGATAACAGTAAAAGATAACAGTAAGTGATCCATTTGCTCACCATCCATTTCCATAGGTTAAGTTTAACCAAATAAAAATATTTTATTGGACTTAATAGTCTAGATAGAGATGCATAAGCATCCTTGGTAAATCATAAAATGACTCATTTGAAATATTAAACAAGTCATCCTGAAAACCCGTCATGTTAAGGAAAACCATTTAAAGGATGATTCATATGTGATCACCACTTATTTAAGATCATTATTTTTATCATATCTTGAAGAATCATAGAACTATGTAATATTCATAATGCCGTCTGAAATATGTAAAGTGTATACTATACTGTACATAAATGACCAATATCTACCATTAGTAGTAAATATTATTGTCGCAATAGAAATGAATAGAAGATTGAAATTCTTACCCTCTAAAAGATCATTTCCAATGTGGGTGATCAGTCTGTTGAATGGCTCAATTTTAACCTGTGTTGCCATGCTTCTGGATTGCACTAAAGATAAAATAAGAATTATTATCCAGTACTTGGACAGGTTTCACAAATCTTAAAGGTTAAAACTTAATAACACACTGAATGACCTTAGTTTTAATCCAAATGACCTAAAATCATTTTTGATGCGTTCATAATTGATAAAAGTAACTATTTCCATATTATTTTCAATGAAACCTTTGGGGGCACCTTCAGGTACATTAGGTAATGGCTCCTTTTCAAATTTGACAAACAATTTTCAAAAAACATATTTCTAGATGTACTTTTACATCTAGATTTCAAATATGACATCACTTTGACTGAGACAGGTGATCACTAGAGAGAGATGTTCACTAAGACAGGTTTTACTGACAGTAATGATATTTCATATTTACAAAAAATATCCTGAACTTTATATGTATTGCTATCTGTACAGTGAATACTACAAACACATTTGAGCTGTGTTCCTTTTAGCTGTTTAATTATGTATCTATGTCTAGTCTTGGACTCGAACTTGGTCTCATTGTAATATATTAATAGTATGTCTCAAATATCACTCATTTTATGCTGTTTGATTTGATTATTGCAGTTAAGAATAAGATCTATATCAAACTTACCAGTTAGCTCTTTTCAAGCTGCTCGTGTACACAGATATGTAGTCTGAATATAAATGTAGTGTATACAGGAAGTGGATGTCTAAATTATCTCGTGCAGTGACTCACTCTCAAAGTCAGCTGTTGTATTCCAGACTAAATAAACATAATACATGCACAGTAAAACCTTTATATCTGAACACCACTCTCAAGTTAAACACACACAAATGTGAAGAATTTTTAACACCACTCTTAAGTAAAACACCCCACACACAAATGTGAAGACTTTTCTGAAAATGTGAAGTTTTCATATAAGAAAACCTGTCTAATATGAACACTTTTCATAAAATATCACAAGTTTGATATGAAATCACACAAATATTTTTTCTTGTTTTTATGATGTTCGAGCTTTGACAGCTCAAACCTTTCTTTCTGACATAACTAAGTGGTCATTTGAAATAGGAATTTGTTGAGAATTTGTGTTCACCCTTCTTTAAAATCCAGAATTCCATAAATTAGATTGAATTAAATGTGAACTTACCCTAATTAGAACACTTTTAGCCGATTCCTGGTAATGTTGTCAGGCTTTGTTGTGTGTTGTTTTGATGGATCAGTTTGTGTAGTGGTAGTAGTTGGCTGAGTCTGTGGTACTATTCTAGACTAAAGCAGATTGTGTGTTAATTTGTTCGAATGAGGAAGTTTTATTAATGAAAACTGCAGGGTTAGCTGGTTATCCCAACCTATCACTGCTTTTCAGTTGAATCAACAGGATGCCTATTAATCATAATGTAAAGATAATTCACCAACCAGCAGTCAGGCAAATAAAAATGAGGACAAGAGGATGATATCAGCCTTAAAAAGTACTTTGAATCATGTGGGAAGGGGGATTGGCCTAATATAAACATTTCACAATTTTTGGAATGGACTTAAGATTACCAAGTTTTACTATGTGCCAAAAAGTGCACACCCAAAAAGTACACATACTAATTTATAACCTACAGATTTAGATATATGACACAAGTTGACTAAAAAATTTTAAGGTTTTTCATGCCTTTCCATGATCTTCTGGGTAGATATCACTGAAATCTCCAATCCCACTCTATTGTTTAAGACAATGGTCATTTCTATAAATGTATTGTTTAAGGATTTAAGCCCTGGACTCAATGCATTTGAACCTAGAATGAAGAAATCCTAGTTGTGAACTGATTATTATTCCTAAAACGTGTTGTTTCAAAGTTTAGGAAACAACGCCTGAGTGGAATGAATCAGCCACAATGCATTGAGTCTATGCTTTTCACACATTGCAAAACATTTTATACAATATCACTTAAAAGACACAAAATAACTTCAGAAAATAATTTCCCTTTTTCAAGGAAACTCTTTGCAAGGGTCAGGTTGTCACTTTGGCAACCACGCATTACAATATGTTTTATGTATATATCACTTAAAAGATATGAATTGACTTAAGATAAGAATTTCCTTTTTTCAAGGAAACCTTTTGCAAGGGTCAAGTTGTAACTTCTGTTTGTTTCAGTCAGCATCATGGATTATAACCTTGACAACCATACAACACTCACCATTAGACCTGCATAACATGTAGCTTGTTATTCCCTATGATATTATTTATAGATTTTTACTGAACTATGAAATTGATCAGCTTATTGGTTTCATTAGTTTCGATAAAGTCTAAAAATGACCTGGGGTGCATTGGAGTAGTATATTGCAATACAATTATATGAAATAGTGTGTTCTGATTGGCTGGAATTGGACACACCATACCTGTTTGAATACTTTTCATTTGCTCTTATTTGATTATCCCAATGAACGAAGTTCGGTAGGGATATAGTGAAGCCCTCCGTCCGTCCGTCAGTCCGTCCGTCCGTCCGTCCGTCCGGAAGATAACTCAAATATTAGTCGACGAATTTTCTTCATATTTGGTGGAAAGATGTATATTGATGAATAGTTTTACGCAAAAAAAAATTTTTTCAAGATGGCCGCCGCTTTAAAAATGACGGGACTTTTTCGCAAAAATCATAAATTTTTCATTCTAAACCAAAGTGATCAATATTATTGTTTGAAATTTTGGTAGTATATTCGCAACATCTATCCATTTCACATATATTCCGTGTTTTTCATCCTGACCCCCAGGGGCCGTGTATGGGGGGTCAGGAAAACAGACATTTTCGCTAATTTTTAGATCTTTCTTAAGTATAGCTTTATTATACTCAAATGAAAGGCAATTAAGAGTAGATTGCAAATATTGTATCTTTTTTCTGATTCGAGCCTCGTAAAATTCAAAATGGCCGTCTTATGTACGATTTCGCAATAATTTTTCGATCCCTTCAATGTATGGCTATATAATACTCAAATTGAAGGAATTTTGGAGTAGATCAAAATTATGGTATTATTTTTCAGATTTTACCTCAGAAAATTCAAAATGGATTTTTTCAAGATGGCCGCTGCTTTAAAAATGACGGGACTTTTTCGCAAAAATCATAAATTTTTCATTCTAAACCAAAGTAATTTATATTATTGTTTGAAATTTTGGTGGTATATTCGCAACATCTATCTATTTCACACATATTCCGTGTTTTTCATCCTGACCCCCAGGGGTCGTGTATGGGGAGTCAGGAAAACAGAAATTTTCGCTTATTTTTAGATCTTTCTGAAGTATAGCTTTATTATACTCAAATGAAAGGCAATTCAGAGTAGATTGCAAATATTGTATCTTTTTTCTGATTCGAGCCTTGTAAAATTCAAAATGGCCGTCTAATGTACGATTTCGCAATCATTTTTCGATCCCTTCAAAGTATGGCTATATAATACTCAAATTGAAGGAATTTTGGAGTAGATCACAATTATGGTATTATTTTTCAGATTTGTACCTCAGAAAATTCAAAATGGCTGCTTTGCAGGAATTCGCAATTCTAAAATCTAAATTTTTCAATTTTAACCAAAGTAATGAGTATAATTGATTGGAATTCGGTAATTGATATTTTGTTCGTTGGGATTTGCTACTCCGCGGAGTTGCCGTTATCTAGTTACCATGGCATTTGCTCACACATTTCCTGGAGCAAGTTTTTATCACAATGAACAAAGTTTGAGGGGATATAGCAAATACCAGTGGACAGATTTGGTTTAAATTTTATATTCTGATGCCTAGAGACTTAGAAGCTCTGCTCAGGACAACATTTTCAAGATGGCTACCCCTTTTCAAAATGACTGCCATTTTGCATAAAAAAACTCAATCTTTGATTACTCAAATACTAGTTGATGGATTTGGTTCAAATTGTATATGCTGATGTCTAGGGACAAAGGAGTCCAGCTTGAGATGATGTCAATTGAATTTCAAAATGGCCGCCACTAAAAACGTAATCTCTGATAACTCAAATACCAGTGAGCAGATTTAGTATTCTATGTGCTGATGCCTTCAGATAAAGGAGCATTGCTCAAGAGTTTTTTAAGATAGCCTCTGCAGCTGTTTTACATTGTATCTTCTTTATATAAAGGGCAATTAATATATACATACATAACATGTTTTGTTCAGTGGGATTTGATAGTCCTTGTTGCTGTTTTCTAGTTCTGACATTGATATAATCTCTTAATATAGACAATACAGAATTGAGTTCTCAACATTGTTATATTTGTCTAATTACAGGTCCATGGTTCATAGGGGAGCTGATAGATGGCCACATTGGAGCATGTTTTGTATATGGCCTCTATACAAATGGCACATTCATTCCCGGGAGTCTAGTCTATGCTTATGGTATTTTACAGGTAAGGCAGTGTCTCTTAAACAGCATAAATTAATAGGAATATCATATGTTTTGAAAAGTTAACATTAATTTCCATGTGATATTTGATCAGTCCTTACAACAATTGGAGCCTTAGGGTTGCTACCTCACGATAGCCTTTGGTCATTCTTTGTTTTAGAAGGTTAGAAATTCTAGATTAAAATTATATGTTTCAATGGCAGCATGGTATGAAAAAACAGATAAATATTCTGTATAATGAAAGATATAGTATTACAGGTGTCAGGGTGTGTGTGTATGTTTTCATTTTAAACATTCCATAGTGAGAAAAACAGTATGAATATATGAATCTTATTTGTCTTGAAGAACAGGACTTTGTAAAATTGAAATGTACAGGAGCACAGTGCATCTGAATTCTGAAACTTCTAATTTCAGATCGTGACATTCAACATTCCGCTGACTTTCTATCTGGCACGTTGCCTTGAATTCTACACAGCAAAATTCAAAAAGGAAACCCAGTCTACCAAACTGCATATAATCCGCCAAGACTGGCCGTTGTATCTGATACTACTTTGGCAAACCTGGTTGTCCTACCATGGATTCTATTTAGCCTATGGGGGCGTTGCGTTCATGTTGTGCCCAATAAGAACATGGTCTGTAGTGTTTGGAATAATATTGAGAAAACGTGCCATCACATGTGTACAGGAGAAATATGGAGTAAACATTAAAAATGGCGACCATAAACTTTCAAAAAGTTGATGTTGAATTTTTAATTTATTTAACAATGCAGTATTTTTTATTGTAATGTGTCATACAGATTGTTTTAGTCTATGCAGACCATATTATCTCATTTAAGCTCACTTATACAAATATACAACAATGTTCATATGTTCATTTTTATCTCACATGGTGAGCTATTGCAATCACTCACTTGTCCATCTGTCTGTCAGTCCGTCTGTCTGTCTGTCAACAATTGGCCCATTTTAAAACCTCTGTCAATAGGATTCCCATTTTAAGTTGTATTTGTTCAACATCAATATAGAAAACCCCCCTATGACTTCTGGTTCAAAAGCTTGCCTATTTTCAAAATGGCCGCCATTTTTGTCTCGCGAAATTTACTTTTGGACCATTTGCTTTGAAACCTGTGTCAATAGGATTACCGTTTTAAGTTATTTTTGTCCAACATCAATACAGAAAACTCACCTATGACTCCTGGTTCAAAGGCTCGCCTATTGTCAAAATGATCACTATTTTGTCTCCCAAAATTCATTTCCTAGCTTTACAAATAATTCCAGGTGTCCTGCATCGTAAAACGCCATGTCACTGTAAAGAGTAGTTGTATGAAATAATTTTGTTACAAAAAATCAGCAAAAAAATTATATCCGTTTTTTTATTTTTGGCCATTTTAGTTAACATTGATTTGTCCATCTGTCTCGCAAAATCCACTTTTGGACCATTTGCCTTAAAACCTCTGTCGATAGGATTCCCGTTTCAAGTTATTTTTATTCAACATCAATATAGAAAACTCACCTATGACTCCTGGTTCAAAAGCTTGCCTATTTTCAAAACGGCCGCCATTTTTGTCTCGTGAAATTCACTTTTGGCCCATTTCCTAGCAAGACAAAGCAGTTGTACTATTTGGAATGTATATTTGGAGTTTATTTGAAACAATATGGTTGTTGATGTTGAGTTATATGTTATATGTCACTAGGTCCTTGCTGGCCAATGGTCTTAAGCTGCAGTCTATATTATATTATACACTCTGGCTGGTTTATTATTGCCTATGAGATCAAACAAATAAAGGGAGGCAATCTCACATCACCACCCACTTGTAGCTCAATTTTAGATGTACTGTACCAGTAAATAGTATAACAATATACATGCTATACAATAATGTCATGTAGTATACACACTGGTGATCCGCTCGATTACGTTGGTTACCTAAACAGTTCGTTTTGGTAACAAAATGTCGGAACGTCGAAGGTACGATTTTTCTTTTTTCCTTATTTCACGCGTTGTAGGCAGAATCCCCACGACGTTTTTTCTCACAAACGTATATCAGTATCATATGTTTTAGAAAATGTACATGTTTGCGAAAAAATAGCTCAGAAGACAACAGAATCGTCGATTTAATTCCTCACTTAAGTTACATAAACGGTTTGGGTTAAAAGTGCAGATCTTAACTGTTTTTCGAAAAAACGTTTATGTAACTCAAGTGAGGAATTAAATCGACGATTCTGTCGTCTTCTGAACTATTTGTTCGCAAATATGTACATTTTCCTAAACATATGATACTGATACACGTTTGTGTAAAAAATGTCGTGGGAATTCTGCCTACAACGTGTGAAATAAGGAAAAAAGAAAAATCGTACCTTCGATGTTCCGAAATTTTGTTACCAAAACGAACTGTTTCGGTAACCAGCGTAATCGAGTGGATCACCAGTGATACATTTACACTGTACAATATACATGTATACTATACCATATACGTGTATGATATACGATATATCTGATGTACAATATTATAGTATATATGTGGGATACAATAAACATTGTATGTGTATGCTATACAATATATGTATATGCTATTTTGTATCCTATGCTGCACAGTATAGATGTATGCTATACAATAAATATAAAAACCATACACTATGCATGCATGTTAAACAATATACATATATGCTGTACAATATACATCTCTGATATTCAATTAAATGCTACATGTTTATTATTTATGCTCTATAAAAACATGTATGTTATGCAAGATATGCCTACCTATACTACATGAAGTATAAATAACCTAATGTATTATCCCATGGAACGAAGTTCGAGGGGGATATAGAAAAGCCATTCGTCCGTCCCTCCGACCTGGCAATAACTCAAATACCCTTGGCCCATTTTGTTCATATTTTGTAAACATATTGTATGGGGGTAGAAGTTCTGCTCGAAAGCCGATTTTCAAAATGGCCGCTCAATCAAAAATGGTGACCATTTTAGTGTCGATCTTTTTTATTTTTAGGTACAATATGAAAAACTGTAATAGCAATATGTTTTAAATGTAAAAAAGTTATATAGGACATTAATAAAGCTAGAAATGTAGATCTTAAAGAAGCACATGGCAGTCATCTTGAAAAATGGCGGCCTTTACTCGCTATTTTACAATTTTTGCTGTAACTCGAAAAGTAGTGGAGCAATTTTGCTCAAATTTTGTATGTGAATACTTTAAGCATGACACACTCTCTAATGACACTTTTGGTTTAAATGTATTTTACTATAACTCGAAAAGTAGTGGAGCGATTTTGTTCATATTTGGTATGTGAATACTATAAGCATGGCACACTGTGTAATGACACTTTTGGTTGAAGGCGGTCATTTTTCAAAATGGCTGCCATTTTTGCTATATACTTTGTTTGTAAAAATGCCAGCCATGGCTGTTCGATGGGATTTGCTACGCTTTCAAAGTGTAATAAAATAAATGACACTGACCTGTTGGTGATATGATAATTTAATATGAATTTGTTGACACTTAATGGTTAATTAATTTTAAGCCTCTGGGAATATAATAGCTTTTACTAAGCTATAACCAACTAGTTTACTTTCTGACTTATGAGGATGAAATTTTCCACATATCAAAACATAACAAAACACGTTGTTTAACCGGTTTCTCATGTTATATTTCTTGTTAGTATAATTGATCTAGTACAGTTCATTATAACTCTTCTTTCTGATCACTGTCTTGTTTCTTAATTAGGTTTTGAACAGTTTCACTCCAGAATTTCACACTGTCATCTCTGAATTTATTTAGAATGACTGAACGAAGTCTAAGACTTATAGCTTCATGATTGTCAGTGCTAAACTGTGGCCATTCCAACAGATTACCTCCATTTGGGTTGCTGGAAACAGAAATGGAGATTCCTTCACATATTGCAAGAGTTGATTTTATTTTTTGATACATTTTTAGCATAGATATATAATAGTAGGAGGTTATCCATATGATAAGTTATTTAATCTTTTTGTTTCATCCTGCTTGGTGGGAATTTTTTATGATTACATTATTCCTCATGAACATGGATTGTTCTTTGCACTTTATACAGTGTTTTATTTAAAACAATCCCCCGAGGGTATTAGTTCAAATATTGGAGCACAAAATTACAAGTTATCAAGTTGAATATGTAATAATGTACAATTAGTCTTACCCAGTCTTCCCAAAGTTTGTCCAGTATTTAAGCATCTGATTCTCAATGATCACATCATTATCGTCCCAAAGAAAAGTATCATCAGTGTTCATTGGGGACTTTGAAATGCCAAACATGTAAAAAATGTCATCCCCATGATCTGCCTTGATATATGCTGGGCGTCCATGGAATCTCAGATGCAGAGGGGAGTGGCTGAGCTCATATACAAAAACATCTGCTCCAATTTCTGAAAAAGTAAAATTCTGAAGGTCTAAGGTCAAGGTTATCAAACTAGATCACAAAGAGTATCATCTAAGTTTCTCAAAGTTCTAGACTACCAATCAATATTTTTATTATTCTGCTTGATAAATCTATGTGTTGTGTATTTTAAACATGGTTTTTTTCATTTATTTTTAATTAAAACCAGGTGCTGACATGTTGTCATTTTAATGCCTTGTTAAAATATGCAAGTGAAAGCCAAATCAACGTTTTAAAATTCCTTTAGATGGACGGAGGGGTCAAATTATCCATGACTGTTGATAATTTGATACCAACCTTAAATGTAATTTTACCTCTCATTTCATTAGAGTAAGTAAGTAAGTAAGTAAGGTATTTATAAGAGTCTCACGCTGTACAAATTAAAATACATTTTGATACTTGACATTTATGTGCGTTTGAGCGCAGCGACATTCGCTCATAAATGATTTCTTTAGGCGTTGTGTAAATGGAACAGGTGTACGAGTTGATGTTGAGTTGTTTTGCATGAGTGCATGTTAGAACGGAGTGTAACTTCATTCTGAGCTTTGCCACGTATCGAGACGCACTTTATTTTAATAAAATTATTATGTTTTAGAACATTTACATGTCTTTGATTGATCGCGTACCTTTTCCGCATTAATTTGAGGTTTTTAATGGCCGAGATCAATTAATTTCGATAAATGTTAGTTTATATTTCTTTGTTAAGTCTTAACGTTCACATTTAGAGTGTTCTTTCATGCTATAAAGGGAATCATGTCATAGTATCGTTACCTGCGTACTTAATGTGACTTGTATTTACCATGTTCATAACAACATGCTGTTACAGAGGCTACTTTTTCAATAAATGAAAGTGGCAAGCTCACTTCCTTATAATTTGATATCGTTGTTCTGTTGCATCGAGCAAAGCAAAGAAAATTGATTAAAACAACAGCTCAGCTGGCTCCGACTTATGAGAGGCTTAGAATGGTGGAATAATAGACTTTATGTTTCAGCACTATAGATATGTAAGTAGTAAGTATTAATATGAATAGGGAATTTACCTTTCAATGTATTTGCAGTCCTGAGCACTGGTATAGACAGTTATATGCAAGTAGTAAGCGTTAATATGAATATGGCATTTACCTTTCAATGCATTTGCAGTCCTGAGCACTGGTATAGACAGTTATATGTAGGTAGTAAGTATTAATATGAATAGGGCATTTACCTTTCAATGTATTTGCAGTCCTGAGCACTGGTATAGACAGTTATATGCAAGTAGTAAGCGTTAATATGAATATGGCATTTACCTTTCAATGCATTTGCAGTCCTGAGCACTGGTATAGACAGTTATATGTAAGTAGTAAGTATTAATATGAATATGGCATTTACCTTTCAATGTATTTGCAGTCCTGAGCACTGGTATAGATAGTTATATGTAAGTAGTAAGTATTAATATGAATAGGGCATTTACCTTTCAATGCATTCGCAGTCCTGAGCACTGGTATAGACAGTTATATGTAGGTAGTAAGTATTAATATGAATAGGGCATTTACCTTTCAATGTATTTGCAGTCCTGAGCACTGGTATAGACAGTTATATGCAAGTAGTAAGCGTTAATATGAATATGGCATTTACCTTTCAATGCATTTGCAGTCCTGAGCACTGGTATAGACAGTTATATGTAGGTAGTAAGTATTAATATGAATAGGGCATTTACCTTTCAATGTATTTGCAGTCCTGAGCACTGGTATAGACAGTTATATGCAAGTAGTAAGCGTTAATATGAATATGGCATTTACCTTTCAATGCATTTGCAGTCCTGAGCACTGGTATATAGATAGTTATATGTAAGTAGTAAGTATTAATATGAATATGGCATTTACCTTTCAATGTATTTGCAGTCCTGAGCACTGGTATAGATAGTTATATGTAAGTAGTAAGTATTAATATGAATAGGGCATTTACCTTTCAATGCATTCGCAGTCCTGAGCACTGGTATAGATAGTTATATGTAAGTAGTAAGTATTAATATGAATAGGGCATTTACCTTTCAATGCATTCGCAGTCCTGAGCACTGGTATAGATAGTTATATGTAAGTAGTAAGTATTAATATGAATAGGGCATTTACCCTTTAATGCATTTGCAGTCCTGAGCACTGGTATAGACAGTTATATGTAAGTAGTAAGTATTAATATGAATAGGGCATTTACCTTTCAATGCATTTGCAGTCCTGAGCACTGGTATATAGATAGTTATATGTAAGTAGTAAGTATTAATATGAATATGGCATTTACCTTTCAATGCATTCGCAGTCCTGAGCACTGGTATAGACAGTTATATGTAAGGAGTAAGTATTAATATGAATATGGCATTTACCTTTCAATGCATTTGCAGTCCTGAGCACTGGTATAGACAGTACAGAATCTCCAAACATTCTTGCTATAGCTAATGTCAGTTCATCTTCAGTTGGTTTCTTCTGAGGAAGAAATCTCTCAATCAGTGCTATAAAGGAAAAAAGGAAAAGTCAGTGCTTCATAATACGTAAGAGTCTGATATAGTGGCTCGTTTGGTGACGATACAAGCGATTGATACCAGGTATCAAAGATGGATACGTTAACATATCTCATATTTTGCTGAAATCTTCCAAATATTCATTCTGATACTCAGACCATCTCTCCCATGCAAAAAAGGAAATTGATAGGAGACTGTGATATCTCATGCACGATGCCAAATATTTCACTTTTTGAGAAATCATTTCTTTATTTTAGTTTGGTTTTCCACTACTGATGTGGCACAAATGCAAACAAAATGCTAGATTGTTAGTCAAAGTGTGAACAAATTTTTTTGTCTTCATAATTCAATGTACTGGCTCTTATTAAAATGTCTATATTCTGGTTGACTCAGCTTCGTTTGGATGGCAAAGCTTTTTCTGGATGACTCGGCTTAAAAAAAGTCTTAAAACAACTTGTTCAATTTCACATGTCAAGTTCAATATACTGCCTTGACTTTTTATCCCAAAAAATAAATTTAAAAATGTTTGTTCATTGAGCGAAAAAATATAAGCCTAAAAAGTATGTTTGAAATTATAGAGTATTAATGTTAAACATATGAGGTTGAAACTTTTGAACACCCTTGATATAATTACACTCATATAAAGTACCAGGCATAGATAGTTACTGTAACCCCCCCCCGCTCCCCCATTAAAATGGTATGTTTGGGACAATGTTGACACCCTTAGTAAAAACTAACAAGAAGACAGACAAACTTCCAAAAATAATTTGCAAAACATGTAGAGCTGATTTAAACTACACCTGTAGAGTTGATGATTGGCTATTCACTCAATGTGATAGTGTACAGTTATTGTACTTTAACTAAATCATTGTTACAGCAGCTGATAGACTTGCAACTCTGACTTGACTCAAGTTACAGTGCTGTCCCTCAGTCAATATAATACATCTGCTATTTATCTATAACATATACCTTTTTCCAATCGTTCATAGGCTTCCTCATCACTTGGGTCTGGGAGAGTAAACATTTGTAGCATTGGCTTATAATCTTGGAAGAGTGTTTCCTTCGTCTTATTCTCGGTAAAGTGAGGAAAGGAATTCTTCCCAGTCAACAGGTAGCCTAAAATAACAATGTACAGGTATTTATTATTTTGTCATAATTCATTTTTATACAAATTGATGTATAGTGGTATATGTATTTATACAAGTGGTATATACTGATATATAGAGGATATCCTATGATTTATGAGTGATATGATTTTTATCCACGAATGGATATGATATTTGCACGAGCGAACGTAGCGAGAGAGTGCAGATATCAATATCCATGAGTGGATTAAAATCATATCACGAGGATGTTCTTTTTATTATTCCATAGTTAAGTCATCATCAGAATCGTCGGAAATTAAGTGATTGAATTCGAATTTTCCAAACGATCCGGCGATGTTGACACTTAGCCTCGCTTTGAGTCTGAAGTAGCAAAAATCCATAATTCATAGCATATGCTATGGTTAAGTGAAAATTTGTCAAAAATATCATATTTTACCACTGATTACAAAAATACCGTTTTTATTTTGACATGTTATCCTATGAATATCATGCTAACTATGGAATAAGTATTTATATGTGTTTGTGATTTTGGTAGTTGTTATCCCAACGAACGAAGTTCGGTAGGGATATAGTGAAGCCCTCCATCCGTCAGTCTGTCAGTCAGTCAGTCCGTCCGGAAGATAACTCAAATATTAGTAAACGGATTTTCTTCATATTTAGTGGAAAGATGTATATTGATGAATAGTTTTACGCAAAAAAAATTTTTTCAAGATGGCAGCTGCTTTAAAAATGACGGGACTTTTTCGCAAAAATCATAAATTTTTCATTCTAAACCAAAGTAATTAATATTATTGTTTGAAATTTTGGTAGTATATTCGCAACATCTATCTATTTCACATATATTCCGTGTTTTTCATCCTGACCCCCAGGGGCCGTATATGGGGGGTCAGGAAAACAGAAATTTTCGCTAATTTTTAGATCTTTCTGAAGTATAGCTTTATTATACTCAAATGAAAGGCAAGAGTAGATTGCAAATATTGTATCTTTTTTCTGATCCGAGCCTCGTAAAATTCAAAATGGCCGTCTAATGTAAGATTTCGCAATAATTTTTCGATCCCTTCAAAGTATGGCTATATTATACTCAAATTGAAGGAATTTTGGAGTAGATCACAATTATGGTATTATTTTTCAGATTTGTACCTCAGATAATTCAAAATGGCTGCTTTGCAAGAATTTGCAATTCTAAAATCTAAATTTTTCAATTTTAACCAAAGTAATGAGTATAATTGATTGGAATTCGGTAATTTATATTTTGTTCGTTGGGATTTGCTACTCCGCGGAGTTGCCGTTATCTAGTTTATTCTGACCTTCATTTTCCATAATACCAATCATAAAGTTGATGTCTCTGATACGACGTTTAGTAGCAGCATCTTTCACCATATCATTTGGTGTCTTTGGCATAAATGCGTCACCATATGTGGGCTGAAATGGCCAGTACCACATTCCCTGTGGTGGTTTAGCATTAATGATATCATCTGTAGATGTAGTTCTAAGACAGGCTACGAGTTCTTTGTTCCCTGCAGTACTATCGCAACCTACGAGTATATGTGCATAGTTTTCTTATCATAGGTGAAACGCCAAGTACGATACACTAAACCCTGTGAAAGTTCCACTTAGGTGTTCCATTGATAGAAGCTTGATTAATAATAATTCAGTGGGTCAAGTGGTTCCCTCTCAAATGTGATCTACTCATTGATGTTTCTACTGGTAGCAATAGCCCAGATGTGAGTAAGTAGTTACCAGCTTCACCACCAGGTGGCTAATTCGGGTCAGATAACATGGCAGGTATATTAGAAACCTTCCTTATACCTGAATATTAATCAGTTATAGCGGATCAATTTTCGTATTACCCTTATGTATCTGATAGTTATACACATTAAAATATGTCCAGTAAAACAAAATATTATCCATTATTATTGAAGAAAAGATATTTCAATTTTTATTAAGATTTTATAACATGGGGTCTTTGGGAAATCGCCCCGAACTAGAAGTCACATTTTCAAAGAAAATTAAATTAAGTTGATAAACAGTTTTAAGACCACATTTCTCAATGTAATTTTTCATGTAGATTTCAAAAATTTGAATATTTATTGATGTAAAAAAATTAATTTCTACTAAAATTATTTCTACTAGCATCTAGTCTATTAAAACAAGTCTATGTAAAAGCTTGTGAATAGTCTATTGAGACATTGAAGTTAGAAGTGTAGTATATGCACAGCAATGTAACTAAATTATGATGTTTAATATAAGGCTTACAGGCTGAAACTTACCAACAGCTTTTGCAAGTTCACTATTTAAATACTGGCCACTACCAGCTGGTTGCAGGTACTCCATATATAATACTGATCCACTTTGGGGAATTGCACGAGAGAACAGTCCTTCAGCTAGTGGGGAAATGGATAGTGCCATAACTGACATGCCTCCTTATAGAATAACAATAAAAGTAAAATTAGATGATCTTATTGAGAAGGATACAAAATTAAGTGCGAGGGAATATAACATGTGGAAGCTGAATATATACATATTCACCAAAAATTGAAAGGAATTAGTAATGTACAGGGATTGATGGTATAATTCATTGTTTTAGTATTCTGTTTGTTGCTCACTCAAACATGGGCAGAGAATATACTCTGTAGTATACAGTTCAAGATAAGGTGTGAAGGAGGCTGTTCATTGAAATTCTGGTGAATATATGTTCATCTTTTTATTTAATCATGTGATTCGTTCTTGAAAATTACTTCAAATACATACAGGACATATCAGATATCAACAAAGAGACTTTTGATTACCTGCACTCTCTCCAAATATTGTAACCTCTTTTGGGTCTCCACCAAAAGATGCTATATTTTCATTGACCCATTTAAGAGCTTGAATCTGATCGAGAAGTCCAGCATTACCTGGTGCATCGTCATCTCCAGTGCTCAAGAAACCTAAAACCAATATTCAGTTCTAAGTGCTGCATACCTTTTCAAATAAAAAAAATATTCAATTGTATCTGATTAATATCAGAATCTTTATGAAACTTATTAACGGTATATTTAGAAATGTTTGGGGTGACCAAATAGCAGTATGTGAAGCAGTATGATGATTTAGATTAGTTGTGGTATGAATGCCTTATTGAGCATTACAAGTATATTAAATAAAAACAATGATGATTTTAATGTTTTTCATTTATTTTTTATTTGAACAAAACTGCTTTTACAGTTGTCTATAATTCAACATTTTAATAATGGTGGGTCTGCTGTATCATTTTCTTGCAATATCCCATAATTCAGAGACATGATCTTAAGCACACCTAGACAATAGTAATATCTTATGATCTTACCTAGTGGTCCTAGGCGATAGTTGATTGTGACAATCACTACATCTCCTGTTGATGCTAACACTGTCCCATCATACATCCTGTTAGAACCTATTCAATAACATAGCAAGCTTTTCAAGTTTGGAATAGGCGCAATGATTAAGGAGAAAGTCAATATGTCTATATAATCCACCAAACTTGATATTACGTTTGTTGGAGTTGCCCAAAGTTCATTGTTTTGGCAGTAATATCTTGCCTATATTTGGAAAGAAATAATTTTTTATTTTGAAGAAAATTCATAATATTCACTTTAATTTTGGGAACAAAAGAGAATGGATCAATCTGAAATACAAGCCTGGTTACTAATAAGGTCAATTGAAAACATGAATAAAGATTTTTGAAAATAAACTCACCAAGCATAAATCCTCCTCCATGTATCCATACCATGACAGGTAACTTTGCCTTCTCATTGAGTGTTTGGGTGAATACGTCTAGGAGGAGGCAGTCTTCACTCATGGGTCTGTTCTTCTCGATTGGCCAGCCAACATCTTCTAATGTGTCTGACTGAGCTGGGTCTTGGATACATTCTGGGGCTGAAACATTACCTCATTTTCAAAATCTTCTGATTTAATGTATTTTACATGTTTTACGGTATTTTCTATATCAAAATACATTGAAACATGTTAAGTTGAACACCTCTGTTAGTGGAACACTTCAGAGTCCAAAGACCAACTGACTTATAAGTGGAACACCTCCAAATAAATAAAAGGGGAACTCTTATTAGAGGTACCAAAGGTGTTGTACTTAGACAGATTTTACTGTACTGGTAAATTATACTTCATGAGTGGGTCTAAAACTTTGCTACGTTTATTACCCCTTTGTGTTGCATCCCTAACTCCACTCCATGGTTTGTTCTTCTGTGGGGGCTTAAACCTAAGGTCACCTAAAGGTGGCACTGCATATGGTATGCTACGGAATGTAAAGATTGGCTTTTCTGGATCACTTGTGGAGTATTGTAAGGACCCTCTCAACCCTCCATCTTTGATTGTATGAAGCACTGATGCTCCACTCTCTACAGCCTCGACTGCCACACCTGTATGATTAACAGAAGCACTGTAATAATGAAACTGCTATATAGTACATAAAATAACATCACACTAATCAGGAAAACTCAAAATACGTAGTTGTACTTTATCAACCAAGAAAACTTACTTTTTTTCACATATGCCTATTTGTAATATTGTCGAGAATTTGATTGATTTTTCACAGGAATCTACTGGTAATTCTCAATCATACTCATACAAAGATATTTTTCTTGTCTTACAAAAAATGAAAATAGGGGCAACTTATATTACAAATATTATACTTTAACACCTCTTAGAGGCTCATGGTAAGACCATAACATCCCTTAGAAGCTTGAGATGAGAATTATCCATTTTATTTACTTATTATGTACCTATCCCATCCTTCATTCAAAGGACTTCATTTATTACTCAATTTAGCCCTTCATGCAAGGCCAGGTAGTTTCATTTTAGGGGTGATAAATTAGCTGAGTTTCTTAGTGGTCAACGCAGAAAATGCGTTCTCCAATCATAATGTTCTATACATAATTCAATAGGGATGTTTCGTTCTCCCTCTGTTTATGACCCCTAATGAGATACAAATTACTTATAAATTTGATTCTTAACAAGAAATGCATGCAGACTTGGGCAATAAACTCATAAGTGAACTTATAATGTCTGTTTATTACTGTTAACATCTTTACTGTGAAACAACTGTTCTGATTGGCTGGTGATTGAATGGCTATTTGAAAGTTTGTTTGCTCAATCCCGACTAAGCTGCACCAATATGGTTGGCCTATTAGTATAAAGAATGCATGCGTTGTTTACGGGTGTGTAGGCGTTAATTACGCTCGTGTAGATGTAAAATTACGCCCGTGCTGACGAAAAATTACGCCTGTGTAGGCATAAATTACGCCCGTGAAGAAGTAAATTCTACGGGCGTACAGAATACATTTACAGGCGTGAACTTACGGCATTAAAATTATTAATTACGGGCGTTAAGACTGTTATTTTACACGCGCTGAGAAACATCTTCACGCCCGTCGAGTTCATTTTAGCGCCGTGAATTATGAACCAATCAGCATCTTGCTTACATGATGATACGATGCATTATAGCTAAAAGTACAACTCCAAGATCCTTGTGCAAGTTAATAACATACTCATGATTGTGCCAGGAACAACTGTTGCAATTGGAGGCATATGAAATATTATTTCTTTTCTGGGTATCTCGGTGCACTATTTGTGCAAATGTGAAAGATTTACATCGTATATTGAATGAGTTATGTATTCCTGGAAATAACATGTGACATATAAAGACGGCTGCATAAAGATTCCAAAAAGTACACATCTCCCTAACACCAAATTTGAACATATGTTGGCTAGGTATACTAGGTATATAGGCTCATTTGACATTTTCAGTACATTTTCAAAAAATGCCAGATCTGCAGGATATAGTCTAGAGTCAATTTGCAGTTGATCAGATACTATAATTCTAGTATCTGGACACATCCTTTAGAGGGATACATTAGCGATCTGACTGTATAATGAGACTGTTAGCTGCAATGCGTGTGAGCTTAATAAGTCCCTACCTAGCCTACCTCTGAAGCCGACGCCTAGATTGGAGAATTATCCAAAAATCATCGTATTTAGAAACCAAACATGTATACCTTCTCAAAATACTCTGCAATTTTGTCGTTTCTACAATGGGTGTTGATAACTGCCAACACAGTACATGTCTCTTCAATTTGCCTTTTAATATAATTTGCTCTAAAAAATGAATACTTCTTTGGTTAAATCTAGTTCAATCTTGAACGAATATTTAAGGACCTCAATGCAACACACTAAAATGTAAGCAGGCTTCTGATTGTTGTTTACTAGCGCAAGTATCTCGGAGTTGCTCTTTTAGCAAGGATGCATTAAATCATCATGTAAGTAAGGTTCTGATTGGTTCATAATTTACGGCGCTAAAAATAAACTCCACGGGCGTGAAGATGTTTCTAAGCGCGTGTAAAATAACAGTCTTAACGCCCGTTATTAATAATTTTAACGCCGTAAGTTCACGCCTGTAAATGTATTCTGAACGCCCGTAGAATTTACTTCTTCACGGGCGTAATTTACGCCTACACATGCGTAATTTTTCGTCAGCACGGGCGTAATTTTACATCTACACGAGCGTAATTAACGCCTACACACCCGTAAACAACGCATGCATTCTTTATACTAATAGGCCAACCATACACCAAGGGTATGGAAAGAAGTGAAATACCTTTGGACCAAGGATGTACCTATCCCATCAACTTATCATTTCACTTAGATTGACTCAGGCTTTAATAAGCAAACTGTATTGATTGTACTACAAAATTAATATTTAACTAGACAGTTAAATATTTTGCAATGTGTGAAAAGAATTTAACCCCAAGACTCAATGCATTGTGGCTGATTCATTCATTCCTAAACTTAGAACTCAATGCTATGTATCTCATGCAAAATTTGAAAGAACATGTTTGGGAATGATAATCAATCCACATTGCTCCAAGTCCAGGGCTTAAATTCTTTATTTTTTTGAAAATCCCTAAAGTTTCTTATTAAATATTAAAAATCCTGTCTACACATTTGGATAGAATTGGAACTGGAATAAACTAAAGCCATGATGTAAAGTATCAAATCTAACTGATCTCTCATTTTGATCCTACATTACATTCTTGTGAAGGCACTCACCTGTCATACATAACCCAAGTAAGATTGATGCCAACATCTTCCCTGTCAGTCTCAGAATTCAGCAATGTTTACCTTGAGTAGTCCCTCTGACCACAATGCTACCAGCTCTGCTGTGATGGTGATGAATGATGTTGAATCATTCACTAACTGCACAGATCAATTTGACCCTTTAAGCTGTTTATTTAAGCAATCTGTAATTTTTAACTAAAGTGGAATAATACAACAAGCGACCCACTTTACTATTTTGAGATTCTGTCACAGGCAAAGTACACGTATGTTCTAAGGCTATTTCATCAGCACTGTTCCACAACTAGTTACTTTGACGGAACGTCAATGTAACAAAATGGATGAACCTCCTGTATACAAGTTTTTTATATTTAGCCCCTCGCTTTTGTTACATTGACCAACGTCCATTATATTACCAATGTATGTTACTTTGACGACTTATGTCAATGTAACAAAAGTGATGGTGTAAATGCATGAATTACAGCTTTATTTAAAAATCAAATTTCAAACTAAGAGCATCTCTAAAAGCGAGACTGTATTGTCTAACTTTGTGCCAAATACATGTAATAATTCGCAATATGACTTACGTATATGTAAGTTTAAATCAAGGAAACAAAAAACTTGTATCCAAGAAGTTCATCCATTTTGTTACATTGACGTTCCGTAGAAGTAACTAGTTGTTGAACAGTGATAAGTGAATCACTAGATAAAAAGGATTATGATTATGAAATATCATAAAGGCCCCTTACAAAGTCTTATATTATAGTCCTACCCAATCAATCGAAATGCACTTTTTGAAACTTTATTTCAATTTAATTTCAAGAAATCGTGAATTTATTTTAAATAAAATTTTAGTCATGTACATAATAATCCACACCAAATAGCGTTATAGTCAAAATAGCCATAGTCTGAGACTTCCTAGATATAGAGCCAGAATTCTGGGCACAGTATGGTGATGGCAATGGTGTAGCGTCATATACCCTAGTCTATGTTGCAGCAGGTGCCCGTCAGTACACTTCATTTATAACATGCCAGATCTAAACAGTGTGTGTGTTTTACTTTTCTTGAATTTTTCGTATATCTATATGTAACATTGTAAATGAAAGCCAACATTAAATGCCAAAAGGCGTTTTGCCGCATGATTGTGTATAATGCCATGAAAAATATATCAATGAAATAAACTAATTGTTTAAAAAAAAAAATTCAAAATGGCATAAAAACACAATCTTTGGTAATTCAAATAGCAGTGGATGGATTTGGCTCAAATTTTATATCTATCAAAACATGTTTTGTTTGGTGGGATTTGCTACTCCGTGGAGTTGCTGTTTTTCTAGTTCACTCTCTATATAAATTAATGATCAAAAATGGTTTACTCTATGGTTAAGTTTTTATTTGGTCTATAGTCTTGCTCCAAACCTTAAGGGGAGGTTCCAACTATACATGTAGTCGGATGTATAATGTGTGTGTGTAGGGGGGGGGGGGCATAGACATGTTGCAATGTATTACTTCTTTGTACAATTTGGCTCTTCCTAAGAAATATCTAAATCAGTACCAGTGTATTCCTTATATGCCTAAAGTTATCACTGAAATGTAAATGTCTTTATACCACTCTAAGTCCGATTACAGTTGTATAACATGGGTCTATAACAATGATATACAGTGGAGAGTGGTATATCATCATTGTATACAACTCCTCCGTATACACTCCAGCGTATACCACTGTAGAAGTGCATTCTGGGAACTAATGAATATTGACCGAAGAACGAGGTATATGTTTTGTTACACATGATTTCCTAGAATCAAGTTACGTCATGAATGGTTCCTATGATTTGCTAGAATCAAGTGACGTCATAAATGGATCGATATCAACATCGGCATTACTGAGTTGGCTATGGGATATTTTTATGGTTTTTATAATTGTTATGATTGTGTTTGAATCAAATGTAATTGAACTTAGAGTGGCATAATAAGATAAAATAATGGTTCATTCTGTATATCGTGCATTTTATACTCTCGTGAGAATATAATATATTCACTCGTTCGCTACGCTCACTTGTGAATATATTATACTCACTCGAGTATAAACACGATATACAGAATGAACCATTATATAACCTCATAGAATGTAACCTTGTATTCAAGTTCATATTATTTATTGCTCAATAAATGTTCAGAATAAAATATCACAAGAACTAAATGTTTCTCTTTTATATACATCTTAAATTGGATTGGCTTAAATACTGGAAAACTGTGTCCAATATCTCTGGTAGTATCATATTTATATTGTTATAGTCTCCAACTTTTTTATGGATGGCGTTAGGCATCTGTAAGAAATGGCAAGTGAAGTCATCATGCATTTTTAATGCCTTGTTCTAGGAGCTGTAAAAGGTCTTTCCTCAAAGGAAGGTCCTTTGCTCTAGTAATGCAACACATGGTGCAAGTCATCTCTGTTTAATTCAGTTGTGAATAAGAACTGGAGTTTATAGTCAGGTTTCTGATCCAGTTACATATTTTTATTGAATTTGTCAATTAATAAAATAAGAGGATAACCATCCTCTCATCCATAAAATGCAAAATATGGCCATGGTTTCAGTATGTTGAATTTACAGTTTTTTTCCAGGGATCGGTCAGTCTCATTACAAGAAAAGAACAGAACAAATTTAATTATAATTTGTATATCTACAGTTTATATATATTGATTGAATCATTATTTTCTTACAGCTACTGTACATTCTTTACAAATTATTTGCATTTATAATAGAATTTGGGCAACATCTATTTTCTTATAAAGAAAATCAGTACGGTTAATTCCTTCATCATTGATAAATTAATAAACAACATAATTGTCTCAAATGGATTATAATCTAGTTTTTAAAAGCTAATAAAAACAAACCTTTACTATTTTTTCATCTTCAAATTGAATTAATATTAAATAATTATTTTTCAACCCTGTCACAATTTCTGAAATGTGTGGGTGATTTCTCAAATAAATGCAAAAGTGAATCCTTAATAATAATAGTAATAATATAACACATTTCAGCAATATGGCACCATGTTTAACGTAACTGGAACAACGAAAGCCATGAAAATGTCACAATGTTCACATTAACGTCACAATGGTTATGTCTCAAAGTGTGACAAAGAGGAATGCATGACAAAATGCCATAAAATTACATATTGCAATAATAGTATTCATGAAACATAGTCGACATTTTATTCATGGGTACAATCTATGCTGAATTCTTGCATCATTTAATGATACAAATATTAGCTGCATCTTTACACTGGGACTGAGACAGTTCACTGTTTAAGGTAGATAGAGCATGATGTTATCAAAAGCTAACATACTGACACAATGCTCAAATTGGTCTAAAAAGCATCACGCTTGGGTCACCTTAACCCCTTGAATACCAAGAGGGACAGATATACCAGTCATAGAATATCTCTAAAATGGCTCTTCCTCTGACAATTTGATAATTCACAAATATCATATGTTAAAATGGCTCATTTAAACTGATTTGACAAAGTAAAATAACATTGAGAAGTCACCCATTTGGTAACACTGTGTTATTTCCCAGGTACTGTATGTGTTAAAACTATTTGATTACATCATTTAGAACGTATTGCACATCAGAATTGAACATTAAATTCATTGTTACGCAAATGTATGTCATCTACAGTATATGTTATGACACAAATAAATAAATAAATGATGAAGTACAGTGTATCACATATATTTCCATGATTCACTTCACAAGTGTCTCATTTTAAACCACTTTTTCATGAACATTGCTTTAAATTTTCATTTTATAAACATCTCTATGTGGACACTCTCAGAATGTGACCTGGTGTTTTACATATATTTTTCATCAATGAGCAAATACACAATCACACATGCAGTGTATATCATATGGCTAATATTTGATAATGCAATGTACATGCTACAAGAAAGGCTGGTGCGCAATGTGTACTATCAGTAAAGATACAAATGCCATGGTTTGGGCATTTTTCCACATTATGGTAACCTACCTTGACTACTTTACAGATCCTCATTTAAAACAAACAAAAAACGTACCACAATCAATAAATAGTGTTTCAATGTGTTTCCAAGGGGATGTGATTTTTTGACATCATCATTTACATCATAATCACAGTAAAATATGTCTATAGCTTAACAACATAACAATTCCATTCCCAGAATAGTTCACACTGCAATAACATTTCTTATGAAAGCATTTACTGTGCATTGAATGCAATCATGCACTGTTCACTAAGATACAGGTTTTGCTGTTATATTAAAACGATCAATTTACAATACCTAAACTCTGATTCATTTGTTTAACAACACCCTGAGCACAATACTGCATCCTCATAACACAGATGAATATAGTTCTTAAATGATATATTACTCCGCACAACAATAATCTGCATTACACAAAAGAAGTTCGTTCTGGGGGTGGAGCTGATCCTTCCCGGGGGTACTGCTGCTGTCCTGGGGGTGGGGGCCCAGAATCCCGGGGATGAGGGGAAGGACGAGAATCAAACGGGGATGAACTACCTACGGGTTCCATAAATTGACCAGTACCTGCAAACAAACAGGAAAAGCCTTAAAGGAATATTCCACACAAAAAGTTCATAATCACATTTTTGAATTTTTTCACAATTTTGTTATCACAGATTTGACTTTTTAGATGACTTTGGGGTATCTGAACTTTAATACTCGTACATGTCCTATTGAACACATGTGCCATATTTATTTCGTACAAGTGGCCCTGAATGTATGTAGATTTCCAAACATGAATATAGCTGAATTTAGGGAACCCTTGACAATATGGGCTACTACTGCGTTGATAATGGTCTCCCCTTGCCTAATTTATTGTGTGGAATATTTCTTAAACCACCAACATTCATACAACACTTTATTATATTTTACAATTATACACTATACACTTTACTAATTGGTTTGAAAAGGGTAAAAACACCACAACCAGAAGTACAGTTTTTGCTCTTTAAAGCAAATATAAATCGAACAACAAACATGAGAAGGACTGCAGAGATATGAATATTTTTTGAACATTTTTACAGTTCCTAGTTGAATATTCATACAGTATTCCTATTCAATCTAGATTGCTACTAACACGTGACTTGTAGCATATATTAATCTAGCACACACCTATATTCTTCAATGAAAACCTATTCATTCTTCGTTGTACTCTTGACTGACCTATTGGCTTAACTTACAATGTGTTTAACATTCCTATATGTGTGCACTCTTGTTGGGGTGTGCCCTATTACCTTGTCTAGAATGTGTACGTTCCCCTGGGAATTCTCTCATATCTCTCCTGGGGGGTGGGAGACCATATGATCCAGGGGGAGGTGCTCCATATGGCGCTCCCATCCTTGGGGGGAGGCCTCTCAATGGGGGTGGAGCTCCACGGAAATCTGGAGGTCCTCGGAAATCTAATGGTGGAGATCTGCGGTCAAAATCGGGAGGAGACCTTCTAGGGTCAAAGTCCATAGGGGGAGACCTGCGTCCAAGTGGTGGTGGGGGTCCTAATGGGGGGAGGGACCGCATGTGTGGGGGTGGCAGCGGAGGGGGGAATCTTCTGTCTATTGGGGGTGGTAGAGGATCCATATCTTCATCCCTGAAATACAAACATATATTATAATGTACAATTTAGTATAAAAAGGGGCATGATATACAACTGTACAAGGTATGAAATACTAAATAGGCATACTGTACAGAACAGGGATACAGCAAACTACATGATAGAGTAGCATATTACACTATAATGGGTTTTACAGGGGAATGCATGATATAATGTAAAAGAAATAATATTAAACAGAAGTGAAACAGGTAACAGGTTTATAATATATTAGAAGGGTAACAAATATTCAAAAGTGTTGATATTAGAGATGAAAATAAATTAAAAAGTATGTATTAATAACAAGGCATGATATATTGCAAGGTGCCGTATATTATAATTGATGAAAATCTACACGAGCTTTCCTTCTGCTCCATGCAAACCAATCAACAAACCATTATGATTACAGTATGGCATATACCCAGAGTACAATAAGTATATGTTGAGTGTTAATAGTACCGGTATATGTTATAACTACCTACAAGATGTGTTTTATAATACTGTACAATGGAAGCCTATGTCCAGTGTTAGACATCTAAAATGTACACAAGGGTTACAATATCCTCAAAAGTCTCTATATGTTATACAACACAGTATTCCACCACCCTATTTTACCTTATGGGAGACCCATCTCTTGGATCATCATAATATGGGTCGTGTCTAAATTCAAACTCTGGTAGCGGTGGAACACCACTCCTAGAATGTTCTGCAATATCTGTTAATTCTAGGCTTGAGTCGTCAAGGTCTGGCTGAAGTATTGGGGGCCTTGGGGGGTTGATAGGGCTAGAATATGATATGGTACAATGCAAGCAAGCAGGTTAGTACAGCAGCTAGCAGGAGAGTGTGGTGGGGGAAAAAGCATTTACAAGGGGTAGCAAAAGGGATATAGGAACTAGACAATCCAAAACTGTTCTTTATCGAGATCCAAAATTTCATATTGTATATGAATGTAACAGTCATGTATGTCCTTAAATTCAAATGAACCCTGTATATGTGGATATCTTAAATGCAAATCACCAATCACATTACTACCTCATGCTATTAAAAGTGATACTTTGGACAGCTATTACTTTATGTACAAATGTCTAGATTTGTAAAAATAAAAGAATTATCTTGGATTGTCTACTTTCCTGCAAGGCATAAGTTTATCAGGTGTAGGGAGAAACATAGCATCTATTTTAAACATTGTAAACAACATTTCATATCTATACATAATTATCATGACAACATCAACTTTTATACTAATGATTATATACAATTTTTTCAATCAATAATAATAAAATAAGTATCAAGATTTAATAATTCATGCAAAATAATAAATTGACATCAAATAACCATCAATTGACAAATCAAATAGTTTTTCTGTGGTTGTGAAAGATTTTTATGAGGGGGAGTTCACCTTTGACCCTCAACCAAATTATTTTTATCTGATATTTGCTTGATGATCGACATATTTTACTTCATTTAAAATATAAGATTTGCCAAGATCTAGTGACCCAACCCAAAGCTCTCATCAAAAGTGAATGCATGCTAGTTTTAACTAAACAAAAAGAACCCTCATACTAAATCTTAACCCCTAAAAGCCATACATAAACAGTCACATTTATCTCATTTTTGCTCACTAGTGTTGTCACGATGTGCATTGCAAGAATTACTTTTGGCGATGCACCTAGCATCACTTTTTAATCACAACAACACTAACATGCACTATCTTTGTCTTATATCATCTTGTACTAAACAGAAAAATCTCAATACAATTCCATGCCTTTGCTATCTTAAAATCAATGCAGAAAAAGCTTGTAATAGCAGAGAAAATTAAAGAGAAATGCTATCACATACCTCCTGTATGACATGAGAAGAAAACCAAGGATGAATGATATACATGTGTTTTGAATTAGGGATTTCACAACCAAGTAGCTCGAACTAAAAACTAATAGCCTTTTACCTACTCCTATACCCAAACAAAACTAACTCTTTGATGAGCATTTTGTTTCAAAAATACTAACTAATGTTGAACAGGGGACTAACTACAGAGTGAGCTAAAAAAGGTAACACAATTTGATAACTCTGTCATTCAGCATGGGTTATTACATTAAACAAAGGATAATTGTGCCAAATATGACTTTAAACCAAGGCTAAATGACTGAGTTACTAACATTCATTATTTGGGTTACCTTTTTTGCACTTTACAACAGTTGTCTGTATAATAAATATTAATATAATATCTTTTAATCTCACCGTAATGAGTTAGGTGACACCATTCCTGACACTCTGGAGCCTGGTCTATCTAGGGGCGGGGGCCCATTCAACAATGGGGGTAGATCTCTCCTGGGTAAAGGTCTGATTAGCCCCTCACGGGATGTCTGGTCTAGCTTGCGTTCAGTTTCTAACAATCTGTAAGAGAAGAAAGTTATTCAATATGAAAAGAGCAATATCTCTAAAAATGTCCAAGTGGGGAGCCACATTTCTAACAAATTGTGAAGATATGCATATTAAATTAAGATGATAGTTTGATTGTATTACATTTGCAGCGCTTCAATTGGGTTACTACTGCAGCCAAATTTCATACAAAACTGACATCATCAGTGTGTGTGATGTCAGTTTGTGTATATCATATCATGTTTTATGGGAGTTTACAGTTAGCAAATAAATATTAGATCATTGAAAGATGGCACTGTATACAGCAAAAATGGCAACTTTCCAATAGATGGCAGATAATGACTTATAACTTCAAGTTGTATTTGACGATTCATGTGTTTTTGGAGAAGGTCCACGATCAACATCACATAAATAAACCATTGTTCTTATTCATTTTCCCTGTCTCTATTCAATGTGAATTTCAACATAATGTTGCAAGTAATTTCCAACATGTTACAAATGTGTACAAAATGTCCCCACCTTTTGGTGATCCCGTCAAATGGTTATCCCAAAAATTGAGTAGACAAGACTTTACCGACACAATTTGAGGATGGAAAATCCAAAATGGCCACCTTAAAATTTACCCAGAATGCCAAAAATTAATCAGTTCTAGATTTTCATACTAAGAACCACCCCTGAAAATTTGAAATTGATCCGTCACACAGTTAACCAGAAAACATGTAAACAAGACTTTACAGACGAGATTTGAGGACAGAAAATCCAAAATGGCTGCCTTGACATTTATCCAGAATGCCAAAAAACTAATCTGTTCTCTAATATGTCCAAATGTATTCATCGGTTAGGTAAAGATAATTAATTTGTATTACTTTCCTCAAATCACTAAACCAAGCACCAGCTACGCCTAGAGATAGACCTCCTAGTGACAGTGTAGATAGGGAAATTAGTGTAGTGTTACCTTATATTAGTACTATTGCTCCCAAACTTCAACGCATCTTTCAAGAAGCAGGAGTTAAGACTAGTTTTAAGTCTGTTCAAACCTTACGTCAAATGTTAGTATCACCCAAAGATCCCACCCCCACAGGTGAGAGATCAGGATAATATACCAAATTGAATGTAAGGACTGTAGTGAACTCTACATAGGGGAAACCGGTAGAGCGATTGATACAAGAGTTAAGGAACACAAGGACGCTTTTAGACTGAACAATCCCAATAAATCCGCCATCGCTGAACATATAGTTTCCAAAGCGCATAGGATTAACTGGGAGTACAAAATCCTAGATAGAGAACCCCATTACTTTAAACGGAAAGTAAAGGAAGCACTTCATATTCATACAAGCAAGCCACAACTTAACAGGGACTTTGGATTTAAGGTTTCCCCGGGACTGTTGGAACTACACAGGAGTAAAACCCAAACCAGGTCAAGGGTCAGCCCATTTCCCGCCAATATATCATCTTGACAAAGGTAGTAGCTGCTACCGAAAGCTCGAAAAAGTAAGTTATTTTGGTTAGTGATTTGAGGAAAGTAATACAAATTAATAATCTGTTCTCGATATTCATACTAAGAATCATCCCTGAAAATTTGAAATTGATCTACCAAACGGTTCACCTGGAAATGCGTAGACATTGGCTTTACAAACAAGATTTTAGGAGAGAAAATCTAAAATGGCTACCTTGATATTTACCCAGAATGCCAAAAAACTAATCAGATCTAGATTTTCATACTAAGAATCATCCCTGAAAATTTGAAATTGATCTTCCAAACGGTTCACCTAAAACGTATAGACAAGACTTTACGGGCAAGATTTTAAGACGAAAAATCCAAAATGGCTGCCTTGACATTTACCCAGAATGCCCAACAACTAATCAGATCTAGATTTTCATACTAAGAATCATCCCTGAAAATTTCAAATTGATCTACCAAACGGTTCACATGGAAATGCGTAGAGACAAGACTTTACAAGACTTTACAGACAAGATTTTAGCACGGAAAATCCAAAATGGCTGCCTTGACATTTACCCAGAATGCCCAACAACTAATCAGATCTAGATTTTCATACTAAGAATCATCTCTGAAAATCTGAAATTGATCTACCAAACGGTTCACCTGAAAACGCATAGACAAGACTTTACAGACAAGGTTTTAGGACAGAAAAATCCAAAATGGCCGACAATAAAAAAGTGATTATGAGGTTTTGCTGATTTCTTTTTACAAAATCATCACATATAACTACTGTTAACAATAACATAGGCTTTTACAACAAAGTACACCTGAAATTATTTATAAGGCTACTAAATAGTTAAAGTATGAAAACTGAAAAACACCATTCAATATGATACAAAGTATTATCGTGCGCTAACTTTCCTTAAAACATTCAAAATGGCTGACATGACTAAGCAAACAGGTCCAAAACCTAATCAGATCTAGAATGAAGTGAGCTGAACAAGATTTTAAAGTTTTAAAAGCAACTGTGAAGCCATTTTTCTTAAAGTTTGCAGACAAGGATTTTAGCATTTGACTTCAAAATGGCTGACAGGAAGTAGGTATCGAGTTAATTTTTTTTCGTCCACATCTGTATGCACTCATAAGTTATCCCTGAAATTTTGAAGGTGATATCTGTAGGGGTTTTGGAGAAAACTGCCAGACGTACGGACAGACGGACAGACAGACGGACGCGCCTAGGCCGACAATATGGCCCCACATTATGTGGTGGGGACATAAAAAGTGAATCTCAATATCAAAAAATGTGATCAGCAAATTAAAGGAAAGTGATACCCTGCTATTTTAGCACACATTATTTGGCAAAATTCTTACTTCTGTCTGAGCACTGCATTGTTTTCTTTTTCTTCTTTAAGTTCTCTCTCCTTCTTTCTTTGCTCAATCTGCAATAATAAAAAAAAAAAAAATCTCAACATATAATATTCCTATATATTTTCATAACTTAATGCTTAAAAAGTCAAATGCATTTTTGATAATTTACATGGTAATGATAGAAACAAGATTATTTTATTTGAGAAATTAATATAAAAAGGACTGATTACTCCAACAATAACATGAGGAATTAACATGCAAAATGTCACCACCTGTCAATTGTTACAGACATCGCACACCAAATGCTGAACACCATCCATAAAAATTTTAGTGACTGTAACAATATGTCACCTCTTGTGATGGTGGTGACATAATAAACATGATAGATATCGGAATTGTTACTGACATCAGTCTGATACTCATCATATCTTTCTGTTTCCCTTGAACACAACTCATATGGCTGAGAAGAAATGAGATGCAATGGTTTATCATGATGAACAATCATATTTTAAGAAAAAGTTTCAAGTAAAAATTAAAAGACAATAAAACAATTTACTTCAGAAGTTCTTCTATTATCTTAAAAATTACCCATCTCTGTTGATGCTAACACAATAATAATGGTGGTAGATGAATTAGATTGGGACTTGGTTCAAGGACATTATTACATATATCATGGGGTTATAGTTTTCTTTATCTAGGACCATCAATACCATTACAATGTTCACCTCACTGTTTCATAAATGTTAGCATAGAACATTAAAATAAATATATATGATTAACATGTAGTATGCTGAGCTCCAATGATTTTGAGAAATTTTATAGAGTAAGCTACTCGTTATGTATTATCATCACTGAAATTATAGCAAATGGCAGGTATTTGGCACACAGTGGGAACACGCTTAATGAATGACTGATAAGACTTATAAGTCCAAAAATAATATGCTTATTGTTTAATCATACAATCCCAGGCACTTATCACATATGAGTATATTTCATAACCATTCTTGCAAATTTATAAATCTATTGTTGATCTAAACTATGATACCCATGTAAAAAAGTTATTATTAAGTTATGATTGCTAACAAAAAGAACCAACAACAATGCAATGTAGGTCTGGAGCCAGGGAGGGGGATCTCCTAAACATGTAGACCTACGTTTTAAACTGGGCAATTAATAAACTGGCATTACTGGAATTTTTTTTAATTTGGCATTAATTTTCAAAATTCGGGCCAGAATTTTTTCTGGAAGATTTTGCCCCCCTCTGGATTTTTTTATGAATTATTTTGAAGGTCAACACACTATATGGGTTGTTTTAGGACATTTCTAATGACTACCTTGCCGAATTCCTAACCTGGTGAGCAGTAGGACAAGTTCCAAAAACTACCTGGGGATTGTTTCAGAGCTAATAAGAGGTCAGCGATCGGGTTTGACTCTGGGAGGCATGGCAGGTACTTTTGATATCTAAATGAGTTGCCCAGTAACTGGCAGTTGCTAAGCTACATATCATTATGAATCAAAATCATCCTTTTGGATTACTTGGGATAAGAAACCATTATTTTATCAAACAATTATTTAGCATGAGATTATATCTATAAGGGATATAATAATACAAATACACAAGAACACAAAGTGTAAAATATTACAATGACTTACATTTGAAAGAGAACAAAAAAGCAATATTTGTGACTTAGAATTTTTAACTAGTTTATTTTAGTCACACGCAATATAACATAAAACAGGGCTTCAAAATCCAGAATATATTCTTCCTTTTGACCCCCTGCGATAAGCAGTTAGCATTTCCCCGATTAAAAACTCGCAATCTGATTGGCTGTCGCAACACTGCAACAGAAATCATGTATAAGTCATTGCGCATAATTAAATCAAGAAATTCAGTTAAATCGGGCGCTTCCAAATTGGTTATAGCAGGGGGAAGAAGAAGGTACGGATTCTGGAACCTGCTTAGGAGGATGATAAAACACATGTTTTGGAGAAATCTCCACATGACCATGATACCTGCCTTTATGGCCAATTTTACTGGGCGTTTCTGCAATCAATAGTCTTTTTATGATAGTGACATTTCTACAATTAATGAGAGTGTTTCTGCAATCAATAAGAATGTTTCTGCAATTAATGAAGTTTCTACAATTATGCAGAGTGTTTCTGCAATAAATGAGATCATTCCTGCAATTCATGAGAATATTTCTACAGGCCTGTCAACTGTCCCGCAATTTGTGTATTTGTCACGCATTTGCTGAAGAATTTGAAGTCACGCCAGTTATTTTTGCGTGACAGAAAATGTCACGCAAATACGCATTTTACCTGGTAATTGTCAAGCAAAAATAATTCTGTAGAAAAATTTCTAAAAAAGATCGTCTACACAGCAAAAATACGAACGCCGGAAAAAAATGTACGCATTTCGTTCGGACTTTTCACGCGAATTACGTATATGTCACGCATTCCGTTCGAAATTTTTCGTACCTACCCCCCCCCCCCCCCCCTCCCCCCCCCCCCCCCCCCCCCCCCCCCCCCCCCCCCCCCCCCGTTGACGCATGTATGAACCCCGAGCGTAGCGAGCGCGAAAAATTTGAGGTGTTCAAAATTTGGCAAGATGTAATAAAATTTAAACCAAGGTGTTCAAAATTTGAATCAAGGTGTCCAGATTTGGACCAAGGTGTCCACATTTTGAGGGGAGGTGTTCAACATTTCCAAGTCACTCATGTTAGGTGTTCCCAAGTTGACAGGCCTGTTTCTATGAATTATGAGAATGTTTCTTAACATTTCTTTTTATATCACGAGAGTGTTTCTTTCTGTTATTAGACTGTTTCTTAACATACGAATGTGTAGGTTCAAGTTCTGTGCATCCTCCAAGCTTATATTTTCTTGTGTACTCTGCCATGAACTCATATCTCTGAAGTCTATTATCTAATCTAGCCATTGGGTTACGAATGAACTCCTTTGAGTCACTTGTCCGGTTATGAGGTATATGTGAGACCCAACAATCTGGGAGAACTTTAAATCTGTAGCCAGCAGCTTTTAACTCCATAAAATAGCTAACTTTATTCATGCCGTATGCCACAAAGTTTTCATTAAACAAGGGAATTTCACTATGCTTTCTTATTACAACATAAGGTTCATATTTAACTTGGTATTTCTGAACCTCATATGAATAATTTGTATAAAACCATTTAATATATTCTGTTGATCTTTGATTATCTGAAGTTTGGCCATTAAAAGTTTCGATACTGCCTTCTCTGTAAAGTTGTCGCACTTTTGATTTTGATTTTGGAAAGTCAGGATTTTTAAAAGGATTCTTTAAATATGCAAAGGCAGGAGCAACAAAGGCAGTTTTGTTAATATAAGGTCTCCAAGTATCACTTTGAAGATGTTGTTTTATCACAGCTGTGGCATTTATTTGAAAGTCAATTGATGGCAAAAAGTCAGCGTCTGATAGTAGCATAAACTCGGATTGGACACTTTGAATTGCATAATTCCTCAATGTATTTATCGGATACTTTTCGTTCAAGTATGCTCCATACAGAATTGTGATTTCACATCTATGTTTGACATTTCTAAATTTTTGTTTGATATGCTCGTCGAAATTGACACCACGTTCTTGCATATCAGAGTGAATGTAAACTGCAGAGATGTAGATTGCTATGGAAACCGGACCATTCCAGAAAGGTAGGATATCAAGCATCATGTCCAGTCGGTCAATAGTTGCTTGGGTTACAAGTGTGATGGTTTCCACGGAGCTTATGTTTTGAGGATTTAATGTAAAATTTGTGATTCTAAATTTCATAGTTTTTGAAACAATAGCTGTTTTTTCTGGACATTCAACGATGAAGTTCTCACTTTTAAGATCAAGTGGCATTGTAATGTTATCAACAATTGGTGAAATTTTTACATCCGTAAATGAGACTTTTCCATTATATCCAGAACACCCAAGAGATAGCGTAATGCTTGAGAGAGCAGCACCATCTTTAGGCAGCATGTAGGTATCACTCTGATGCTGTGTACCACCTTTAGGTGAAAACTGCAACTGAATGGTATAGTTTGAACCATTTGCAAATTTTAACAGTGCCATGGCGCTATAATGAAAGACTGTAGTGTTCCTCTCTAGTAGCTTTTTACTTGAGCTTTTCACTGAAAAATACACTCCTTTTAAAGGTGCAGATTCCCGTATGGGTATGTATTGGTATATTGCACGTAGGTCACTTATACAAGGTACCGTAAAGGTATTCTTATGTTTCGAGTACCAGTGTTCCTCCCTAACCAACCACCAACCTTTTGATAAAGACACATCACTATTGTCAACTATATAACTTGATGATAAAGTTATATTTAGTTGAATATATTCAAAATGTTTCACATTAGATGTGATTTCATAATTGTCATTAGGAACCAGTGTATGTTTAGCAGTTAATATATCCATAGACCTAACTCTATTGTGATTCACAGGTACTTTCAGGATATCTATTAATTTCTCTGTCCTCAGATTTTGCTCAGGGGTTATTGTCAGCACGATGAACATGTAGCATGCAGCTACGAAAATCACAGTAACTTTCCTCTTTTTCAGCCACCTAACAGGTTTAATAGCATAAAATTTCAATATATCCATTTTACTTTGACAGAAATGTTTCTTAATATCCATCGATATGCACCAGCTTATTAAGTATTTTACTATATTCTTCACTTTATATTGTGTAAATCTGTGTCAGCAGCAGCCCTGGAGTTAAAGCCCATAACTTCAACTATGCATGCAGACAACATCAATGAGTGAGCCATGGATGACAATTGAGTGAATTTCTGGCACCAACCTTCACTTCAGGGGGCCCCTGGGCCCAATGAGGTGATCATGCTATCTGGCATACTGTAGGCCTAGTCTGTTTTGACATAGTGTTTAATAAATGTAAACTAAGCTAAACTTAAACTGACCACTTAAAATAAGGCTGAAATAACACTATCCCTTAATTCAACTATGGTTTCAGTTGACTGCATGTTTAATATGTTTACTGTGTATACTTTATAATCAGACCCAGTTTGAATAGGTGCATAATGTCTATGTTTAGCAAATTATCACACATGATTTCACATGAGGCTGTTAGTTTGGTGATATTTCATCAGTGGTTTGGAAGATGCTATAGCAAAGGAGAATCATCCAGTCCTCTAATCATATTATTACAATAACATGACATAAAAATAACTTATTATGTAAAAACTTGATAACATTCCTTTGGATTTCACTCAAAATTGCCGTCAATGTCATTAGACTTTGGCAATTGTTTAAGTTTGTATATCTGTATTTTATGGAATAACAATAAAGATGATTAATAAAAAAAAAAAAAAATCATATTATTGTTCATAAGATTTTAACATTTAACTGGTCCTCTTGTTGTGTTAGTTTTGGCTTGGTTTGCAATTTTTCATAAATAGGGGAAAAGTATTTCATAATTATTGTACAAATGTTAATATAACCACTCAAGGCTTCACTGTCATGAATTTACCTATCACATCAGGCAATCTGCAGTTCACTCTGCCATCTTGGCATTTAAATGAAGTTTTACTTAGCATAATTAACGTAATGAACTCAATTAGTCATTTAGGGAGTTGGGAAATCCATTAATATTTGACAGTTAAATTGGAAAATTTCAATGAAATAATAACTACATGACTTAACAAGGCCTTACATGACACAACATGCAAACGATTACAAAACTGGTTCAGTTTTTTTATATGCAAATTGCCAAGGTTTAATTCTGAATACTGAATGCCAGCCAGAACGTTTATTTGTGGTGACATAAAAATGGTGACCCCAAGTAGCAAGTTCCACTGAATTAAATATGTTTTTTTCAAATCTTTCCTCATTTCAAACATTTAATAGCCTAGTGACATTTTTAATTGGTGACTTCATCGCAAATACAAAGCTTGGTATGGGGGAAACAAGACAAAATTGTCACAATTTTACAATATATATAAAAAAAAGTGAACCCCTGCGACTGGCTATTTTTTTCTTAATACTTGCATGAATTGCCTCATATTATCATATGTTTATTTATTTGCAATAAGATTTTACACTTGTTAACATACTAGGAAGGCCTATTTTTGGTCAGATAGAAAGATAAGTATCGATCTGAGTCATAAAGAAAAAGCAAGAACTATAATTTCTGGGCTCAATCTAGCACATCACTGATCTTTACTTCAGTAAAATGTTTTCCATGTTATAGGCAGATGTTCAAAATCACAAGTTTTCTTGATGACGAAATAGTTTTCTTCATCTTACTTATTTATCTTACGATACTTTTACAGAATGGTAAAAAAAATGGAAACCCTCATACCCTTTTTCCTCATATCTTTGTCATTTAAATAACTCCCTGATATTTTACTTATTTGTACATCATTCGATTTCCTAACAGCCTATTTTATTCCATGACCATCAGCTTAATATTCACAATGTTACAGCACTTTAAAAAAACAAAACATGCCCCAGTGGCCACTATTGCGCTGTCGGGAAACCTGCACTTATCGTCCAAAGACCAAAATGTCTCTACCTGTCGGTATATGGCAGAGACAAAGTGTATGAGAATGACCTTAGGTCAATTGCAAACCTAAAAAGTGAGAGTCATCCATGTCATTCAGGCCATACTATCAGTCTGATGGTCATGAAATATGGTAGGGTAGTAGGAAATTGAATGATGTACAAATGTGTGAAATATCAGAGTGTAATATTTTAAAGATATACATGTAAGGAAAATATAGGGTTTCCAATTTTTTTACCATCCTGTAATATTCCATTTTCCATATATGGTGGTTGAAAATTCTTGCTTCAAATATAATCATGGCAACTATTTATTTTCATTTAGACCCTTTATGTCTGTTAAACTTTCTTATTCAGGAACCCCTGAAGATTTGTTTATCCCATTTCAACAACTGCAAAAGTGATTCTTGCAACTCCATCAAAATATTTTTGAAATATAAGCATTATACAAAATGTTATGCCCTAATAAAAAAATATGGTCATTTTTGGTAGGTAGTATTTAGGAGTTTAAGAAATTCTCATTATATAATGACTTACCCAGTTTTCATGAGCTCGTTTCTCTTGTTGCGCTATCTGCTGTTTATAATGTCTTTCTGACTCCTCCATCTCCTTTCTTATACTCTCAAGCATTAACCTAAAAGAAACAAAATGCAATAGTGTCTAACTGTTGAATGCAAATAAATAAAGCCATTAACATAACAAAATATAGACGCGAGACACCAACAACTTATCACCAACCACTCATCATTACAATATGTCACCGCTTATTGGTGGTGAGAAGTGGTGACATAATTATGAGGAGAAACTAAAGATATGATTGAATTTGTTCCAAATCTCACCTGACATTATCGTGTTCCTCAACAGCATCAGATTTCTGTTTCTCTATACTGGACAATGTCCCTTCAGTTCTCTTACGCAATGCCTCCTGTTCTCCAAGCTCCCTAGAGTCATAGGAATATTGTACACATAATTGAAATGCTGCATTTTGATTGGTCAATGCACAATGCATGCTCAATATTTAATTCACTGTCCACCACAGGGTGACGGTTAGAAATGCTGAAATCTTTTAGTATTTTACTGTATATCAAGTAAGCATGGTTTTGGAATCTATCATTTTTGCATGTGTATGTCAACTTCTATTCCCCATCATAGCCATTTATTACATTTTATTCCAGGCAATTCCAATTTCTTAAAAATTTCATAAAAAGGCAATACCACTTTCTTTAAATTATTCATGTATACACTGTAATTCCAACCCACCTTTGTAATGCAATTTCCTTTTCTTTAAAATAGCTGTTTAATACTTGTAGTTTTGTTTGAGCTTCTTCTGCTGACTTCTCAGCTGACTGGTGACCTTCCTTGAGTGTTTCCAACTCTGTTTTCAGCTTCTCAACCTTATCTGAACAAACATTAAACAAAGAATTATTGATATTGTATCATAACATAATTATTATTTGTCCAATACATACAGAATTTCTTTTTTTCAGGGAAATTTTGTTTTGTGCTTCTATAACTCTCTGAATCTGAACAAATGTTGAACTGAATTCATAAAGATAAAGAGACGGAATGCTTGTTCACTAGCTATTATCTTCCAAGAACTAAGTTTAAACAAAGGTAGGGGGGGAATAAGAAACATTGACAGGTCTATGATTTGTAAAATAAAAATGTCATGATGATATTGTGGAATTGTTTTTTTGGGGAAGAATTAAAGATTACATGCTACTAGTATTTATTTTTTGTAGTTTCTCACCTTCCAATTCAGACCTCGATTCCCTTTCAATTCTCAACTGACTACTGAGGTGGTCCCTGTCTTCCTGTACAACATTTAATCTTGCTTGGATCCTGGATACATCCACCATTGACTGGATCTTCTCATGGATATCAACCTCTGCAAACACATAGAACAGCATTAGTTCCCATAATGCAATTGGCCAGAATTTCCCAGGGTGCATCATGGTTTCCCATAATGCAGTTGCTATATGCATATGATCATAAAACTTAGCTATGACACATCATGCATCTGATATATATGATAAATTGTTTAAATTCTTAATTGAGAATACTCAGTGCTCATTGCATCATAGAAAATATAGATAATGATTTTAAATAAAAGCAAGGAGAAACTAATACTTGGTTTTTCAGCCTCCTCTTCGTTTTCTTCCTCAGCTGCATCTTTGTCTTCATGTAAAGCTTTCAACTGAACAAAACAATCCTTCAAAACCTGCAATGTATTATCATAATGTGTTTTACTTATCTAAACTTAAAATAATTTACAAGCAAGATACATCAACAGTATGTGACTTGTCAAATCATAATCGTACACATCCATTTCAGATTTTGTTCAAATGTTTTTGGATGTTATACATGCATGGTTTGAAAATAAAATAAATATGAAAAGTTTTGCAGCTTGTAACGCTATTTTGTAAAGATGTGACCTACAAATTACATGGATGTTATCAATCTATGGGATGCAGGCCTGTAGCCAGGGGGGGGGGGTTTGAGCAAACCCGCCCCCTGGCCAAAAAATCTTTCAAAATCATGCAGTTTTTTCACCATTCTGAGCACATTTTAAGTGATTTTGGTAATTTTTGGACCAAAATTGTCACAAGTGAACCCCCCTGGAATTTTTCAAAAAGTGAACCCCCCTTGGCAAATCCTGGCTACGGGCCTGGGGATGACACAATTGCTGCTTACTCTGTAGCACTATTTGTAAGATGTGGTTAATATTTTGATGAGTGTATCTTTGCACATTTGAAAATATTGAAACTTGCCAGTTTAATGTGTACTGCTTACACCAAATTTCATGTGCAACATAAATGTGTGTCAAACTTATATCTTTATTCAAAAACTGCATTGTTCTTGTGTCAAGCTATAGAAATGATTCAATGTATTATTTTCAACTACATGTTCTAACCTCAATTTCATTATCCTTGTATGAAATAGTTTCTTGAACTGTTTTTATATCAGCATCTTTCTGATCACACTGCTCCTCTAGATCTTTAAGTCTGAAATAAATACAAAATATGAAAAGAGTTTTCAGATTAGGTCCAGATTGAAATATGAAGGGCAAAAAAAGAAATTTCATATGTTATACTCAGCATAGAAACTGACATTATAATAATAAGGCAATTTTTTGGGGAAAATATTCGAAACCATGGAATATCAATTCTTAAGAAGTGATATTCGATAGTTTAAAAGTGATATTCAATGGTTTGATAATCTTACATGTTTTACACTCAAAGACAGAGTCATAAACCCTTCCTTGGAGGAGCCCTGTGTTTTTTTATGTACACCGATACACAGCCATACAAGTACACACCACAGCTTTTTATATGAGTTGTCGACAACTCAGTCAAACACCCAGAATTACATAAAGCACAAACAAATTAGTCTGATCCTGGAATCAAACCTGGGGCCAAGCAACAGTGGTAGCCTTGACTCTGCCAATGAGCCATAGCGGGTGGAAATCACATGCTATTATTATTGAAGAAGTCTATAATGCAATAAATGAATAAGGAAAACTTACTTTTCTTTCCAATCTTCCTGTTCGTCTAAAAGTTGAGATTTTGTCTTCTGGACTTGGTTGATTTCTTCCTTTAGGTTGACAATCTGTGATTTGAGACTATCTTCTGTGCTTTCACTCTCATTCATGGAATCCTTCATCTGAATATTAGATAATACTTTCAAGTCACAATTTAATTTTTTTCACACTCAAAGTCAAGTGGTTATATAACTTCTAAAGAATAACATTTTCATAAATTACAATTTACAAATCTATCTATTCTTCATCTAAGTTGAAATTAACCTTGACAAGACAATCAGAATGCTGCTAAAATATTATCAAATAATACTAATAATACTTGCATTAAACAGCATAAATCAAAATGAGTTCTCACATTTAGAGAAGGTAATAAATAAACAAGTTAATTTACAACCTTTGAAATGAGCAAGAAACATAATTGATTGGATTTACAGAATCTTCCTTGAGGATATTTAGTAAGAGTGCATGGACATTAAGGTTCAATACGAGCATAATGTTACTGGATGCAAGTAAGAGAAAACTTTATAAATATAATTCAAATCCTGTGTTAATAACCTTTTTGATTTGGATTGTATTTGTCACTTGGATTATATATTCAATATGGATTTGCCCTGGTGATCAGGGTGCTCTGAAAGTGGGATATCAGAAAAGAATCGAATATATGCGATATAACACAGAGAGTTTCCAAGGATCTAACCAACACACCATAAACCATAATTCATGTAGCTTAGAATTTTTACGGGACTATTTTATGAGACACGAGCATCTGTACCAGGATGGCTCATGGGAAGGTAAAAACTGGATACCGAATGGTTGCGTCGTACCCATTTCCAGAGAAGAGATAGGGAAACATTTGAAGAAACGTGGTTTGAGAAAAATTACCATAATTGGAGATTCAACAGCGTCAAAATTCAATATAGCATTCTTGAGGATGATCAAAAAAAGTGGCATTTGCAAAGTATTAAAAAAAGAAAAAGTAAAAGACAATTGCCCAAATAAAACATATTATGGTTTTCCAAATATGAATGTACATTCTCGAGATTGTAGCTCTTGTACATCCAAATTGAGTTTATGTAAACTCAACTCTTCTGAGCATACAATGTTTATAGATTACTTAGCTATGGAAAATTACATGGATTCCCACATGTCAATATTGCGTGGTAAACTTCCACACCCTGGGTCTGAAGTCTGTAGACAGAATCGCGAACAGAATAAAGATTGGGATGTTTATTGCCCTGAATCTATCACTACCCAACAGGTGCTTTTCAACGAGTACCTCCCAGCACAGAGAGTATACCCTGATGTTATAATACTGGTGGGTAGCCAACATGAGACATTTAGGAGGAACACCAGGGCATCATCCAGGGCCCTCACATGGCTCCTAGACCTCATAGACCAACGTGTCAAAAACACAACCAGGGTATTATTCCTTGAACAAACTACAGGGAATGACAATCTTAAGCCAAATATTTTTCAAAAGTGGACAGGGGAATCGAGACTGGAAGCAATCAGGGAGGATTCATTTAAGGTACTTTCTTCCGCATTGAAATATTCTAGTGTCCTGTATCCATTCTATGGATTGGCAAGTATAAGCAGAGATGTCATTTCATGGAACATGGATGGTGTACATTATCATAATGATTTTTATGAAGCAATGGTACATCTTATAATAGGTGCTTTGTGATAGGTTTTACAAACAAACATTTAACTCAGAGCCCCAAGGGAACTTTTATGTTCACACAGTGTATTAACATAATAGGACAAGGCATAAACAAGTCCAAATGTCACCACCTAGTTGCTCACAATATTATTAGTTCAAACTTAAGTCAGATTTGAATTTTTGAGAACTCAGTAGATGATTTTGAAAAAAAGGTCAATTTGAAAGAAATTTTTTGACCCTGAGAAGGTCATTGAAGGAGAAATCTTATAAGTCAGATTTGAACTTCTGAGAACTTGAAGATGATTTTGAAAAAAAGATTGGTCAATTTGAAGCAAGTTGAAAAAACACCTTTTTGACCTTGGAAATATCATTGAAGATCAAATCTATATTCAGATTTGAACTTTTGAGAACTTGTAGATGATTTTGAAAAAAAATTGGTCAATTTAAAGCAAGTTGAAAAAAGACCTTTTTAACCATTTTTGACCTTGAAAAGGTCATTGAAGGTAAAATCTTATTCTAGAGTCAGATTTGAGCTTCTGAAAACTTGAAGATGATTTTGAAAAAAATTGGTCAATTTGAAGCAAGTTGAAAAAAACCTTTTTTAACCTTTTTTACCTTAAAAGGTCATCGAATGTCAAATCTTAATTCAAGAGTCAGATTTGAACTTCTGAAAACATGTAGATGATTTTGAAAAAAATTTAAATCAGTCTAAACAGTATTTGTCAAGTTATTGGAAGTTATAAGAAATTGTTACAGACGCCGATCGCCAACCGCCATCTGCCGATCACCAACTGGCATCCACCGATTGCCATCACAAAAAAATGGAGACCATAACAATATGTCACCAGATGATTTTGAAAAAAAATTGCAAAGCAAAGCAAAGCAAGCTCCCACAATGCATTAGCACTTACCTCTTGAACTTGAGTTTCCAAGGCAGTAGCATGTTCTTGAAGTTGGACCATCTGCTCCTTCTCTGACGTGAGTTCAGCATCCTTTGCCTTGTAGGCGACCTCCCATTGGTTGATGGTCTGAGCATAGGTGTTCAGTTGCTCCTGGTACTGACCCATTGAATCTGTCAAGTCTTTGTTTTGCACCTGGATACAACAGTACAATAGCATTTATTCAATATTTAATTGTCTCATTTTTAGCATTCATATAAAATTCTGAATGTTGTATACAATTTGAAACAAGTTGATTGGAGGATAATAGTTCACCTATGTAAGCTAAAAACATTCACAAAATGCCTCAATACAATAGATTGTTCCGATAAATCCTGCCACCTTTTAATATATCTGTGAAATTTTGATATAATGGCTAGCTTGATGATGTCATAGGTTGTATTTTTCAAAATTAGCAATAAGTTGATCCTGTTTTTGCATGGCCAAATTTCTACCTACACCATTAATTCAGCCAATATATCATCATTTTTCTGATATATCAAAAGGTGGCAGGATTTATCGGAACGGATAATTTCAAACTATTTTTACTCTTTTAATCTTATTTTCTAAATACCACGACAACCACGACACTTTTTAAGATTCATATACTGTAATATTTATCTTTTGATGTTTTTGAGTATCTTATGTTTTTTCAAAGGTCAAATAAGAGATTTCATTAATCAAAGCTCTTACTTTCAGAGTGTCTATTTCTTTCCTCATCTTCCCCTCTCTCTCCTTCGACTTCTCCACTTTCTCCTGCATCGGCTTGCTCAGTCTTTCATACTCTATAAGCTGCAGGAGAAACATTCATCATTATTCAAACAGTTCATACATGTATAAGAGGAAGAGGGTCAAAGGTCACCCATATTTTGAATAAAAAGATTTTAAATCTAATTTCATTTTCATCATAAAATGGTATCATGGTATCAAAAACAGCTAAATAACAAGTGATTGTTAAAATTTGTTATTTCCTTATACATGTCAGCTATATATTATAATATAAGACAATATGAAAGCATGATTTCCCTGAATGAAAGAGTGAATATCTGTCTGACCTGTTGCTTCATAACTGTGTTGTCTTCTTCTAAGGCCTCATTCATCTTCGTTGTTTGATACAACTTCTCTTCAAACTTACGAGCTTCCGCTACAAATAATAGTATATAAACTTTAAATTCTATTAATTAGTATGTAACTTCATTTATGCCTTAATGGGCTTCATCATTGCCATGGACTTGCATGATATCTGAACTTTAAAATACAAAACTTCAAGATTGGAAGTTCAAATCAAAGATTGTCAGTTATCTTCAATATTTCCTATATTCCCAATTGTTTAAAATGAAAATAAATAATGTTTATTGAATTAAATGTAGTTGTGTTATTTTGTATTTTGTATCGTAACTTGCAAATATTGAAATAAATCAATTGAAATATGTGATTTTATAAGAAGGTCAGTAAACACTTATTAACCAGAGTGTCATTAAAAGAAAGTTCGTAAAGTTACGAATTTGTTAATCAGTTGTTGTAACCATGGATATGATGACATCACAGTTAGAGAACAATGAACTTTACCAATTGTTTACTTTAAAAAGTTTCTGTTAATGGCCCCAAGGTTAATTCTGTCCATACTGAAGAATTGTAATAAAGGGAATTATGCAAATACAATATTACCCAATGGATCTGGTCCTTTTTTCTTTGAGCCACATGTACAGAAAGTATACACAACTGATGAGATGAGGACGATGAGTAGGAACAAGGCAGAGCGCAGGGGAGGTAGTCCCAGGACACCTTGCATAGAAGCTGGTAGCTGAAATACATTATTTGTAACAAGAACATTTGTATTTGTTAGTCGTAACAGTCATATCTTGATGGTGTTGAATTCCTCAGAAGAAGCCAACTGACGATGAACTGACATTAGCTATAGCAAGAATGTTTGTGTCTTAACGACCCTTTGAGTTACTGTACCTAGGCAGCTCTGGTTTTACCTGAGTTATCAACGAACTAATTAACCAAAACCAGACTGCAATTATAGCTTAGGTACTCATTTAATATTTCCAGTCATATTCTAATTGTGTGATCAAGTTTGAATTTTTCAAAATAAATCATGATCTCTTACCAGATTCACAATGGGCTGCATGATACCCTCAACAGCATGAATTCCAGATCCAACAGTTTCAAGTACTTCTGCAGAATCTGACTCATTTTCATCTTTTTCTAACTGGGCCTCATCAGGTATTTTACGAGATTGGAATCCTGAATCATTTTCAAATGGGTCTCCTTCTTTTAAGATGGTTGGGGGAGTGACAGTCTCCTCTGTTAAAGGAGGAACAGGTTCCTCATATTCACTTGTGGTACTTTCCTCACTCTTTGACTCTATGTCTTCAACTGTTTCTACAGTGTCAGTAGTTTTAGGGGGTTCCAAGTTTTTCTGGGAGTTGTCTTCCTTATCAGATTCATAACCATCATCTTTATTATCAGAAGTTTCAGGGGCATCTGGGGCAGTAGTTTCTTCATTTTCCTTGGGTTCATCTTCATCACTTTTATTGTCTGATGTCTCTGGAGTTTCTACATTTTTCTGAGTGTCTTCAGACTCGGATTCTTCTTCTTTTTTTAGATCATCGCCATCGGGGACCTTAGGGCTTGATTCATCTACAGGTGTAGCCGCTTCATCAGCAGTATTAGATGCATCATCTGATGTTTCTTTATTTCCCTCAACACTACCATCGGGAGCATTAAGATTATCAGAATCAGGTTCTTTTGACTCTTCAGGTTTAACATTATCTAAATCTTTGTTATCTTCACTGGAATCCATTGGTTCATTGGTCTTTGGTTCAGCTTGATTATTTGTGTTCTCAAGTGGTTTTCTGGACATAAAATCCTCAGTTTGATAAGGGTCTTTCACACCTGCCTGTGTAGCCTTTACCAAGTCATCAAGGTTTGGTAAATCCACTTTAAGAGGATCTGAGTCAGTCGTATTGACTGCGATTGTGTCAGTTTCTGTAGCCATGATATTGGTATCAACTGGGGATACCTCAGATTCTTTAAGTTCAGTTTCTTCATGGAAAGGTTCAACTTTGGTTGCTTTGATTGACTCAGATGGTTTAGCCAGTGATGTGATTGTAGCCTCTTTTAGAATTGGTGTAGCAACTGGAATATTGCTTGATTTCAAATCAACAGATGGGGCCAAAGTCTCTTCAAAGTCTTCCAAGGGGAAGGCAGTACCATCAATCATTGTCATTCCTGGTGGAGCACTTTCCACCTGGGTAGGTTTTATATCAACATCTGGAGTACCATTTTCCTTTGAACTATCTTTGTTGGACTCAGCTTCTGCTTCAGAAATTTTCTGTTCTTCTGTTTCAGAAACCTTTGGAATTTCCTGCTGTGGATCTTTGGTGGACTCGGGGATATTTTGCTTTTTCTGCTCTTGCTCCTGTTTTTCTTTCAAAAGCTTCTCCTTTCTCTCCTGCGCTTCTTTTCTTTTCTGATCTTCTCTTGCTCTCATTTGTTCGTATCTTTTCCTCTCTTGCTCTTCACGTCTTAGTTCCTGTTCACGTCGTCGTTCTTCTATTCTTTTCTGCTCCTCAATACGTTTATTCCGTTGCTCCTCCATTTGTTTGTGCACTTTTTCTTCAGCTGAAAGTTGCTCCTTTTCAGCATGCTGTTTTGCTTCAAGCTCCTTCTGTATTTCTTCTTGTTTGATTTTCTCTTCTTCCTGTTTTCTGTTTTCTTCCTCATCTTTCTTTTGTTTCAGCAATCTCTCCTCCTCTAGTCTCTTTTCTTCAATTGCCTCTTGCTGGTCCTTAAGTCGCTTTTCTTCTACAATCCTTTTATCTTCTTCTAGCTTTCTTTTCTCTTCTTCAAGCTTCTGCTGTTCTTCAAACTTTCGTTTTTCTTCTTCAATCCTTTTCTGTTCTTCCAGTTTTCTATTTTCTTCTTCAATTTTTTTCTGTTCTTCTAATTTTTTATTTTCTTCTTCAATTCTTTTTTGTTCTTCTAGTTTTTTATTTTCTTCTTCAATTCTCCTTTGTTCTTCTAGTTTTCTTTTTTCTTCTTCAATTTTTTTCTGTTCTTCTAATTTTTTATTTTCTTCTTCAATTCTTTTTTGTTCTTCTAGTTTTTCATTTTCTTCTTCAATTCTCCTTTGTTCTTCTTGGAGTCGTTCTTCTTCAATCTTTTGCTGTCTCATTTCCTCCATCTCAATCTGCTTCTTCTTGATCTCTAATTGTCTCTGAAGGTCTTCAGCTTCAGCTGGTTCCTTTTGCTGAGTTTGCTCATCCTGCGTTACCTTTGATCCTTCAGTCTCAACTTCCTCTTGCACTCCCTTGTCCTTTGTTCCATCTGTTTCCTCCTCTTTTACAGTCTTTTCTGTTGTTGCTTCTTGTTGTTGAGAACCATTAGGGTCTGCTGTGAAACCAATATCAACTGGTTTAAAAACAGGAGTTGGTTGAACAGCATCATCTGTATGAGTGGCTGGCTCATTGTCTTTAACTGGTTTATCCTCATTTTCAACATTTTCCCCTGGAGTTTTATCAATATCATCAAGTGGTGCTCCACCTATATTTTCATCTACTGGATTCTTTTCTTCTTTGGTTGCATCAATAGGTTGTTTGTCCAAGTCATCTGGAAAAAATCCACAAAATTTTGAATATTATACAAAGCTATACAAATGAGAAATTCTGATCAAATAAGTTCTTAGAGCCATATATGACTCTACCATGATTGTAGCAATCTACGGTATATCTCCATTAGATCATAAACTGAACTTCAATCTAAAAGTTCTCTCTTACCTTTATCCTTGTTGGTGTCCACACCATCAGCTGTCTCAAGATTTTTCTCGTAGTTGCTCTCTAGAAGTGCATTCAGGTCTGAAACAAATAAAGAAAGTGTACAAAGGGGATTCAAGAATCTGAATGGTACAACTTTTAACATGGTTTTATAGCTATTATCTCATTCTGAAAAGACCATTGAAATGCTCATTGTAAAACAAATTAAAACAATCTCTCCATAAATATCAAAATAGTTTCTTCAAAATGATTGGCAAGTAAAAATATTCATATAATATACAGGGGATATAAAACATAATGTAAATCTGTGAACATGTAGGGTACATATAATAAACAAACATCTACTATGGCATCCAGTTCTCTCAATAGGAAAGGTGCATTATACAAAATACCACAGTCGGATAACACACCATTTAACTATGAACCAACAACAAGTAAATGTGCTAATGGCTACTCACAATACTGTAGCTATGAGATATGCAACTCATTTCTACAAGCTATAAAATGTATGGTCTCACATGGATTATTTGCGAATTCTATTTATTTTTTGATTGAACATAAAAGTACATGAAATAATAAATTATTTTTGTGGAATGACACTCAAATATACAAAATCCTCCATGTGAGACTATTTGTCAGGAGCCTCTATTTTGCTAGCTAGATATTCTCAAGCCACATTCATATTTAATTTCTAAACATATGCAAGTAAAAGATTCAAGATCAGGTATGATAGTATATTATATACATGTGGTTCATGGACTTAACAATCATATTCACATTTAGTAATAGTTATTTGATTAAATAATAGAAGTATAAGTAATAAAAATCTGTAATGCAGGTTGTATTAGTAATATTTGTGGCATATTGACAGTGCAATGTAAGAAAGGGAGTGTCATCATGTTTATTCTTAGTTCATTATTAACACTCTACAGCTACCACCTATTTTACTAATTATCAAAGCAAGACATTTAGAGCAGTTTGAAAATATATTGATTGATATAAAAAATCATTTTTGATAATAAAAACATGATAGACCTAATTAATTTTGGAGATGTTCTACATAAAGGCAAAGTTAATAAATCACCATTTGACATTTTTGAAAGTGAATAAGATCTAGAAATACTGGCAGTTCTGGCATATTGACAGTTGAAATTTGTAATTATTTTGAACCGATCCTTTTTAAATTGTAAGTAGAAGCAGCATATATTATATTAGTAACATCTAGCATGCTATAATGTATTTGAACTATCTAATATATAAAGTCTATACAGTTAAGCCTGTAAAAGTGGAATGCACTTCAAAATAGTGTTCCACTTGGGAGGTATTCTAGAGTTCATTAATATTACTTAATTGGTGATGGGACTTGAAAAATGTTCCACTTATGGAGCTGTTCCATTTTACAGGTTTAAATGTGGAGTAATATCCTACATAGTCAAGTGCACAGACTCAGATAAACTATATGGTCAATAATGAAAATAAATAGAGAATTTGTGCAATTTCTTGGAGTAGTACACCAGACTATATAAATGTGAATTATTAGCAAGATTCAAAATAATTGAATGTTCACCATCTACATTTCCCTGTGGCATCCCTGCGTGTTCTCGTTGCCGTAGCAACTCTTTCTGCCCTAATAATGGTGAACAAATATTTGGGAATTTAATACAAAACCTTAATACATAAAATAAGAAACATAACTTGAACTATCTATATAATGTTAAGGATTTAATGAGTAAATCAACACATAAACTATTAAAAAGTGAGGTTCAGAAACTAAGATTTGATATTATATCAAACAAAAAACGTTGGGATGTTTCATGAAGTCTACTTACCATCAACTTCTGTTGCTTCTGTTGAACTACCATCCTCATCAGGAGTATCTCCATCAAACCAACCTGACCACCAACTACCCTCCTCTTTGGTGCCCTCCCCTTCTTTTGGTTCACCTTCCTTATTCTCCTCTTCATCCATCTTTACTTCTTTGGTTTCACCCTCCTGTGTTTTTTCCTCGCTGTTGTCACCATTAACAAGTTTTTCTTTATTGTCCTGGTTATCTCCTGCTTCTTGTGCCGCAACTGGTGGAATTGGTTCTGTCCCAGAAGGCATGTCAACAAGAGTCCCTTCTGCATTTTCTATTACCTGGAAATATGACTGCTAAGTGAACATCAGTTGCTTCTGCCTGCATTTGAGTTGAGTAATATTACAAATCATGTAATATCACAGGTAATTTTACAGTAATGAGATTGATACAATTAATTATAAACAATATAAATATATTTAGATGGTTTACTACAGAATTTATTGGATGTGAAATTGTACAAACTTTTACATACAAATTGAACACAGCAACATGTAACAGAACAACATTAGCTAATTTAAAAATTAAAAACCTAGGGTCCCAAAACTGTTGGTGAAATGAAAAATAATTCCAGAAAAGGAGTTGACCTGATCCTATTGCAATAGTGCAATAGTGAATTTTGGGTAGTCAATATAATACTGATAAACATGACCAGTATTATTTCTTCAGTAATTATTTCATTATACAGGGATACCGTAAAATATGGAAAAGGGGATGATCAGTATTATTTGAGCACCCTGTACATAAAAAGTCTCCCAATACCTACAAAAAATTATACAAAAAGCCCTGGAAACAATTACAACAGAATCATACAACTACAACAATGTAAACAACTACACATAATAACAACACTAACATACCAACTATTACACAATTTACCTGGGAAGCATCTACCGTGACCAGAGTGAAGAAATCAAAGGGCTTCAGGAGCAAGGTAACGAGCTCAGACCACCAGGTATTCTACAGGTGTGTATTGGCAGAGGGGTTAGTAAGTTAGTTGGTAAAGTATTCATTCACAAAAGCCTTGTGGTGAAAACCTTTCAAAACTGATTTTTTGATTTGTTTAAATTAAACCTGCACAAAAATCTAAACCAAAAAATACAGAAAGAATACCAAAGACAATATTTAGTGTAGGGGATGAAAAACATGTTTGTGAGAGAATTCATTATGAATTCAGCAAATCTAAAAAATATTCTATGCTGAACACTGTGATTATTATTGTGACGAGAGCCAATAGATTATTCAAATCCAAAGTATTTTTGTGTGAACACTGAATCTGCAGTAAAAAAACTCTGATGTGATTAAATATTTGCTAGTACCTGTTCCTTATTTTCATTTTCTTTCTCTTCATCATCCCCAGCCTCAGTATCATCCTCATCTGAAAATATAAATGTTAATAGTCAATATTTGATGACTAAATAATTTCTATGTTCTTTGCAACAAGGGTACAACACAGATAAACAGCTTGAGATATATCATTTATATTTTATATAAACTGTTATAAATAACTAATGACTAAAATTGAATGATTCGGAGCATAATCCATTTCGTGCCAGCCACAGGAAATGCATTATTTTCCCATCCAATAATCGTGCTACCAATACAATTAATAATAATAATTATAAGTTCATGACGATGTGTGAATATACATTTTCTCCTACCTTCATCATCATCCACTTCAGTATCATCTTCTTCATCAACTTGTTCCTCAACCTTATCAGCAGTATCTCCTTCCTGTTGATTCATTTCAACAACATTGTTATCAGCTTCCTGATTGGTAAATGTAATATCATCATTGTTATCTACTTCAATTTCATCATTACTATCTGTTTTCTCATTGGCCGGATCTGTGTCATCTTCTATTTCAGTGTCATCCACCTCAGTGTCATCAAGCTCATCATTTATGTCTTCTGCTGTGTCTGCTGAATCTCCATACTTATCTTTCAATAACTCTAATTCTATGCCCCTCTGGAATCAATCATAATACATGAAAAAAATGATATGAAGAACCAAACTTGTTCCCATCTCTTTGCTATTCTTGTAGATTACAAAATGGCTGAAATGACTTTAGAATAATGGCAATTTCAGTATTTGGGTTTTGTGTTACCTAGGGTAAAATCATGTTCATGGGAAATGATGCGTGGCATCTGACCCAAAAGTCTCACATTGAATTCCTATATTTTGCTATTCTTTTGTTGGACTGAACACAGGATCCATTATTTTAACTTTACTTGGAATTCTTCGGTTTTTGATGAGGCACTTACCTCTGTCTGTACAATGTGCTCTGGTTGATGGATCAATATTTTGTATTCTTGAACAAAATTCTTGGGGAAATATCCTCTCTTTCCATTCAACTACAACAAATAAACATTTATGTACAAAGCACATCAATTTGAATAGTTTAATACATGTAAATGCATTCTCCATCTGTCCATAGAGACATGTGAATTCTAAACCTATTTGTTGTCCCATACTTATCTATGGTACAGGTGTTTAAAGGGTCAAGCATTTTTTTATAATTTTAGAACACAACCACAGCCTGTTAACCTCATAAATAAAGCACGACCACATATTTAGCCTTGTGAGAAAATATGAACACACATCCCTTCTAATACCATTACTTAATACTGTAATGTGGGCATATCACCTGTTGCTCACAAGATTATTCAGTCAAGGATGACTTATTCACTTACCTCTCCACTCCATAGGTCAGGTCTGTCCCCTGCACCTTTAGACTGAACCCTTATGGAGCGTCCAATCTCAAAGTTGAGAAATCTGTCATCTGAACTGGAGTGGCGACCAATAGTTCTAGCAATTGAGATAGTTTCTGAAACAAAACATTAAAAATTGCACTAATTCTGCAAATATTCATGAATAAAGTAATAGTTAATATAATTGAGGATTACTGGTATTAGTTATCAGGTCTTGTTGACCTTCCAAGAATTGTTTCCTGCGAATTAATGTTATTTTCCCAGCTGTAGCAATTAAACAGAACAAAAAGGTAAAAATGATTTCGATCCTATCTGTTCTGATGAAAACCATGTGACATAAAAGTATACATAAATGGCTGGGAATTTTTGCTTTATGCATTTCTATTTGCTTGTGCATATAATCTTAAATCTAATAATATAATATAATTTTGAGTTCTTATTTAATTTTTTCTTTTTTATTCACCCTGCAATTATTAATCAAGTGGCTGATAATGCCTTCAGCAAAGTCACTACAAGCGTACAATGTTTATGTATTGTATATGTATTTGTAAAATAAATTCTACGAATAAAAAAATAAATAAACAAATAGTCTTAAACTTGAGTGGACAGTTCAACCTGTTATAGAATAACACAATCAATCTTAAGTATAGAAATAAAACAAAAATCTTGATGCCAAGAAAGTATAAAGCCCATGCAATTTTTGAAAAATCAACAGATATCCCATGCAAATTGAGTTTTATAGAGGGTCTGAAATTCAAGAAAAAGTTTTAGGCCAGCTGTTGTGGCTAGACCTTATGGCTCAGCGATAGAGCATCGGACTTTGGAGCGAAGGGTTCTGGGTTAGATTCCTACAAGGAATAAATTTAGCACACTCCCACAATAATACAGGTCCAAAGAGGTGCCTCGGTTTGTTAGATTGGTGTTAGAAGTGGGATGATGGTCCTCGTGTATATCCTGGGTAAAGACAGCATCATCCTCGGGATGGTGTAATAACCCTCAATAATAAGTTGTATTGCTACTACAGCCCAGCTATCCCTCAAGGCTCAGCGGTAGAGCATCTAACTTTGGAGAGGAAGGTCCTGGGTTTGATTCCCACACATTGCATTGAATTTAGCACACTCCCTATCATGTCCAGTGTCTTGTTACACTACAGCTCCCAAATGGCGCCTCTGAAGTTTACAATTGAAGCATTTGGTTCAAATATAAGATCAAGAATTGATATCTCGGCGCCTCGGGTCATACAATGTAACAAATGTATTTAGGATAGATGGAATCGGATGACTCCGGTCCCGGCTCCGGTGTGGTTTGGATGGCTCAGGTTTGGTGCAGATTAGTCTGTATCCGGCGACAGACTACATCAGTCAATCTTCTTCGTTTCTAGTACAGACTCTGTGGAAGGATATTTTGTTACTTCCTGCGAAAGCTATTTGGATTTTGATATTTTGTACTTCATTCATAACAATTCTGTTCATTTTTATCATGAGATTGTACATTAGACTCTATAGTTTCTATGTTTATGAAGTCTGTCAATAATCTGCAAAAGGCTATGTTGGAATACCTTTCATGCAATGTTAGTCTATGGAGGTTTCACCATGCCCCACTTGTGGTTGCCGAGGTGAAGATTGATTAAGATCCAATAATCCATCATGTAAGAGTGACTATGTAATGTCTACCTCCAAAAATCTATGGAATTATTGGAAGAATAAAAATCTTGAAAAATTGAGAAAATGGAAGCTAAAAACACTGCTCAAACTTTTGCTGTTTCGGGCCGATTTCAACAAAACTATGCAGACTTTATTCTTACCTTCACAACTTTCATCTCCACAGAGTTGTTCTGTCGATATTTCATCGGCATGGGTATAACATAGTAATGTTATGAGGCAAAATAATAACTCATGCCCTTTCATTTTCTCCATCTCCACACGTCATCAGAATCAGCGTAATCCGGCTGAAAAGAGGAGCTCTTCAAAAGAGATTTGCCAAGTGTACACATCAAAATTTCTCAGTTTATTATTGCGTTTTGCGTTTTAACCAACTTATAATGTGGAATTTGGTGCTTGACTATAGCAACATGAATACTTGAAGAATCCAGAGGACTAATTAATATAGAAAAAAATGTCTGCAGATTCCGGGAAAAATCCACTCCCAAGTGGACCTTCAAATTTGTGTTTCAACAAGGAAGAGTTTATGAAGGTAGGGAGGGGATTGTATCCATGCATGCCCATTCTGATTGTTGGGCATATAATTCCCAGGCACGGTTATGGGAAGTCCTCCATATATTACTTATATTAATATACCTCCTAGATGGAGGACTTCCCACTATCCGTGTTCCCAGGATATAATTTCACTGCAATTTCCACAGGGCAGTACAGTAGGTTGACTAGAAGTACATACTGGGAGCCTATAGAGTACAGTACAGTAGTTTCAGCCTTATCCCGTGCCTGGCACGGGATAAGTTTGAGTCCTCAAACTTCAAAATCAGGAACTATCATCATTTGAACAAAACTGCACTTCATTCAAGCAAATAATGTATCGTTCAAAATCAAAAAATTACTTTTTTGTAAAAGTGCAGAACTACTTACTAATACCAGTTATATTTCTTGTTGATTACAGAATGACTTCAATACAGACCAGTTTGTTATGGAGTGTAGGCGGCATGTCTCTCTTGAGACTCTAAGAGATGATCTACTGGTTTACCTGAAGGTGCTGAGGAGTGCCATGATAGAACTCATCAACAAAGACTATGCAGATTTTGTTAATCTCTCAACTAACCTAGTAAGTGATGAGTTGGGCATCTCTGAATACTTGTATGTACATAGAGATGGTGTTACAGCATTAAAAGTGTTCAAATTAGCAACATGTCGTTATTGTCTTGAAAAGGCATAAAGCCAACTGTAAAATGTATTGACATCTGTGAATGCAATTTTATAACCACTGTCACAGAATTCACTTTTTCCACAATTAGTGAAGGAATATAGACCAAACAAGTCAATGTTTTCTTATATGTCTCGAAATCTGTGCCATAGAACTAAAATTAAATAATCACATTGCAGGGTGTCTAATACTGTCTATTCTCTATTCAGCCCTCTATGCATGACATGCATTCCCATGAAAAGTTCATACAAGCCATTTTTAATGTTTGATTCAAATATATATATCAGAAATATTTATATTGTGTTGTAGGTTGGGATGGACAAAGCCATAGGTAACCTGTCTACCCCACTGGGTCAACTAAAGGAAGAGGTTCTGGTAAGTTAAGTCTTGGGACTCTCAAAAGTGTTCCACTAACAGAGGTGTTCATCATCTTGAGGTGTTCCACTTTACAGGTTCCGCTGTAATGAGCAATAATTACAGATTGTTCAAAATTGCTGTCAGATTTTACAAGATAATACAATGTATTTACAGGGTGTCTAGAATTCAATTTTTTACTTGTTTCAGAGTGTCCAAAAATCAATGGATGATGCTATGGAGCATATTGAGGAAAAGATGAAAAGACAAAAACAGATAAGAGATCAAAAGGTTGGTTATTATTAAGTTTTTTTTATAAGGTTATTTCATTTCCATATTTGAATCATATAACATACAATAATACATGGATATGGAGAAACAAGCCTACGTTTGCACATTATTGGCTTGTGAAAATACATTTTATACAGTGGATATTTACATGTGCAATAATTTACATAAATGCAGTCTTCAGATAGGATGAAGTTGAGTGATGATGTTATGAAATTTGGCAAAGTACAGTAGCTATGACACTGGTTTCACAATATTTTGTTAATAAAATCTGATGATAGATTTATAAGTATGGAGTTAAGCTTTGGTGATAGTTCTTTATCGCCAAATAAAATCATATCAACCTTGTCAACGTGGCTAATAAGTAATAATACTAAAAGCACAGCCTCTTACACTGTATTATTGTATTGTATTCTTTGTACAAATGAATAACTTAATAAATAAAAAAAACTAAAAAACTTGCCATATTTACGTTTACTGGAGACAAGTTTGAGGTCGGGGTTATTATTAAGTTATTTTGGTCAAGCTCTGACTAGGATTAAGAAGAGCACTAAAATCACTTTAGAAATAACAAAAGTTATCAGTCTTTCTTAATGAGATGCTATATTGGAACCTTTATACATAGGCTTCTCCTTAAGAGACATAATAATGCTGTTAAATTGATGCAATTGCTTAATTGTTCCGTATCACCAGACAACCGTCCTCTAAGTTGTCTTTAAAATGATCCTTATTGATTTTTATACTGATTTAACCAAATGTTCTTCCTCACTTACAGGTCTGTCTGCAACGGCTGATGAGTGTCTCTGCATCAGTAGAGAAGATGGAGAGACTTTTGGGTATTGCTGAGGATCATGGGAGTGGCACACAGTATACTGGGTACTTTGCACCTCTTTTTGTTTTCAAATTATCCTTTTTGTCTTCCATTTTGCTTTTATAGGATGATTTTTTATTGATCCTCTCAGTTTAGCAGATAATTTGAACCAAATGAAAAACATATTACTGACTAGATGATTAAAAGAAACAATGGTTTTGTTTGGTTTTGTAGCAACAGTGATTTTATTTCTTATGTAACTAGTCTGGCCTTACTATACTCGAGAACTTCAATTCTCACACAATCTATGTAAATAATTATGTTGAATTATATAGAAATAAATAACAATAACCTATAAAAAAAAGCTTCAATTCTTCGTCATAAGGTGAAGTGGCATGTCCACATACATGTACATACAGTAATCCTTATATGCTATACTGTGTTTCAGTGAGCTGACAGGACATCTTATAGAGCGAGTAGCATCAGAGTTCAACAAACTACAATTTAACGTTAACAAAACTAGAGGGCACCCTTTGGTGGAAACAATAAGACCTGTAAGTTAATGTGCAATATGCATGTCAGTGTGCAATACACGTTTTGATTTGTAATAAACATGTCAGTATGCAATACACATACGTACATGTCAAAGTGCAATGTAAATTTGTAATTGTTATTGTGAAATATGCAAGTCAGTGTGCAATATGTATGTCACCGACTCATTGTGCAATATATGTGTCAGTGTGCAATATGCATTGTCAATGTGCAATGTACATGTCAATGTGTAATATATAATATGCCTGTCAGTGTTTTCCCAGGACTATATTTCAATTTCGTTGTATTCAAGTCAGGGTACAAGCTTGATTTTCAAATTCTCAACTGGGCACTTTGCCTAAATGGTTCAGTGCTGGGGAGATCATTGTCGTGTCCATCTTATCATTGGAAACCTGCCATGGAGGGTGTGAAACAATACCTTACATAGAGGCTCATACATTTAGATGTGTCACATAATTTACACGAATATTCAATGTCCATGTACATGTATGTATCTTTATACCAAAATGTTATTTTCCAGAGAATTTCCAACATTACAACCACTTTACAGTACAGCCTAGAGGGATCATTCCGGGATAGTTTAGACCAGGGCCAGACAGACATATTACGGCAATGTCTACGTATCTATGGTACCATTGATAAGATGAGAGATGCTGAGGCATTGTTCAGACAACACATAGTTAGACCATATATGCAAGAGGTACATTCACCTAAACATATCGTAATAATACTGATGATTTAAGACTATTGAATAATGTACCACTTCTACTTCTACAGCCATATGTATTATCAAGAACCATATTGTAATAAGAAGTCTTCAAAGGTTAAATTTTGAGAACTGGTGTTTTTACCTGTGATTGTTGATCATTTAGGGGGGCCTTGGTAAATTGTTTGCCTCTGTTACGAAATATTATTTGAACGTAGACTCAATTTCAGAATACCATTAGAAATTGAGAAATAACATGAGATATATCGTATCTGTTATAACAAGTTGTGCATATTAATTTGATATGAGTATGTTATTGTTGTTGATAGGTATTAACTGAGCAGTATATCCAGGCCAACCCTCATGGTTTGAGGGGCATGTACAACAAGGCCCTGGAGTTCATCCCCAAACACTGTAAACAGTTAAAAGAGGTCACCAGTGGTACAGCTCCAGGGTGAGTTGACACATTCAAGAAATTGTCAAAACTTTTGCAGGTCGTGTTTAAGATATAAAAGACTAGAAGCACAGTCAATAATGTAAATGAAATAAAATAAAAAATGAAATATTCAGGTTTGTTCAGGGTTATTATGATTGTGACTGGAATACAGGTTTACCATTTTCAATCTGCTTATTGTTACATTTAATAAATGATATTCTCTTATTATCTATGTTCCTTTAATCAATATATTAAGAACTATACATCACAATATATTCAATATTTACTTTAAGGAGTGAGGCTGTGAAAGGCTATGATTTCCTGGTGAACTCGGTTTGGCCAGAAATAGTGTCCAACATAGAGGCAAGAACTCCAAGCATATTTGCCCCTGGAAACCCTGATGTTTTCCATGAGGTATGTTATAATGGATGGCACGCTTTGAGCCTGAGTACTGAGTAGAAAAGTAAAGAAATAACTTAAGTAAACTCCAAATTGAACTCTAAGGAATTCTATCTGAGTGAACATAATGTAAATCGAAAATTTGAATTCAACATCTCCTTTTGTTGTAATATTCATGTAAGTGCTAAACTGATTTGAAGTCAAAAATCAATTTAGTGAAGATATAAGTGTTTATCAGAAATTATCATGTTATCATTCAGTGGTGTCAAAGCAGTATATTGAATATTGTAAAATGTTTCAGAAATACACTATAAGTATGGATTTTGTGGATAGATTTGAGCGCCAATGTGGCAGTCAGGCAAGTGTGAAACGTCTCAGGGCTCATCCAAGCTTCAGCACTTTCATGACAAAATGGAGTCTTCCTGTTTATTTCCAAATAAGGTATTTTACATTTTTTATTGAGTAAGTTGAGAAAGTTTTGTATTAAGTAAGAGATGATATCAAATAGTTTTCCGTACTTCACATGCTGCAAATACAAATTTTTAGACTTTATCTCAGTCTTTAAATCTATAAATAACACCAGAGCATCATTGATTAGATTCATGTCGTGTATTTCTCACCATGTAGCTTGTTCTGAAATTATTTTCATTTTTTGTATTTCTATAATTGTACATGTACGAGGCCCGATCAGAAAGTAAGTAACCAACTGCTCTTATTTCTTCATACTTTATTCAATCACGTTGAAATTTTCACAGATGATGTAGAAAATATTAACCTATTAAAGAAGACCAAGGACAATGGGTAAGCGCCAATTCCATTGTTATTGCTGTTGCTATGGTGACAATTGTTTTGGGTAGGCGGGGCACCCTGTTTTAAGTGGCGTTTGAAATAATTTGTTGAGTTTTTCTACATGTTGTAATACTTCCAAATATATCCAATTCAAATGTAAGACTACATTTTAACACATAGTTCTTCAAATTAATCGCCACGAAAGTCAATGCAGTTGAATCAATGTTTCGTTCCGTCCTTAAAGACGTGCAACATGGCATGCACCATTCAATGACTGCAAACTGCCGTTGAAAGCTTTAATGGTGGCCTTATTGCTATCCAAACAGACTCTCCATAACAACACATTTGCATTTGGAAAGAATTTAGTCACGTGGGGCCAGATTTGGGGAATAGTGAGCCGGGGGTAGTTGTGTGGCCATGGAAAAGGATTAATCTACTGTATCTTTGGTAATGTTGGCTCTGTGGAGGTGGACCATTGTCATCGTGTGAGTAAAATCCCCCTTCAACAACATTTGACTGGATTGAAACTGTGACTGAATCATAACCATCATTATGACAGATATACCCTTGATATCTTTGTGTTGATGACTTGTAAATGAGACAATGGTACCAAGTTACCACTGTGGTAATACATAAAACAAATTATTCAGTCTTCATAAAAAATATTAGGTCATTTCGAGGAATACAGCATGTAAAAAACTCTACAAACCATCTTCCAAAGCCGCTTATAAAAGTGTGCCCCGCCTATCCAAAACAATCATCACCATAGCAACAGCCATAACAATGGCATTGACGCTAACCCATTGTCCTTGGTCTTCTTTAATAGGATAATATTTTCTACATCATCTGTGAAAATTTCAATGCGATTGAATGAAGTATGAAAAAATGAGAGCAGTTGGTTATTTACTTTCTGATCGGGCCTCGTATGTGACATGTAACACAAGTACATAATGTATAGACACTTTTTCCAATCCCAGGTAAACCCCCACTGGAAGTGTGAGTTTCATGTTATATCTCAAATACATTATTCAATGTTCAAAACATAGAATTGCAAAACAGATATTCTTCAAAAATAGGAATAACTAAATACATTAAAGTTTAATTTTCACTTGTTTATTGTAGATTCCAAGACATTGCTGGTAGCTTTGAGCTGGCCCTGGAGACTGGGCTCAATAATGCAGCTGGTAAGGACGCCTAAAGACGCGCTTAGTTTCATTGATTTCTAGCTAATTACATGTATACATGTTTATGTTATCATTATTTTCATAATGTTTGCAGTTTGTAGAACTCCATTATTTTACAACAGATTGTAGAACTCAATGTATTTTACAACAGATTGTAGAACTCTGTGTATTTTACAACAGATTGTAGAACTCAATGTATTTTACAACAATTTGTAGAACTCAATATATTTTACAACAATTTGTAGAACTCAATATATTTTACAACAGATTGTAGAACTCTGTGTATTTTACAACAGATTGTAGAACTCGATGTATTTTACAACAGTAAACAGTAACAGTATTTTACAACATTATTTACAACAGTAAATAAAAATACCATGTACCACGGTACAATCTGATTTCATAATTCTATTATAGAAGACTCCAAATACCATCTCCATGCCACAGATGTATTAGCTACTTGTCTGAGAAAATGTTGGCAAAATGATGTTTTCCTTATACCCCTGTGCCACAGATTCTGGAAATTAACCCTTCAGCATCTCTCCAGATATGCCACCTGGATAGAGGAAGTAAAGAATGATGAGGTAAGAGTGTGACTATGGGCATAGCCAGTCATGAGGCAAGGGAGGCAATTGTCTCACTAAGAGTTTCAGAACTGTATTTATTCAGCCATTTTTTCTAGAATTAAAACTAACCGGAAATGAACTCCAACAGTAGTAATATATATACATATATATATTTATCCCATCGAACGAAGTTTGGAGGGATATAGGGAACGCCTCCGTCCGTACGTCCGTACGTCCGTCCATCCGTACGTCTGTCCGTCTGTCCGTCCGTCCGGGCAATAACTCAAATACCGTTGGCCCGATTTTGTTCATATTTTGTACACATATACCCTATGGGGGTAGAAGTTCTGCTCGAAAGCCGATTTTCAAAATGGCTGCTCATTTCAAAATGGTGGCCATTTTAGTGCAGATTTTACAGTAATTTAGGTGCAATATGTAAAACTGTAATAGCAATATGTTTTAAATGTAAAAAAATTATAAAGGACATTAATAGTGCTACAAATGTAGATATTAAAGAAGCACATGGCAGCCATCTTGAAAAATGGCGGCCTTTACTCATCATTTTACGATTGAAAAATGGCCGCCATTTTAACATATTTTAATTACTATAACTCGAAAAGTAGTGGAGCGATTTTGTTTATATTTGGTATGTGAATACTATAAGCATGGCACACTGTCCTTTGACACTTTTGGTAGAAGGCAGCCATTTTGAAAAAAATTTTGAAAAATGGCCGCCATTTTAACGTATTTTACTATAACTCGAAAAGTAGTGGAGCGATTTTGTTCATATTTGGTATGTGAATACTATAAGCATGGCACACTTTTCTATGACACTTTTGGTAGAAGACGGCCATTTTGAAAAAAAATTTGAAAAATGGCCGCCATTTTAACGTATTTTACTATAACTCAAAAAGTAGTGGAGCGATTTTGTTCATATTTGGTATGTGAATACTATAAACATGGCACACTGTCCTATGACACTTTTGGTAGAAGGCAGCCATTTTGAAAAAAATTTTGAAAAATGGCCGCCATTTTAACATATTTTTTAACTCGAAAAATTAATGGAGCGATTTTGTTCATATTTGATATGTGAATACTTTAAGCATGGCACATTGTCTAATAAAACTTTAGGGAGTAGTCGGCCATTTTGAAAAATGGCCACCATTTTTATGTGTGTTATTTTACAAGTACGTGTGCGATTTTAGAGGTGGCTGCTTAAAAGCATATTATTTCTTCTGATGACAACTTGGCTAGTGAGCAACCATTTTGAAAATGGTGGCCTTTCTGGAGTGTTGTTATATGATATTTGCTATTTGTTTGTAAAGATGCCAGCCATTTCTGTTCGATGGGATTCGCTACGCTTTGGCGTTGCCGTTGTTCTGGTTCCTTTAGCCTCAATGCAACACATAAAATATTTACAATTCCCTGCAATTTTTTTGATCATGGCTACACCCCTGTTTACAGTATATAAGACTTATACATCATAATATTGAGTCCTAGAGATGAAAAGAAAGAGACAAGTCTTTTACTTTATTTATTTTAAGATGTTTTAATAATGATGCATTAAAAATTATTTTTAGCTGAACAGAAAACCTGTTGTGCCGAAAGCTAAGAAACCAGGTGTTGGTGAACAGGTAGCTGAACCTGAGGGTCCCCCTCCACCCCCTCCCATTACTATGGGCCAAATTGTGTGCCTTGTCACTGATGCTGAGCTTATATGTAACCAGGTAAGACTTAACAGTTTTCACAGCCAACTCTACATGTTTTTGGAATGAGGTTAAAGTGTCTCACATATTCGATCAAAATTTGCCATGCAAACATGTTAGTCTACTTTACTGGCCCCCCTTGCTGTAACAAGGAACCCAAAACACATCAAAACGTAAACATTAACCAATTAGTCACTTCACTATGAAAGTGAGGGGTGTTAGTCCATGCACACAGCGTATTCTGCTAATACATATTTGCTAACACAATATCAGTGGCCATTTACTGTGTCAACTTAGTAACCCTTGCATATCGTGCTCACTCAAGTATTGAATTTTTTTATGATCTAAATGTTTGTGGTTTATAAAAAAATGTGATATATTTTAGTTAGAAATACATTAATTAATATATTCATTCAAACAGCACTAGAATGCGGGAAGAAAGAGCAATGGTGACAAAATGCAGACAGAATTTTCTGTAAGGGTTTCAAACATTTCTGGACACAATCATACATGTACTTCATGTGTACTGTTATTTTTAGTGCTGTATTTATAGATATAATTTCACATATTAAAATCAAATTTTGCAGCAATGACTTCAAATTCGGAACCACACCCATATCACATTTTCTTCAATAACTCCAAACATGTGTAAACATTGACCATGTGCATATAAATTCAGATTTCCCGAGCTCTGTCCTATTCGAGTACCATGCACCCCTGCATGGATTTCAGTTGGATTCGCCTTTTATACGTGAGCCGACACACTCGCAAACGCTGATTGGATAAAGATTGCGAGAATCTTTAAAGCAAGATGGTATTGCAACAATACAAAAGGAGAAACTCAGAGTTAGCTAAACTACCTGTAAATTCTTTTATTGAACTTCATTCAAGAGGAAGATTAATGTTGGTATATACAATGTAATGGACCCACTGTCTGGAGATTCTTTCCAATTTATTCTACCAATAAATTATCTACTGGATAGTTATATGTCACATGTATATTTTCAGATTTCTGAAATGTTTGATGAAATAATGTCTCCTAAGTTGGCACTGATTGGTTGTCATGACAACCCTTTACTTACAGGTAAGCAATCAGGAAAATGAACATGAACATAGAAAGGAGTGGTTGTTGAAACTATCTGACACAGTCTATGCAGCCAATTTTAAACTATTCCTTAGCTGTTATTTTGAACATGGTACATGGTGGGCCAAAATAATGTAACCCAAACAAATGTTTGTAACTCAGTCAGTCAGCATGGGTTTAAGGTCATATTTTACAGAATTAATCCTCGTTCAATGTTCTTTCATTCTACTAAGTTTCTGTATATGTATTTCAGAGAGTTTGAATGAATCTAAAGTTATGATCTTGGCTCCCCTGCCTGTGTTCAACGAATACATCGTGGATGACATCACAAACCAATGTTCAGTCCATCTGAAACTAGTCAATGATATTCCAAGGCTTTATAGGAAAACCAACAGAGATGTAAGTTCATAATGTCAACACAAATAGCAACAAAATTTTCTCACCCACGAGATTGTTGCGCTGCTGCATACTTTCACTATAAAGTACGAGCCTAACTCATTTTATGCAAATTTCGACTCCATTTTTGTATGTAATTCGATTTTGGAATTTTCCCTTTCACTAATTTTATCAAAAGAATGTGCAACTTTCTATTTTGTTTTAATGACCGTTCACATATAAATCGCATTATGTGTATACTGATCAAATTTTATATCGCTTGCTTGTCAATCTTTTGATTCAGGGTCCCTCAGTTGTACAAGTATACAGTTTTACATTCATGAACTTAAATACAGTGTAAATATCCTTTCATATCTTTTCATTTCTAGATACCTTCCAAAGCTTCCAACTACATTTGCAACATCTATAAACCAATCAAAATCTTTGTCTCGGAGCACCAAGGGGCCCTCAGCAAAGACAAACAGATTGAGATTATAACATGTGTTCTCAATAACATCCTGAAATCGTAAGTTACAGATATTAAGTAAAAATGTGAAGTTGTGAAATTGGGTTCCCAGAGTGGAAACTAGTGGTGCAAAAATCCTTAGTGAACATACACCTGAAGAAGTGGATGGGAGGTAGCCCAACTAAAGACTTGTTGCAAAACTTATGGGAAACATTTTAGTTTGACTTTTATAGGTTTAGGAAGATGAGTCTGTTAAGAGAAAAAACAACAACACATTTGCATCCATTTTTAAGATATTGGCATTTGTGAAATACTTTTGAAATAAGAAAATTAATCTTCTGAATTAGAATAACTGATTTAAGATTACATTGTATGAATAAGATGAAAATATCCACAACAATGAACTATTTTCTTTACATTCTAGATATTACGGAATAACGTCAGATTTGTTGACATCAGTTAAAAAGATGGAGGACAGTTTAAAAAGGTTGAAGAAGGCACGTAAAACTGACAAGAGTGCAGGTACCACAGGAATGAGTGATGACGATAAAATACGACTACAGCTCTCAATAGATGTCACTGAGTTTAAGAATCAGGTATATAGAAAGAGGGGGATATGAATTTAAAAGTTGATTAACAACTTAAAAAAAAAAAATTTTTAGATTAATTTTTCATGAAGGTTTCAAGTATGATATCACTTTCAGTAAATTTGAATAAAAAATGATGAAAATGATGATAATTTCTCCTTGCATCTAAATTTGTCATGTCATCATGTGACATGTAAATCCAGATTGTATTATGTTATGAATGTGGTCCATGTGGTATTTGTGGAAAATACATGGTGATTCAGTTGGACATTTCCCCAGAAATATTGTATTTTACCAAAATTTCAACAATGCATTTACACAGTAAACACATGTTGTCTATGAAATATGTATTTTCTATTTTCCAGTTTGAGGAATTGAATCTTGAGGCAAGTAAAGTTGAGGACTTTAAAAAGATGCAAGATCTGGTTGAAAGTGCAAGAACTGGAGTTACCACATGATCAAAAGTTGCCAGAAATCTAATAATGAATTACAAAATGTGCTATTGAAGTCACTTTGAATGCACATTACATGCACTTACTCTGTATAACAAATCACATCAAAATTGATGGAACAATATTCGAAGAATTTGTCACAAAGTATGGACTGAAGTTTCATTTGGAGAAATAATGATGCCGCGAGAGAAGAAGATGTCAATGTCTTGAAATATTCTTAATTGAGAAATATCTAAATCATTGTTGAACATTGTTGTAACATAATGGCTCATAGGTTTTGGCTCAAAGCTTTGGCTTAAAACACTAAACATCTCATATTTTAGGAGATTTCACAAAAAATCATTAAGAGATTGTGCATCATATTTGATTTCAAGTGGAAATTTTGCAGTATTGGTTATAATGTATTATATAATTGTATATATGATGGACGATTAATGTTATCAAGAATATCTATGAATATTTGTACAAAAATAAATGAGGGGATATAAAATGAAATAAAATCACATTTGTGTTCTGTGAAGTTAAGTGATTAAGTATGTGAAAATATTTTATTGCACCTAACAGCCTAATAAAAGGTACTATACTGATGTCTTCAACCATTTCTTTTTGATCAACAGACAACCAATACCTCAGACCATCAAAGACAAAACATATTTCATCACCACCAAAACATCCAGTACTATCATAAGATAACTAATACTGTAGAAAAATTCCAGGGGCCCACTATTGACAACTTTAGACCAAAAATGGCTAATATCACTTAAAAAGTGCTCAGAATGATGAAACCATGGCCTGGGGGGGGGGGGGGCTCGCTAGTTACTAGTCCATGAAACATAAATTACTTCAAGACCAACAAGACAACCAATACTTCAAGACAACCAATGGTTCAATACATGTACCATCAACGAAAATACTTCAAAACCACCAATGCTTCAAGATCAACAAAGACAACCAATACTATAGTATAAAACTACCAAACACAACCAGTACTTCAAGACAACGAGACAAACAATGCTTCAAGACCACCAAACACAACCAATTGTTCAAGACCACCAATGCTTCAAGATCAACAAAGACAACCAATACTATAGTATAAAACTACTCTACACAACCAATATTTCAAGACAATGAGACATACAATGCTTCAAGACCATCAAAAACAACTGATACTTCAAGACAACCAATGCTTCAAGACGACTGGTGAAGACATCTAAAACCAAAGTATAAGATCACCAAAGACAACCACTACTTCATAACAACTGATGCTTGAAGACTTACCAAAGCTTGACAACCAATACATGTACTTCAAGACAACAGAAGACAACCAATACTACAATCAACAATACTAACAAAAACGAATAATATCTCAAGAATACCAAGGAAAAACAATACTACATGAATCCCAAAAATAGCAAAAAGCAAAAACATCGAAGAGAACACTTCCATGATATTAAACATTGTACAAGTGTTAAAAGTCCGACCAGAGCAAGTTAGTATTTATTGGCGTTCGGTTATTTACTGCATCAACCCGGAAGTCCATGTGGTCAGCTGTGAGTGGTTGAAAGAAAACTGCACATTTCTCCAAACTTTAGCACAATATATAAACTTTTAGTCGCCTCCTTGTACGAGTAAGTATGCTGTAATATTCATGTTCAATTATGGTCACTATTGAAGTGATTCCAGTCTTAGACTATAATGTTTTTGCTTGGAAGAAAACTTAAAAATTGCTTTTGAATTTGAAAATATTTGATTTGAATTATTGAATATTGAAATTGAAATGGATATTGATTGACAAAGTATAAGCAAAGGTGGTGTAACACAGAGCTATTTCGACAAGAGTTTGTGTTGTGTTCAGCCAGTCCTATTCCTATTGTTGAGCTCATGAGCTCCTTTCATTACATCAATCTAGAGAATCAAAAACAATGAATGGCGATGGATCATTTACTTTATCTAGTGCATGTTTGGAAATTAAAGATTTACTTCAGACATAGATCCCGGCCAGATTCTTTTGTAGTAGGATCAGTAGCTCAATAAATATTCCTCAAGATGAGACACCTCAGAAAATTTCAAATTTTAAAATGACGATTATTGAGCCATTTCTGAAAAATATGAGACAAATCATACCTCATTCGAAGCATCTTGTTATTCTTTAACTTTTTTATCACCAATGACTGTTATTCAAGCAATGCTGCGTTGATAAGAGGCCAAAACAGTGATATTTTATCGTCGGACTCTTGTCTGTCCAAATCTGAATGGTGCTCCCGTGGTTCCAGAAATGTGACGTCATCAGTACAATGCTATTTGGACACACAAGAGTCCGGATCTCGTGAAAAATATTCCCCATATTAAAAGTCAAATAACTGCATCCATAGGTTATTTACTCGAACCTAACAAGTAGAAATAGAAAGATGAAGATCTCAGCTATAAAATAAGTGCAAAATCTGTCATGGGGAAGCAGGTACCATTTTGTATAAGGAACATTTTTAAAAGGTGGTCATATTTTTTTGAAATTTTCTGATTTAGTGTCGTATCTTGTGAATTATTCTTTGACCCTCTGAGATCCTCCTACAAAACGATCTGGCCAATATCTGTGACTTCAGATATTAAAATAATCAAATTAATCTCTCATGATGTTTTTTAAAGCAATTGGCAAGATGCTAAAATGTCTCCTGGGAGAAACATGTTCCAGTCACTCCTTTTCACTTAATTACAATATTAGAATCAATAGATATTGATATTTGATAAAGATACAGGATGACATAAAAAGTGCCACCCACATAATATTGCATGACTTTTTTGTCTGCATGATTTCTGACTTGTTCTTTACCCCATTAAAACTCTATGAGGCAACTCCACAAGAAGTTCTTTCTGATGGTCTCTATATTCAGGTGTTCTATGGTTTTAGGGTTTGTTACATATATAAAATCCTTCAAGTACCCCCAAAGAATAAAAATCTGGATGGTTTATATCAGGTAAATATGGTCAATAAATTTGCCGGTAGAATCTAGAAGTGTGCCTCCAATGGAATGGACAACATTTAGAGCACATCTTGTAACAGTCATAAAAAGTGCACCTAGTTGAGCTAGCCCTCTGAAACTTCTTGTTGAGTTGCTCCATGGAGTATAGATTTACTGTGTGAAGGAACAAATCAGAATTTATGCAAAAAAAGTTATGCAACATTATGTGGGTAGCACTTTCTGTGTCACCCTGTATTTGGATCAGGCCCTGGATTGTCTGGAGATAATTCCAACATCCTGAACCCCGTAAAAAATAATCTACAGGACAGGGTGGGCCAAAAAATTTTGCAACTTTTTTAAAAGGCTTGAAAAGGATCATAACATTAAGGTATTGACATAAAAATTCATACACAGAAACTTTAGGATAGGCATATTTTACCATTCAAATATTTAAGCTAATACTGACTTCAAATTTTTTCAACAGATCTTTGAATATCAGTGGTAAATTGTTCATGTGTCCAAGATTTACCATTTTTCCTAGAAAATGTGAATTTCTATGATTCTGTGTGATTAACAATAACACATTCATTATGTTCTTTAAATCTGCTACAATCTTTTAATTGTTTAACCAATGGCTAGTACAGTTTTATAATAAGTATCTACTATGGTATTATTTTATACTGTATCTATTAATTATTTATTTAAAAATGTTCCATGCATCCGCCTTTTACCTTCACTATCACACAGACACAAGGGCGTAACTGTACTTCTTTCAACTTCTCCTAACCTCTTTTAGTTGATCAATAGGGTGTGGGGATTACCATTAACTGCAATAAACTGCTCCAGGTGCCTCCATGTGTGATAGTCACAGGGGTTGGCATTTGGTGTATTGGGCAGCCATTTATAAGGACTAATAAATCTAGAGGTATCATCCTCCAGGTATTCCAAAGACCCTTGCCTGATGGCTGGGAGCGATAGTGAAGGTGAAAGGTGGATGTAAGAACATGTGATTAATAAATAATTAATAGATACAGTATACCATAATACCATTGTGAGAAGATACCGATATAAAACTGTCCTAGTATAGTGAATAAACAGTTATCAGAGATTGTAGCAGATTTAGTGAACATAATGGATGTGTTATTGTTGGTCACATAAAATCATAAAAAGTCACATTTTCTTGGAAAAACAGTTAATCTCGGACACATGAACAATTTACCATCGATATTCAAAGATCTGTCAAAAAAATTAGAAGTCAGTATTATCTTAGATATTTGAATCGGAAAATATGCCTATCCTAAACTTTCTGTAAATCGATTTTTATGTCAATACCTTCATGTTTTGATACTTTTCTAGCCTTTTAAAAAAGTTGCAAATTTTTTTGGTCCACCCTGTATATGCAACATGCTTTTGCTTCCAGAGATAAAGTCACCATGCAGTTGTCATGGATATATTCCGTCATTGCGTTTGCTGCTGTCGTCATCAGTTGCCATGGTGATGAAGAGAAGAAAGAGAAGAAGAAGGTTGATAAGCTTCAAATTGGAGTAAAGAAGAGGGTAGACCCAGCAGATTGCAACATAAAATCTAGGAAAGGAGACAAACTGCACATGCACTACACGGTGAGAAAATTCTGTGAAAGAATCCATGCTCTACAAATTGATGTCATCAAGCTTAAGTGCAAGTTCAAATGATGAGGCTATGGGTATCGTCCACTTGACTCTCTTTGTCTCTCCATCCATCAACAGTTTTCAAACTAATGAAATCTGAGCTACTGCTTATCCATACTCTGTTGAATTTTTGTCTCATTGTGGAGGTTGAGAACTCAAAGTACACAGGCAAATTACATCGGGCCCCGTACGAGCTCGTACGAGCCTCGAGAATTACGAGTCATTACGGGCTAAAAGGAGCACCATCCTCGTACGGGCTCGTACGAAGCTCGTTTTCGAGGCCCGTGCGAGCTCGTACGATGCTCGTAATTATTGTTTTCGGGACCCGTACGAGCATGTACGAGGCTCGTAATTTCGAGGCCCGTACGAGATCGTACGAGGCCCGTTATCGAAATCCGAACAAAAAAATTAATTGTTGTCATACTACATTCATTCATGTATCTATCCAGAACATATAATCATTTCAGATTGATGGTTTTATTCACACATTTCATAACAATAACATTATTTATTTACATCACATCACATTTCTAATCATTTATAATGCACGCAAATGTCTTTATATGCATTTACTTCACTTGTAGAGAAATATGGTGTCTCCTATTGGTAAACCTCCTGTTTATTTTGTTTCCTAGCTTTTATACTGTTTATTTTGTTGATACAGACATGCGAATATTTTGAAATCATTGAAGACATATTAATTCATAATTAGATATAATTGAAATGTCATTTCTCAAGTATGCTGTATTTTATTTTATCGATCAAAAGGTGTTCATCAAAATCAACGAGCAATTACGAGCCTCGTTACCAGCCCTGTACGGCCCAGTACAGTGCTCGAAAATGACGAGCCATTACGGGCCTTGTTACGGGCATCGCACAGGCAAGTACAAGGCTCGAAAATTACGAGCTATTACGGGTCTCGTAACAGGCACCGTACAAGCAGGTAAGGGGATCGAAAATTACGATTAATTACGGGGCTCGTTACGGGCACCGTACGGTCAAGTACGGGGGTCGAAAATTACGAGCTATTACGGGCCTTGTAATCACAAGCTCTTCCGAGGGTCGAAAATTACAAGTAATTACGAGACTCGAAACGAGGCATGTACGAGGTTGTACAGGGTCCGTTGACACAGCGAGCTCCGTACAGGCTTGTACGGGGTCCGATGTAATTTGCCTGTGTATCAGTTTCAGTTTTAGCTTTCAAGTTCAGGCTTTTCTCCGAGCTCTTTATAAATTTTGCAAATATGCAATTATCCTATTGTATTATATGAGTTATATTATACTTATCCATGATTTATTTGTCATTTGAGTCTTGACCTGGTTATAAAAATGAGTATAGAAGTCACTATGTTAGCCCATCGAAAGGTACAATTTAAAAAATATTTAAAGATAAAAGAATTAGGGCAGCTATAATAAAACCAAGATTTTTCTAGGATCATTTTTACTGATTTTCTCCAATGGTTATTTACTGTCTCAAAATGAATTCACAAAGTCATTGCGGCTTTGCAGTACACGTCAATAGGAATGTAATTGTCTTTCACCTGTAAATCAGAGAGTAAACCATCATCATTAATCTTACCTTTATGGCTAAAACTGTACATAAATTAGTGTATAGTAAGCCTATAGGGGAAAATCATCAGCTTTCATATACAGAAAGTCATCAGCATCCTCCTTACAAATTAATAAAAATATTAGAATTTTAATTCATTCCTCTTTTTATTGCTAATACGAAATATTATAAAAAACAAAAAAATCACATGGTTTTATATTAACCTCTTGAATCCCAGGCTCTAAAATTGGTTGAAACCAGAGATTTTTTTCATTTTTGCCACCTTCTGACATTTTACTACATGTACATACCTATACAACTATAGAAGCTCAACTTAGTAAAATTAGACGGAAGAGGTCATTTCTACACATTTTAAAACAATTTTTGTGTAAATTGTTTAAATAAGAGCAATATTAGTGAAAAATTTTGTGACAGATTTTCTGAATCTCTGTGTTTCAAGGTCATTTCTGAGGTGACGAGAAATCTCGTCACTCCAGGTATTCAAGAGGTTTAGTGTGTGAGTAAGTTGTGAGTATGTGCAAGGGAGAAACAGTAGGGAGGGGGAAGTGATGCAAGCCTAACATGATTCTTATATTATATTCCAGGGCACATTGGAAGATGGTACAGAGTTTGACAGCAGTAGAACAAGGAACCAACTCTTCACATTCACTCTTGGCCAGGGTCAAGTCATCAAGGGATGGGATCAGGGACTTTTAGGGTAAGCTTTTGTTTGATTGTGTTTGATAGGGTAAGCTTTTGCTTGATTGTGTTTGATAGGGTAAGCTCTTGTTTGATTGTGTTTGATAAATTTTGTGTTACGCAAAGATCAAATCCCACTCTATTGATAGGCTAAAGCTATTCACTCATGTTTCCGATTATTGTGTTATGAATTTAACATCTAAAACAGTTTATTTTTTATGTAACCATTTATTTGTAATTCAGGCCTGTAACCAGCTTTTACCATGGGGGAGGGGGGTGGTTTTACCAAAGGGGGCGGGCTTTTGACAATATTGGCAAAAAAATTATTTGAAAAGTGCTCAAAATGATTTTGAAAGAATTTCTGGCCAGGGGGACCGCTCTTCTGCTGCCCCCTCTGGCTATGGGCCTGTAATTCACACATGAAAGCCAATAAAAACACAGTATTTCAGATGCATTCTAAAATTTGACAACAGAGTGCATGGCTATTTTTAGATTCAGGGAAATTGATTACCTTCATCAATTGTATATTTCAAGTTATCAATTTTGTAAAAACTTATAAATAATATCTATCAGAAGGAATAGTAAGACAGCTTTTGCAGGTCAAAATGTCAAACCTCGCAAAGCCGTTTCAAAATAGTTTCCTTGCAAAAATCATGTTGAGTGATTCTGTACAAAATTTGCAATGTGTGAAAACAAATAAGCACAAGACTTAATGAATTGTAGATAATTTAAACCACATATGCTGTATGTCTTGTATCAAGACTTGGAATGAGAATAGCAGCCCGAATGCAAAGTCTGGGATATAAGACATGGGTGCATTAAATCATTCTGGGCTTAAACACATCTTGCACTAGCTATACACATGTATGTTACAAACTAATGTGCTGTATATAAAATACATCATTTGATATGTTGAGATTATCCCATATGAAGTTCAGAATATTGGGATTTTTCCGAGGCAAATGTAATTGTTTTGATCAGGGCCTTTGCTGAGATGTTATATCTATAAATGGTTTTGTCTGTATATGTTTATTGTTGTAAGTTTTGAGAGTCTTCTCTAGGATTTGGTGACTGTTTAAGGGTAGTCTCTGGTTCACTGGAATTTACACTTGTTGTTGATTGATTTGTTGATGAAGCGCACTGCTGTGGCAGCAAAGGTTCTCTAGATGTACCATGTTGATGGTGCTGTGTGGTATAAGGCACTTCATCTTCAAGTGTGATATTGTGCAATTCTGAAATAAACAGGGATTTAAAATAATATTACCATCTTTGAGAGAAGTTTAATAGGCCTTCTTATCAGAAAAAATTAGACTTGAGAGTTGTCTTAAATGAATTAAAATTTTGATTCTTGGATAATGTGGTAACTAAAAGTGGTCCAATAAGTGCCAGCTATTTGAAATTTTGACCAATTTTGGTGCCTATCAATCTTGAAGTAAATTGAAATAATTTATGATTTTAGAATCTTACTGACCTACAGTTGCCAGTTGTGGCTTTTCACCCTTTTCTGTAAGCAATCTTTGTTCACATCTCATTTGTTCATTTTCTTGATTTCTCTTGTTTATAAAGTACAGTGTGATCACAAAACATGCCACAATCGCCATTACTGTTAATAGTATTGTACTCATCTGGGTGGCATAGTGTAGCATCTCTGAGAAAGACATTTGTGATTCCTGAATTTTCCTTTCCTGATTCAAATACATCCACACTGAAGAAAAGAGAAAATTATTGTTAATATTAATTAAAGCCAATCATAAGTAGCCCATATCTTATTCAAATTATCCACTTATTTGTTTATCCATTCACTATTTATAATAACTTTACAACATTTCTTAATATCGACAGTCATGGTAAGGAAAAATAAAATAAAACATAAAAATTTTTTGAATGTAAATTGTAATATATTAATTGTGCATAATATCTATTTATTCCCAATACCTGAGCATATTTGATAACACTGTTGCTGTAGTCTTATGTTTCCCTTTATTCGCCATTCCTCACAAAAATCTGGACAACTGCTACACTTGTCCATCTTTTCTTCACAGAAACTATTCCTTAAATCACACTCAGTTTTAGATTTTCCACATTCCATGACCCAGGCGTCTGTGTTGTCATTTTTTGAGTTAACATTGTCTGCTAGGGCCAAATGTGGCGATATTGTCAAAACCATGCAAAGCATGACTGCTCCAACTATAGCAGCATTGCTCCTCATTTTCCCTGTTGTTCAAGTTTGTTATTTTATTGGTTTGTTTGTTTGTGGTAATTATGTTTGGTGTATTTATGAATTTAACATCTGTAAAAGTCTTTTAGGTTTTATTCAGCAGATTCCTTTTCGAATTCTGACTAGGTTTTACCTAACTGGTAGTTTGGGTCTTTGCCTGAATTTATATACTACCTCACATATTGGGATTAGGGAATACCATACGTGGTGGAATTATTGTGTGTAGTTATATCAGCTATCAAATACAATGTCTTAACATACATATTTGGGAATACCCTGAAAATACTTGACCTGTGTATAGAATTAGAACAATTTTAATCTTGCTATTAAAATGTGGAATAACCTTGAATATCTTTGACAGTGCTTCTGATGATATCTTCTACCTCATCTTATATTTCCTTTACATTCGGGTAATGATGCTGAAATGGACATTTCAAATGAGTGTATAAATGACTTTATGATTTATTGATTACAAGTTGCCAACAAATAACCAGCAATGCTAGTTGTTGTGGCAGAATTCTAAATTCTATAGCTCATTATAAAATCAGTTTCTAGTAATCAGTAAATACTTGTATTTGCATGTATTGCACTTTGCACACGTCACTACAAGCTACTCTAGAATTTTATGATGTTTTGTAATTTTGTGACACAACAGGTATTTTATTGGGGGGATTCCCTCCTGGCAATTGAATTACCATTTTTTGTTGAAATTTCATTTACATTCATTAATTTTACCCATAATGTATACTACAAACTTTATCAAAGTTTAATTGAACATGTTTTGTGAAAATGACTTATGTTTTTTTTGTTAAACAATTTATTTTTCTTTATCTGAAGTGTTTGTTAGTCCCTGGCCTAGTTGAAGTGTTCTCGATAGTGGGACTACTTTCAAGTGTAGTTTGTTTAAACATTTGATGAAAGAAAATTAGCATCCAACACATTAAGACCAACCACAGTTTAGATGTTATAACAGATATGATTTAGATGGGTATTTTTCATTTTTGATGTCTAATGTTTTGCTATGTGTAACACATATTTTGAAGAAGTAATTCAGAAAAATTCTTAATAGAAGGAACATTTAATGAAACACTTTTGACTTTTATATCCACAAACTCAAATTCAAATGTCTAGGCTGTTCCAGGTAAGCCAACAACCTTGAGTGACATTTGATTATATTCTGTGAACAGGGTGGCCCAAAAAGGTCCCAACAAAACTGGATTATTTATTTAATATCTATGCAGTCACCTTGACTTTCAGTCGCAAAAAGTACATACAATGTATGATCTTATGACATTAAATTTGTAACATAACATTGATAATTCTTTGTGCCAAAGACATTTCAAACATGGTCCACTTTTCAAAATAGTCCAGGCCCGTAGCCAGAATTTTTCAAGGGGGGTTCACTTTTCCCAAAAATTCTAGGGGGGGTTCACTTTGGCATATTTGGCCACAAATCACACAAAAAATGGCCAGAATGGTGAAAAACTGCATGATTTTGAAAGTTCGCCTGAACCCCCCGAACCTCCCCTGGCTACGGGCCTGTAGTCTGTCTAACGGTCCGTGGCCTGTATGCCCTTTCACATCCTATTAGTTTGTATTATATTCTGAAAGGATAAGGGTAGATATTCTTATTCATTAAGTTCTTCATTAACGAAATAATTCCAGTTTTGGCATGGCCTGATTTTTGGATCACCCTGTATATGTTTCTTTAAACATTTTGTACCTCTTTGCAATAGAATTTTTTATTTTTCAGTATGTGTGAGAGTGAGAAACGCAAGCTAGTCATTCCATCAGATCTGGGATATGGATCTCGGGGAGCTCCTCCTAAAATACCTGGTAAGTCAATGTTGCAGTAGTAATGTCACATTAGTAGTCACATCAATAAATCACACTCGTAAAGTTGCATCAAGGTCCATATTTGCCAACTATCCCATTATAGGACAAAGGACATTAGAAAGATAGAAATCTACTCCATACTCTATATTACTTATAAAGCAATAGAAATCAAACAATGATAAAAATGATGAAGATTAATCTGTTTGTCTGTCTTAACCTTCAAACATGTAGTTTGCTGTTTATTTCTGCAAGTTATTAATTGTCATTGATTTTTATGTTTTCCAGCCGATGCTACTTTGATATTTGAAGTTGAGTTGGTGAGAATTGAAAGGAAAGAAGAACTATAAGGCAATATATACTTCTAGGACATTAACTTACTACTCATTACATACAATATAAACTCATTACGTACAATATAAACTCAAGTACAATATAAACTCTTGATGTACAATAAAAACTCAAACAAGGAATATTAGATCCGGTACAGGAAAAATTTGATCTCTCGCTGAAGTACATGAGAGCGTCATGTACGGTCCGTCACAAGAAGATATTTACAAGAAGTATTACCTCTCACTTTTCATATAACATTCTTAGGTATGTGTAGAGGTATAAGGAGACAGTATATGTGTATGTCATGGCACTGTTTTATTAGATATTACAGTGTCATTGTAGTGCTATAAATTAGACACATTAGAATATAAGTGCACAAATGGAGTACATTATACAGGATAAACACCCGTTTCAAGGTACTAAATCATTCCTATACAATGGTCTCTAAATTATATATACAAGCAATATTATATAAGAATCTGTACATTGTCGCAACAAATTAATTTTAACTGAATAGAATTGACCGTCCTGAAAATTAGACAGTGTATAAATGTGAATGTTGTTAAGGGGTCTCACTTTTGCTGCAATTGGACTTCCAAAGTTGTTTTATGTGTTCAGGACCCTTTAAATGTTGTACTTTATGTACATATATGCCACATTGCCAACATTGTAACATATATATGGTAATATCTTATAATAAACAATACATTTTGAATGTCAAAGAAAAATACCATGTTATGTTGTTACATATCTCATTAAAGAGCTGCTCTTCGGTTACAGTGGAAACAATTCAACAGTTATGTCAAGCCAAGTGAATTACAGACTTTTTGAGGGCACAATGTGTTGTGTATTTCACTAGATAGCAATTAATGTTTTTTTGTCTGATGTCTCGGGAATAATTGTGTATGACTTGGGATAGAATGTAGAATAATAAATCATATCAGTTTGTAACTATTCACCATGGCATATATAGGATATACTGACATCACAAATGTCAATATATTAACATCACAATAAGGCTAATCAGATTCCTAGAAATTGCACCATCATTGGATAAAAAGCCACATCCCATATCATATTATTAACATAATGTGCTCTAAACTAAACTATTTCCACATGAGCCAAAGTGGTTGTTTTATGATCATTTCTGTAGTGTTTATTGCAGTATTTATATGACTGAACTGAATCAAAACACCACAAGAACAGTATGACCCTAGTAACTGCGTCATAACAACGATGTTGTCTTAGATGCAAGTATTTATGGGTATGTTGTTGATATGTTTTTCAGAATAATATGAATTGCACTGAATCACATTTCCAGTTAAACTGGATGTTCTAGAGGAATTCCTTTCAATTAAATTAATAGGAAAATATTTACTGGATAGCAGACAAATGTTTTTAATATGAGGACAACACATTCTTTAGCACTTAATAAGATAATTTCAGCTTGATACAAGGGCAAAAGTATATTAAAGGATAAAAACAAAGAGAATACTACTCACATAAGCAACTAAAGGTAAGAAGGCATTCATTAAAAGATGTAAATATCAGGCCATTGCCCGGATTTACTGGGAGGGGGTCAATTGAAATAGTGGGAAAGGAAAGTTTGTGAAAACCAAGAAAATTTAGATTAATGCCTTTCTGAAATAATGAACCCATTTTATTCATGATTAGAAAGGGCTGTTCAACTCTGCAAACACCCTGGATGGGCATCTAAATATTTACAACCACACATTATTAGGCAACAATGTATAGCAGTCTTGAAGTTATTTGATCATCTCTGAGTTCAGTATTTAACTGTTTAAAGTGTCAAAACTGGTGTATATACTTACAACAATTAACATGAATAATCTAATAAATGAGTTTCTTGAACCAAGTTACATTCAAATTAAAGGATTAGATTGGAAAGATACCATAATATAAAGATTAGGTTTCCTAAAATTTGTCGCAATCTTTTTGCTCTTGTCATTATGTGTCATGCCTATTTTCTGAAACATCCAACAGTTCTGACTATTTCAAGATGTTCTTTGATTTGACAAATGAGTGTGATATGTTTTCTTATTTGATCATGGAGTACATTATTTGCTATATTTTTCTCTTTCAGATGGAGAGCTCATATTCAGATGATCCAAGCAATGCCACCAAAACCATGGACAACTCACATGATCCAGGCAATGCCACCAAAACCATTGAAAACTCATATGATCCAAGCAATGCCGCCAAAACCACTGACAACTCATATGATCCAAGCAATGTAACCAAAACCACTGACAATGCATATGATTCAAGCAATGCTGCCAAAATCATGGACAACTCGAACTCATATGATCCAAGCAATGCCACCAAAAGCACTGACAACTCATATGATCCAAGCAATGTCGCCAAAACCACTGACAACTCATATGATCCCAGCAATGCTACCAAAACCACTGACAATGCATATGATTCAAGCAATGCTGCCAAAATCATGGACAACTCAAATGATCCAAGAAATGCCACCAAAACCACGGACTACTCATATGATCCAAGCAATGCCACCAAAACCATTAACAGTTTCCCTCAATACAGCACAGTAGATGTCTCTGGGAAATTACCGACTCAACAGGAATATTGTCCACCAGGGCCTCAATATGGTCAAACAGGGTCTCAATATTATCCACCGGGGCCAGAATATGGTCAACCAAATGAACCAATACCTCAATATTGCCAACCAGGGCCTCAATATGGTGAGAGATATACTTGTTATCCAGCTGTGGGTCACATTGTGGGCACAGATCAGGTTGTCATCACAACTCAACCAATCAGGGCACAGATGATTGACATAAAAAATGCCCCGCCTGATCTCCTTGTTTGGTCCATACTCTCCACGTTCTTCTGTTGCTTTCCAATCGGTAAGTCAGTGAATCAACATTGCGTAATTCCAATGAATAAGTTTCTAAATGAATAATTCCAATGCATTAGTCATGTTACACTCAGTGTATCTTTCTATTTCAATGATTAATAAGAGGATGGATACGAGTTGATGAAACATTTTGATGTCATCACGATAAACCGCACATCCTTCTGAAGTCATAAAGATGTTATACGAATCTCAATGTGGCATGAACAATACATGTAGTTCTACGATCATTAATTCTATATAATTTACCCTTATATATTTTAGGCATCGGGGCCATTGTGGCATCTGTCCTATCAAGGAGTTATTTGCGAGAAGGGGATATGAGGAGAGCCCGATGGAATAGTAACTGTGCACGAATCCTCAACCTAGTGGCCTTCATCATCGGACTTACACTTTATTTTATTACTGTATTGCTCAAGTATACAGTAAATCAAGAAAATATATACTCCGATTCCTGATATTTGGCTACTTTAAGTCAGTCTGTCCTGATAACTAATAAACATCTGAACATTGCTCAATGGAACTACAAACAGAACTTGCGATGGGATAAATGGGATGGGACTATGTCATAATCCTCAACTTAGAGTGCTGAACGAAAAGGTATTATATGGATAACAAATAGTGACTTTGACTGATGACCTTATGCCTTTTTCAACAATGTACTTTGGTGTAATGCTCCGATTCTAGATGAAATACTGGATATTTAACAGGAATCTGAGATTATATACCAATATAACACGTCACCATAGGAAGTTGGAAATAGTATTGTGTTGCCGTGAATGAATTCATCTGTGTTGTCATTCAGAAATGAAATCAGTTATAATTGAAAACACACAGATGAAAGTTCAATTTCTCAGCACAGCCTTGTTTTACCAATATAAATCCAACACAGCAAACTATATTTTAAATTATTCCCATAATATACATTTATTTACAATAATTTACAAAAAATGGTTATTTCCATATGTTACCGATTGATGGGATACATTTACTTTGTTTATTAACACTTCAATTCAATAGATGTCTCTGTTGATTATCATGCAAAGCCCCAAAAAATGTTGTTCATGAACAAGCAGGAGAATACGAGTCCCTGACTTGATTTTTACAACTGTTCACAGCGTGTCCTTACTTGAAGTGATATATTACAATAAATAAGGGTATATAAACAGGTAAGGGTAATAAAATTTTATATCTAACAATTTAATGTTGTTACTCTAGAAGAGCAAGCAGAAATGAAATTCTCAAATTAAGCTATTGAGTTTGATAACATATTTCTGTCAAAATATGGAATATGGAAAAGAAAAGAAAAATGCTAGATATTTCATTTCTTTACCCTAGCCATGTTCATATAAATAAATATAACAGAGGGAGATTATTGCTAGATACATGTAGCGTGTTAATTTATAATAATAGTTATTTTGCATTTTCCTGCCTCCCCCTTTCACTTATTTCCCTGGACATAATACCAAGCCAATCTCTAACAGAACTGTACAGTACTGTTTTGGCTAACTACAGTACCGTACTCTTATTGTACCGTTGTATGGTACCATGATTTCAGAGTGCGGATTGGGGCTGTATCTTATATAAAAATGTCAATGGATGGGCTGGCAATATAGAGTGCTAATTTGCAAGATGAATGCAAGGATGATACATAAAATGAGGTTACTTAAAATAGTCCATGAATATTTATACATTTTAAAATACTGGACAGAAAAATGTTGAATTAATAATCAATAATAAGTATCACACTTGATACAATTTTATAGACTGTGAATCAAGAAAATATTGGAGTCTAGTGTCTGTTTCGAAAAACATTCAGAAACTCGATATGTGAATTATATATATAAATGCTTAGCAAAGATTTAAATATAAGGTTTTAATGATTTTTGAATAAATGGTTGTCAGTCAATTCCTTTTTATATCAAGTAACATCATTGCACTTACTTTATCAAAGGCCCAATTTAAATTACATCAATGAAAAATTATCACCCATTTTAATCAATTTTCTAAGGTTAATGAAAGTGGGTTTTCAAAAGTCATAGGGCTAATATGGGAAAGTAACATTGGCCTAGTGCCCAAAACAGGCCTACTATGACATTAACTAAAATGGACTTCCATTAAAGGGAAAAAGTTGCGTTACAGGTTACAAATCATAATACACAAACAATATTTTCGACAAGCACATCTTGTTAATTCACCGCACATTGTTCAATCTTTTAAATTGTACAGGGATGTGACCTGCCGAGTTGAGGTACTAGAAATCAACAAACTGGTGTATGGTGTATAATACAAAATTTGGTGTAATCATTTACAACATATCATGGTGGTATTACAGTAGTTCTAAATTAAAACATATATGTACACTCTACATAGAGGTAAAATATAATAATCATTGAATTCAAAATAACATTACATATACATTGTATATCTGAATAATAACTACTGAATTTTTCAAAATAATAATTTAGAAATGATGAAATTTTTCATAAAACTCATAATTTCAAATAAGTCAATTAAATATCAGCAAGGTTTTAAAATTCAACTGCCTGGAAGTAAATTGAGGAGATTAGTTTACCACCATGATATTGCTGAGATGTTGCTTAACATGAAGAAGTCTCTATGGGTCTTGATACATTAACTAGGATCGGAGTCGAGTCTATGAAGAGTTGTCCCAAGATGTTTTGTGGGTTTTATCATCTTGTCTCGAGCCTCTTGTTTCCCCGATTCTTTGTGGTCAAAAATACAATTGTGCTGCTCCGGTAGTCGATGTAGTTGACAAAACACATATTCTGAAATAAAAATGAAGTTAAATGAAGCGAAGGCTTAAGAAATATGATGCAGCCTGCTCTAAGCCTGATTTACATGCTCAGACGCTGTGAATGTGATGAAAAGCTGTAAATCCTAGGCAGATAAAACTTTTTCAAATATTGTCGTGTTCTGATAACTAAAAAGCCAATTTCATGAAAATGAGACAAAATAAGGACCTCATTGGATGCACTGCAATTTTCATTTGTCTGAAAATTGTTCATGGGTGGAAGGACTGATGAACATGATACATTCACCTTGTAAGCCAATAAAAATATGTAAAGTTTTTGAGACACCAATTATGAACAAAATTATCATCATGATCTCAGGAGCTATTGTCATCTGCATAACGGGTACAATCTGGCATACAATTTAATTGGAATCCCTATTCCAACTAGACATAGAAGCACCTACCACATCGGCACTTGCCAATCTCTCGAATAGCTAATTCTAACTTGAGGTTGCACTTAAAACAGCGTTTCTTGTTTTTCTGGATGGGGCGGTCTGGGTCTAGAGTGCTGGCATCATCTTGAGCCGCCTCAGCACTGAAATATAAACCCAAGGGTGTAATCATTTGAGTGTCATATTCAATGAATACATCATTATTTGACAAAATTGACATAATCGAAGACTACCAACACCTTGGTCTTACATAGATTTTTATTTCATATGAGGTAGTGATTTTCAATTATTACACAAATTACATATATATGAGTTACGGAATAAACATATGCACCTTAAAGTGTGCATGAATTTATGTTAAAGATCATTTTATTATGTCAATAAAATCAAACAATGCTTAATATATATGAGGGATCACCAAATTCAAAGCTTCAATTAGTTGTAATGTTGAAATTCTTTCCAACCAGTTGCGAAATTGTAACACCGTATGGCATTTTGACATAAATTTGGGGGATTTTTAGATTCTGTTGGAATGGAATTTCCAATCACTCGAGAAAAAATCCCAGGCCATTCTGATCATTTTTTTGAAGATAAACGAACAACTTAGTGAACCTATGGAAGTAACATATACAAAACATATTCCGATTGAAATGGTTTGGCAACTGAAAGGGTTTGGAGTAAATAAAGTAAAATATAGGTTATAGTGACTTATTTACAGAGACTAAGCATAATTGAACAATGCTTTTCAATTGTGAAGCTACACCTCATCCCACTTGGTTGGACTGATGGATTTGGCTGTTTTGAAATCACTATAATGATCTTCTGCACTGATAGTACACTCACTGACATTGGATTTGGTGATCCTCATAACTTATTACAAAAGTGCAACTGGGAGCTATTCATTAATGTATGGCTCACATCAATCATTCTTAAAAAGGCTTATGACTGACATCAATCATTTTCAAAAAGGCTTATGATTGACATCAAACATTCTCAAAAAGGCTTATGACTGACATCAAACATTCTCAAAGGCTCATGTCAGCAAAAAATGAGTCCATCCACACTACTATTTCTGTGAATGATTCACTGTATCAACAAGGGCATAATTTAAAATACAAGAGAGATCAAAACAAATTAGGGAAGAACTAGACAACAGACAATGGCATTCTCTACATTGCAATATATCTCCAAATTTTAAATGCAATGGAATAACAACAAGACATTAACATGCAAACATGGAAAGTAATGAGAGATGTTGCATGTAAATGCGAATGACCATATTCAGAGAGTTGAAGAACTCTCCCATTTAAATAGCTCCCAGTTTACAAGGCATACAATATAACAAACATTACCCCAAACATTGCTGCTTATTTTTCTCCTCCTCTATTGCCAGACTATTATTTATTCTGAAAAGCAAATCTTATATTACAAGAACCATTACACTTTCTCTAAACAATCGATGTGTGTGGATCCCTCAAATACAAAGTAGAAAGGCTAAATGAAACTATGAATATGTACATTCACCTCAAAAAAGGTTCAGAATCTTTACCCTATTGTTTATGATATTAGATATCTAATATTACATTTGATGCAAAATTCAATTTTGTGTCACCTTTTTCCATTTTCGTTTTTAGTATCTTCAGGTGCCGATGTTGATGGTGCCGCATCTGTTGTGTCTTTGGCACTACTCGTCTCAGACTTTTCATCCTCTATTGCAGTTGATGTGCTACTTGAACTGGCTACTTGAAAAACATAAGACATGTTCCCTTTACATGTAGGCCTATCAAACATGTTACTGTTTTATATCTCTCATCTAAAATTTTGCAGTTAAGGACAAAAGGTCTGACAATTATACTGCAGTAGAATCTCAGTGAAGTACAATTAATGTAATGTGTGAAATACGCAACAAAGGATGCTGTATTTCATGTATTTGAGTATACTTTTCTCAATTTACATTTGTATCTGTTATAAGAATTTGCCATTTTACAGTTACTATTGTGTCAAATCTAAAATGCAGCAAATTAAAAGATTTATAAATGATCAGGACACATTGAAAAAAATAAAACAATTTTCAAATATGCCATTATAAAAACATTGAAACACATCCATACCTACACTTGAGTTAACTATACCCAAATGAAAAAATATTAATTAAACTTCTAGATATAACATATCAGAAAATTACTCACAGTATTGCTAGTTGTACTTGCAATAAATATTAACAAACCTGTTTTTTTGTTCATGATAAAAATTAATTTGTATATTATAAGTACAAAAAAACAGTGCTTGCCAGTTATTTGGTACTACAAAAATTACCATTAATAGATTTTAATCACTTCAAGTTGATATAAAAAAACTGATGGTGTAACATGATGTCAATATGAAAGAATAAAACAAGACTCACCTGGAACTGTGGGTGCAAATATGAGAGTAAAACACCACTAACCTGGAACTGTGGGTGCAAATAGGAAAGAGTAAAAACCACTAACCTGGAACTATGGGTGCAAATATGAAAGAGTAAAACACCACTAACCTGGAACTGTGGGTGCAAATATGAAAGAGTAAAACACCACTAACCTAGAACTGTGGGTGCAAATATGAGAGTAAAACACCACTAACCTGGAACTATGGGTGCAAATATGAAAGAGTAAAACACCACTAACCTGGAACTGTGGGTGCAAATAGGAAAGAGTAAAAACCACAAACCTGGAACTGTGGGTGCAAATATGAAAGAGTAAAACACCACTAACCTAGAACTGTGGGTGCAAATATGAGAGTAAAACACCACTAACCTGTAACAGTGGGTGCAAATATGAAAGAGTAAAACACCACTTACCTGGAACTGTGGGTGCAATATGAAAGAGTAAAAAACACTAACCTGGAACTGTGGGTGCAAATATGAATGAGTGAAAAACCACTAACATGGAACTGTGGGTGCAAATATGAAAGAGTAAAACACCACTAACCTAGAACTGTGGGTGCAAGTATGAAAGAGTAAAACACCACTAACATGGAACTGTGGGTGCAAATATGAAAGAGTAAAACACCACTAACCTGGAACTATGGGTGCAAATATGAAAGAGTAAAACACCACTAACCTGGAACAGTGGGTGCAAATATGAAGGAGTAAGAAAACACTAACCTGGAATTGTGGGTGCAAATGTGAAAGAGTAAAACACCACTAACCTGGAACTGTGGGTGCAAATATGAATGAGTGAAAAACCACTATAACCTGGAACTGTGGGTGCAAATATGAAAGAGTAAAACACCACTAACCTGGAACTGTGGGTGCAAGTATGAAAGAGTAAAACACCACTAACATGGAACTGTGGGTGCAAATATGAAAGAGTAAAACACCACTAACCTGGAACTGTTGGTGCAAAAATGAAAGAGTAAAACACCACTAACCTGGAACCGTGTGTGCAAATATGAAAGAGTTAAACAACACTAACCTGGAACAGTGGGTGCAAATATGAAAGAGTAAAACACCACTAACCTGGAACTGTGGGTGCAAATATGAAAGAGTAAAACACCACTAACCTGGAACTGTGGGTTCAAACATGAAAGAGTTAAACAACACTAACCTGGAACAGTGGGTGCAAATATGAGAGTAAAAAACCACTTACCTGGAACTGTTGGTGCAAAAATGAAAGAGTTAAACACCACTAACCTGGAACTGTGAGTGCAAATATGAAAGAGTTAAACAACACTAACCTGGAACAGTGGGTGTAAATATGAAAGAGTAAAACACCACTAACCTGGAACTGTGGGTGCAAATATAAGAGAGTAAAACACCACTAACCTGGAACTGTGGGTGCAAATATGAAAGAGTTAAACACCACTAACCTGGAACTGTGGGTGCAAATATGAGAGAGTAAAACACCACTAACCTGGAACTGTGGGTGCAAATATGAAAGAGTAAAACACCACTAACATGGAACTGTGGGTGCAAATATGAAAGAGTAAAACACCACTAACCTGGAACTGTTGGTGCAAATATGAAAGAGTAAAACACCACTAACCTGGAACAGTGGGTGCAAATATGAAGGAGTAAGAAAACACTAACCTGGAACTGTGGGTGCAGCTGATGTTGAGGGAGTTGCTGTCGCACCTTCATTGCTTGTTTTATCGCTAGATGTTGTTATTGTTTGAGCTAGAGCTTTTGTGATGGCGTCTTTATCTACAGGCATTGATGCAGAGGTGGCGCCACTGTTTACTTTTTCTGATGTGGCACGATTTTTCTGCTCTTGATCTACAAAGTCGCATAATAGTTTATATAATAAAAATAAACTGTTACACACAATCGATTCTTATAAGTAGTCTGGATTTAGAAATGTTTTGCTTTGTTTAAAAGATCTCAACCCCTTAAAATAGTTTTCTTAAAATTATAAGTTGTTTCTTCAATGAACCATTAAGCTGAAAGTGACACTTTGTGATTAATCATTTGCAACATATATTATGATCTCATTTGATAATACAGTGAGACCTTTGAACACCTGGCTAAATCCTAACAGCTTCTAATCCAAACATTTTCCATTCCCATTTTTTCCTCCTATTGACTTCCATGTTAAAAAACCTTGAAATCTGAACACCTCCTAACTCGAACAGTAAACACTCATTTAAAAAAATTAATTAGTCTCATATGGGCACTTTTCACAAAATATCAAACATTCTTTAAAAATTTACTCAAATATTTTCAATCTAACAAAAACTGATTTGTTATATTAAAACTTTTGAAAAAACATTAAATGGTTTCAATCATAATAGGTCTTCCTAGCATCACTAAATTCATTTGAATTGGATTTTGGAATGCTATAAAGCTATAATGGGGTCAATAGAAATATCAATAATAGTAATATCAATTCATTGAGAAATGTGAATGCATTCATATTTCTTCAAAATCCAGAATCTTGCGGATACAAAAACCTTGAAATCTGAACAGCTCCTTATCCAAACACTTTTAGCTGGTCCCAATGGCAATTGGTAGTACCGCACATGTAGTTCCCTAGTTGTATTATCTATTACTGAATTTGAAAAAAAACTAGACAACAGCAACGCAAAAGCGTAGCAAATCCCATTAAACAGCCATGGCTGGCATATTTACGAACGAAGTATGAAGCAAAAATGGCAACCATTTTTCAAAATGGCCACCTTCTACCAAAAGTGTCATTAGACAGTGTGCCATGCTTATAGTATTCACATACCAAATATGAACAAAACCGCTCCATTACTTTTCTAGTTATAGTAAAATACGTTAACATGGTGGCCATTTTTCAAAATGGCCGCCTTCTACCAAAAGTGTCATTAGTCAGTGTGCCATGCTTATAGTATTCACATACCAAATATGAACAAAATCGCTCAACTACTTTTTGAGTTATAGTAAAATACGTTAAAATGGTGGTCATTTTTCGAAATGGCGGCCATTTTGAAAAGTGGTCGCCTTCTACCAAAAGTGTCATTAGACAGTGTGCCATGCTTATAGTATTAACATACCATATATGAATGGCGGTCATTTTGAAAAATGGCCGCCTTCTACCAAAAGTGTCATTAGACAGTGTGCCATGCTTATAGTATTCACATACCAAATATGAATAAAATCGCTCTACTACTTTTCGAGTTACAGCAAAAATCTGAAAATAACGAGTAAAGGCTGCCATTTTTCAAAATGGCTGCCATGTGCTCCTTTAATATCTACATTTCCAGCTTTATTAATGTCCTATATAATTTTTTTCCATTTAAAACATATTGCTATTACAGTTTTACATATTGCACCTAAATTACTGTAAAATTGGCACTAAAATGGCCACCATTTTTAAATGAGCGGCCATTTTGAAAATCGGCTTTCGAGAAGAACTCCCATAGGGTTATATGTGTACAAAAATGAACAAAATTGGCCTAACGGTATTTGAGTTATTGCCCGGACGGACTCAGGACGTACGTACCAACGGACGGACGGAGGGGTTCCCTATATCCCTCCGAACTTCGTTCGATGGGATAAAAACACTGCTAAAAATGGACGGAGGGATGATGCTATCAGCTCATCGTGTGACCTTATGCAATTACTTATTTATTCAAGTTAAATAATGTGGAATTTCTTACCTCTATAGCACTTGGAACATAAGCCTAATGTCTGTGGGGACCTGCAAAATAATATCAACTCATGAGTATGTTGACATAAATATCATACAAATATTGGACGAGCAACAAGATGCTTTCTCTCTCAAACAAACAAACAAACAAATAAGAGCTTTTTAGTACAAAATGAACATGCTGTTGTGAGACACCAAAGGCAGCATTAAGTTCCAAAATGTCATACATGAACTCTTGTGCCTATAGATGTAATAACATGAAGAAAATTTCTCAAAAGATATTAGCCAATAGTCATCCATAATATCGGACATTCGTATGTAAGTGTTCCCAAATCTTGCACTGTCTTAATTCTTGGGCAATAAAATTTTGGTGTGCCAACATTAAGGTCAATCTGTATCAGAGGTTCAGATCCTCAGGAAAACAATACTAACTTCAAACTCATCACTTTAAGGTCATCATGACTGTACTAATAGTTCTTAAGATTCCAGAGACACGTCTGTAATAGCATTGTGCACACAAACGGCTCTATCGATAGCAGTGAATTATCCAATATCAACCCTATTATCGCCAGGTCAGATTTTCGAATAAATTCTATCTTTTCTTGATTTTTTTTTCTCAAGTTGTGGCAATCTTTCTTAAAAAAGTTGGGTGTGCGTTAATTGGAGCGTGTGCATCTATTGGAGATAGTACAGGTCAGTAAGTCACTTTATTTTTTATACATCTTATAAAAAAATTATTCACTACACTCTTTTCAAGGTACCTTAGGGCACTCCTTGCACTCACTGTGAAAAATGTAGACTGTATATGAAACAAGTACAGATCAACCTAATAGAGTACAGATCAACCTAATAGAGTACAAATCCACCTAATAGAGTACATAGGGGCACTCTCGTCTATGGGGTATTCCCAAAAAACACAAAACATGAAAATCTGGAGCATTGTTAGGCTCTTTACAAAATATTTCATCATATTGATAAAATGAAATTTAACCAAGACATCAAATACATATAACAAAGAATGTATAACAAAGAATTATTGAAGGTCGTTCGACAATGGGCCATGTCCGAGAATACCCCTTTGTACTCTATCCCAAAATTGTATGGTAACTTTTAGAAGCAGGTAACTCTATTTTACTTGAATTCAAAAACAAATCATCAAATGCCAAGGAGAATTGACAGCCATTTTTCAAACTCGATACTCCATTGCCTGGCGTCGAACAATTTAGTAAAAATATTTCTATAAAATTCTCTTTGGACCAAGTATTTCGTAAGAAGATGAACATTACAAATATTATGGTAATATTCATGTTTCATTGGCAGTTCTAGTATTTAAAATATGAGTAATATTCAGGGTTCTCACTAGGCTTTTAGACTCCGGAGATTCTCCGGAGTCTAATGTCTTAAAACCCTCTTGCTCCAGAGCTTTTCCGGAGTCTACAGTGTTTTTTCCGGAGTCTAATTTTACATTTTTGTCACATAATTTATAGTAAAACTCTTGAGAAAATACATAAAACTGGATACAAACAAGGAATAGGAATTCAGAAACCATTTAGAAATAAATATTGGGATTAAAATAGCAAGATAATCTAAAGAAGTATGTTGAAAAGTATACTATTAAGAATATCTTTGATCTCACATGGGGGAGAAGTAGTTGCAATACCGCGAAAAAAGTAGACTCAATACCGCTAAAAATCCGAAGTCTAAAAATTTCCTGGTGTGAACCCTGATATTGTTACGAAATTGGTTCACGCTTATCTTATTCTTCGGCCACAGTGTGGCCTTACGCTATCATCAAGCCCTGTCTGTTTTATTGCTTTTCACGCTGTGGACTGTTGCTATAAATTAACTAAAATGTAATAAACATACCTTCATTGATCTTAGTATGTAGTCTTAGTTCATATGTCCGTCTACATCTGCTTTTATAAAGTCTTTTCTAAGAGCAATCTTTTGAAAAATAACCTTCAGTTAAAACGGCCATTTTGTTTTTCCCTTAAGCGAGATCAAGATCCACCTCAACAGATGTTTTTAAAAATGGCAGACCAAATGATTTTAAGTTTAGACGAAAGCATGCAATAGCTAACAAAGGACAGTGTTCGGTTCGGTTCTAATTGATCAAATATTCTCATTATGATTATTAAAATAGCATTTGATCTTTTTTTCCTCCAGGACAAACTATTTTATTAGTTCACGGTGGTCCAGATGGAATCATCAAATTATTTGGCTAGAGACTCGAGTAAGTTCACGCAAGCCAATGGAGTATTGAGTTTGAATAACGGCTACCAATCCTTAGTCATATAAATCCGACCGTTGTATGCTGTTCTTCGATATTCCTTGTTCTTATTTGGATATTTATTTTTTATCATTTTCTTTGCATACACAGTCGTAGATATAATATGGAACAAATTGCGGTAAACGCTTTTCTGGCCTGTCTTGGTAACCATAGTTACCATACTAACCAAAGTCACACAAATTATCACGTAATTATTTAGCTCCAACATCAAACTGTTAAATCTTACCTTAAACATGTAAAACACTTGATAATTGATGAAATATAATCAATTGAATTATATTTTCATTATCGCCCGCCATGTTGCTGAATGTTGTTTCCGGTAGTCTAAATGTAAAACATGTATCGAAACGGAATCATAATTATTTATTACACAGAGATCGATTCCAAAGCCGTTCTCTGCTACTTATTACTTTTTTCATTTTGAAACAATCACTTTTCCAAATAACTTCCCTTCTTAACGACACTGCTTCCCTTTCAACTGAATCTTCGTGTAACAAATACTTATGATTTCGTTTGACATAGTTTTACATCTAGACTCAGATTAACCTGGAAGTGACCTTGGTATGGCAAAATGAAAAAATTTTAAAATTCAAGCGGCATGCTTATATTTCTTCAATTACCAAGCGTTTTACGTGCCTAAGGTAAGATTAAATACTTAATAGTTGAAGCAAAGAAATTTATTTATCATTTGTGTGAATTTGGTTGGGTAGACAGGCCAGGAAAGCATTTACCGCAATATAGATGCGCGGAGTGTGTATGACCCTCGTATGCAAGAAAATAAGAAAAAATAAATATCCAAATCAGAAAAAATAACAACAAATAACATCATACGAGGGTCAGATTTATATGACTACCAATCCTTGATTAAATGCATAACATAAATTTTGGAAAGAGGATTAAAAAATATTCAAAAGACAAAGAAAATAAATCAAAGAGTTTATGAGTCACAACGACACAGATCACAGTTAAATAAATCAGTAAAGTTCAGTGAGTGACTGAGAAATCCTGCTGATTTTTTCAGTTCAAGTGTGCTCGTTTTTAGGTCTTATGGTTCAAACTTACCCCCAAAAACCACATGGACATCTCGGTGGATGACTGTTTGAGTCAGCCATGTGTAGTGTATTGTATTTAATCACCAGAGTACCCTTGAATTTAAATGATTTCCAACAAAAAAAGTAAAAATATTGTCTTCCTTTTAAAATTTGAAAACGAGGTTATCCTATTTCCGGGTCAGAGGTGGGTGATACTATGATTTTGCGAACGATTGACATTGGTATGTTGAACTACGTTCGTATTCAAATCTCAAGAAATAACCCATGCCCACAAACAGCAAAGCACTGAAAGCAGTCGCATACCAGTGCTCAAATAGACATCTCTCATGAATAATTCATACCATTGCCAATAATTCACTGGTTACAAGACCTTGTAGGGAGGTGTCTACTGCCTAGCGAGGAGGGGGGGGGGGGGGGGTGTCGCAAGGCCTTGTAGCTAAAAGTCGAATTCGAAGGACGGGGTCACTTCAACGAAGGCTTCAAATAATTATCCTGGACAGGCTAAATACATATCTAGGCGTAGCCGGGGGGGGGGGTGTGCGATATGAGTGCAATCCCACCCCGCAAAAAAAGAAAAAAGGAATTTTGTAATTTATTGAAAAACATTAACAAATTATAGTTTGAAATGCTTAGAATGCACCACATACAGTGTAAATTTAAAAAAAATTCCGGGGTACAACCCCGTACCCCCCCCCCCTTTTGGGCTTAGTTTCACTCCATGGGCTTTCAACTCTAATTGAAAGATCGCAGTGATGCAAGCTAAAAAAAATCGCACCCCTGCTGGCTAGCCCTAGGTACGTCTTCCCTTTTAATTACAATTCCAAAGAATAATAAAAAATAACTTTTTCCCGATGTTTCACTGAAAAAATGAAAAATAAACTATTTTCAACCCCAATGCGAGTGAGGGGGCGGGGGGTCTGTAATCGTAGTAGCTATAGTTATGTCAGAGAGGCCTAAAGAAACACGTATGGTGCAAAATCGAGTTATTGGCTACCTTGTACGAACTAGTGCGAATCCGATAACAAAGGGTAAGTAACAATTACAGCTAGTCAAGACGTTCTAACTTTTAAAGTTTTAAACTGAGGTCGAGATAAAAACGATGAGAACGTATCACTTGTTACATGTTCTGATAATTATCAGGGGCGGATCCAGGAACCAACAAGGGGGGGGGGGGGATTTGAAGACGTATAAGAAAAATTTCTCGCTCGCTCGGAAAATGTTTTGCCCATTTTCTTGATAATGTGGCCTAAAATAAAAAAGGCTGCATTGTGTGTGACCGTTACTAACCTACCCTGCGAACGAATGCAAAGGGTAACCGTTACTCCATGTTTGAGCCAATTTTTGTCAGTTAAGGGGTGAATGGATGTAATCGCTTTAACGTTCCTTTTCGTAAATTAAGTGAAGAAGTATGTGAATAATTCTGTCGTATTGTGAATTAATTATTCGTTTGCAAACGTTTATTATAAAGTATATGATGCTCAGCTGAGACACGTTTTTGCCCCAAAAGTCGTGGAGAATCTGCCCACATCTCGAGAGCCAAGCTTCTCAACTTCTTCCTCTGAGTCTCCTCTTCTTAAGCAAGTTTTCGTAACATTCTGAAGGGTTACTTCAAAGTATAGTTTCTGACGCCGATGTGATGCGTTGTTCGATGTGATTATATTCCTTGCATGCATCTCTCGTTATCTTGGCGTGAAATAGAGACTTGATCACCATGATTTTTTTGCCCAAAGAGCGATAATCTGTGAAATAGCAATATATCAAGTATGTGGCACCAACATTAAACTGAAAACAATGGCTCCCATGAATTTACCCTATGTGAAAATAACAAGGGAATACTGTTTTCCACTTCATCCCAAATAAATGCATTTCCTTTTAACATATTGCCCTATGAGAATAAAAAAGTCCCAACTCACATTTTCGTGAATCTGAGAAATCAATTTTTGAAAGTTCAGGCATCTGTAACTTCAATACTATCTGTCATTTGTGAAATTTTTACATTCTTTTTATCAAAAATTTGTGTAGATACACTGACGAATTCATTATTTTTAAGATTTTTCTAAGCCAATTTTTGAGCATATTAAAAATGGAGGTAGGACAATTCAATTCCGAGTTTTTCGTAACATCGAAAGATTAAAGCTGAGCTATGTCCATTTTGCTATGTATATTCAATGGACACAAATTTCTCTATTCGCTTTTTAAAAAATAAATTTGATTGGTTAAAGTGATACATAGAACAAAATTAAATAGTGTTTTTGATTTTTTCACGGTTAGAACAATTTGACACTGAAAAGTAGGCTATTGAGAGAAAGGTAAGGGAATATCACAGTAAGAAAGAATATGCTTTCAATAGTGGAAATCTAATTTTTCAAAAATGGCACTTGGGACATTATTATTCTCATACGACGATATTGATCCTGGGTTCCATCAAACATTTAAAAACAGGTGTGGAAAGGGATGAAAATCAGAACAACATTTCAGAGAATCATATCGTGTTGGAGTGCAGAAAATAGACACAATCCAACATAACTGTCTGAAATCTGTGATACTTTCCGTGGTCCTTTCAACTAATATTTGCCCTGTATGTAGTGCAGAGGTTCCAAAATATGATTACATCACAGAATTAGATAGTAATTATTTCCTATCATTCAGACAAGACAAACTGTCTTCGTTTCCAGTTGATCCCCAGTGTTTAAGTCAGCAGAATATTGGATTAGAAAGAGTAAATGCAATGGTCTGATGAAATGACAGAAATTAAGAATGGGATATTTTTTATTTCTCAATATGTTTTTATGTATTCATAGGCCCAGTGAATGTTTTGGTCAAGCGGTACGACTACGATACCCGAATATTTGCAGAACCTCCATTACATGTCAAAATGAGAATTCAATATACAAGGAGGAGGGAATGTATTGCAACATATTTCGGACAGTCAACTCATATGTTGGATTTTGGCTATTTTCTGAGGATATAACAGGTGCATATGTTAGGCCAATGCAATGTTGTGTTTGGCACTCAGTTAACCCCTTTAAAGGAATAAGTGATTCCTTTTAGATAAAATGGAAAACAATATTCCCCATGTTATTTTCCCATAGGGAAAAACTCATGCGATCCATTGCAATTTTGGTCACCAAAAATGGATATCTTTTAAATCCCCGAAGGAATCACTCACTTAGTATTCCTTTAAAGGGTTGTCAAAACACAATATATTGATGCAAGAAAAATTAAAAAAGCAGGGGTGGAAGGGGTTGAAAATCAGGAAAACATTTCAGAAAAAAAAACATATGGGTGGGTTGTTTGCATCTTCCCTGTTTCAAAGTCGAAATCATTTTATCTCTAGGAGTTCTTTTCCTGGAGGTAATGCATTGGTAGAACATATGCAGCGGTTTAAATCCTCAAAAATAGCCAAAATCCAACGACTGTCCGAAATCTGTTGCGATACTTTCCCTCCTCCTTTCGTAAATGTTGAGGGTGTAATGTATAATTGTGATCAAAATGAAAAGGTGTTTATAGTCAGGCAATCCAGACAAAACTGGCAAACGATTACTGAAACCTGGTGTAACAAGCGCACATTTAACTTCTAGTAGGAGTTCAAAGGCAGTACCATTAAATACCACGAACCCTACCAATCAACATTAATCAACATTTAAATTTATTTTGATAAGACGCACCTATTCCCGGGGTGGCCAGGTATAAATGTTTTTGCAGACATCATATTTCAGTTAGGACAACTAAGACAAACTTCATGAGGTAAACTATTGTTTAGCTAGGTCCTAATTTCAATATCGTATTTTCAATATTTGGTGTAAAGTATTAAATGGCTGTTGAGTATATATTACCTTTGGATATTAAGTTGATGTGGAAGTAAAAAGCCAAATACTCATTAGTAACCTGGCTCGGTGAACGTTAGACAACAAAAAATACTCCAATCATCGAAAACAAGACATATTTTACAACAGCTGAAAATATTCAAACAGTGTGACATTTTATGTTTTTTAATAAAAAGAAATAAAGATAACCACCTAAATGTTGCGTAAGGTACCATATATTTGATCAACTGAGTTTATTTAATCCAGATGGATGTTGCAGTTGTAGTCCTGTTTTTGGCTGGTGCTGCGCCAGTAGCGCTAGGTTTAGAGCCGTTGCCAGATCGTGACACTTTGACGAAGCTCCTCGATGAATTAGATAACACCACAGTTTCTATGTCTCCATGTCGCAATACAGTCACAGGATTATTGAAGATGCGTCATGGGTAAGCTAAACTTGGTTCACCGCGTGCCGATCCTTTGCTCAATATATTATGAACCTCGGTAGACTTCCTTTAGGTCTGATGCCTTATTTAATTCATTTTGTGCCTTTGTGGAAATACTAAATGTCATCTTACTCCAAAAGATCAGATCTTCATAAGTATTCATGTCACATGATTGTCTAGTAATTTATATGTATATTATATTTTATCCTAACACACATGAAACCTGTAGCACCTCGCAAGTAACATAGTTTATGCTTCCAAAAGTTCCATAGGACTTTACACAAGTATTGTAGTAACCCTTACTCAACACAGTATTCCTACGAGTCCGTCCGTGGAAAACAAGTTCTCTAACATCACTGTTCACAACATACACAAGTTACTGATTGAACATCGTAGTGCGACATAAATAAGTAAGCGTCGCGACATCAAAAGGTAAATCCAAGTAAGCGAGCATAGAAGTTTTATCCACTGTCCAAGTTAAATTACCAGTTATTACCAAAAATGTAAGATAATTAAAATGAGGCACAAAACACAAAAAGCCTTGCTTACATAATGCCAAATTGCAGTCTGGGTATTATAAGATGTCATTATATTTTCAACGCACTGATTCTAGTCTATAAGAGAACTCAACAAGAAACAAAATTGCTTCAAATCGAGGTGTTAAGTCATTAGATTGCAAATAAGTTGATTCTACAGGAGGAATTATTTAACTGCCGAACACTAGCGGATCCAGAAGCTATCAAGGGGGGGGGGGGCACATTTCAAATCAGAAAAAATAATTCGGCGTTTGTGCGGGAAACATTTTGGGCCCCTAAATCCCCAAATTTGGCCAAAATTTAGAAAATTTAAGGCCCATTGATAATTTGGGTTAAAAGGCCCGAAAAGCCCCATGCCCCCTGGATCCGCCAGTGTAACTTCCGTCTTTTCTTTTACATCTTATACTATATGTAGGTCTACTTTTGTAGGTTTCATATAGGCTATTTAGATCAGTTGCCACTCTCTATTGGGCGGCCCGACGGAACAAGGCGAGCTATTTTGGATTACACGTGTGCTGAACGCAAGAAGTGGCGGAATCCATACAACAATGTAAATATAACAATTCTCATAATGAATGTTTCTCAGTTTTAAATACTTCTTTCCAAAATACTATTTATAGTCGACCTAAGGATACGCTGTCAAAATAAGGACACATCAATTACTGCATGAATGTTGAGCTTGCAAAAACACTCGATGCAGATCCAAACTATTATTTTAAATACAATTATACAATTTTTTTTTAAAATAAGCTATTTTGGTTCTTCAGTTATATCCATGAGAGTGTTTTGGAAAGGAAAGTTAAAAGTTAATTGTAAAAATTCACAACGACGCACTATGCATTAAACCTCTCTTCTACACAATACATATTATAGTTTTTGGAATTCTATCTTTGCACATCGTTCACAGCCTTTATCACGCTGGTATACCATGACGGTTACGCCATCTCCGAAAACGAGTTTGGTCTGCTACATTCACTGCTGATTTATCCAATAAAATGGCCACGATGGAACAGAAAGCTAAGGTTGGTGCATTGTTTTCTACTACTGTGTATCAATGAAAGCATGAACGATTTATGTAAGCGTCGCATTCGGTGATACATTGATTCGGTAATGTTTATTTTGAACGTTGTCTTTGCAAATTGATGCCTGGGGATAACATGAAATAAGCGAAAAACTGTCGAGTTTGAAATTCAAAACTACATAAAAATTAGTAATTTGTTTATTTTCCTGGTTAGGGCATGGCCTAAATTGCCTAATAACCTTGGTGTATAAAGATTTAACGTACATACGCTCATACAAAGCCAATTTAGCATTGGAAACGACATAATAATTATGTTCTACTCAACCCATAATAACGTATTTTGAATTTGCGGTAACGCAAACAATTCATTTCATATACACTCCCCTCCATAAGTTTGGCAACCTTAGCTCCCCCATTGAACTACGTGTTAAAGCCTCTTTATGTTTGAATTTTTATTCACGTAACCTGCAATGAAATAACTTATAATATTGATAGGAACGCAACTTGATTTGAAATCAAATTTTCCCAATTTTTTTCCTCGATTACAATACGTCGAAAATTTATGATAAATTTGATGAAATTTTAAAAATCGTCATTCCCATGTAAACAAATGGGAAATACTGGGTTCGGGGCAAATCAGAAATCAGGATATCTTTTCAGTAAAAGATTCTGCAAAAATTATTTTTATATAGAAAATTGAATTGTCTAACTTTTTTGTAAACTAAGTGTTTAGCTTACTTGATGAATACTTAAGTTACAGAGCTTCAAAGTCATTTTTGAAAGTCATTTTTCGCCTCCTGTGTTATTTCAATTGGAGAGGTTTTTTGAAAAATAATTTTGACTTTAAAGACCTATAACTTTGCTGATCCTGAAGAAAGGTATCAGTTTTTTGTTAAATAAAGTTAGCAAATTCAATTGCCTACTTGTTTTTTTGCAAGGACTCAGAGTGATGGATATTCTGTCATATGACTTGCGGCAAACCTACCATTTTCCATTGGTTAACATGGGAATGTCGATTTTCAAAAATTCATCAAATTTATCATCAATTTTCGATCTATTGTAATTGAGGAAAAAATTAAGAAAATTTGGAGGTATTGGAAATAAGGTCAAATTACGTTTCAATCAATAGTATACGTATTTCATCGCAGGTTAAGTAAATAAAAATTCAAAAGTAAAGAGGCTTTAACACGTAGTTCAATAGGGGAGCTAAGGTTGCCAAACTTATGGAGGGGAGTGTATACTTGTAATCCAAAATTGAAATGTTGCTAGATATTTGATTTGAGTCCTGAAAACAAATATAGGTAATTCAATATTCCATTTCTTACCCACAATAACACGGGAAGAGACAATCAGAACTAGCAACCTTGAATTGACATGTACAGGTGTACTATGCACTTAGCCGTCCTCTAAATATCCAATGCACAACTAATACAATATGTTACCGTCCATAAAATATCATGGAATTCATACGTAGTCGTCTAACGACCTTGCGATTGAAACCTTAATTTACAATATAAACCACATTCCTGGTCTGGGTTTGTCATTTTATAGCTTGTTTGTACACAGTTCACTTACATTTAGTATTTTGAGTGGCTCTAAAGGCACACATACTGAGAAAACACGAGAATGGACTAAAAATTATGAACTTGCATATCTCATCCAGTAGGTTTACAGCTATTCTGCTTTTTGTAGACCACACGGAAGATTTAACTCTGTCTTTATAAACATCCATATATACGTCAACGAATGGAACTAGTTTAAAAAGAAATCTTGCCTGTGAATATTGCCTACTTCTAAAAAAGTTGAAAGCGTATGGATTTTCAGGAAACTTATTAGTTTTTCTAAAATCTTATTTGACTGATAGGAGTGTCAAAGTAACTGTGAATGGCAAATGTTCTGACACCTCTCCTAGCAACTACATAAACTGTTCTGTGCCTCAGGGAAGTATTCTCGGACCTTTGATGTTTCTCCTCTATATAAACGACTTACCGGACAACCTGACCTCAGAGTGCTTTATTTATGCAGACGACACCTCCCTCTTTGTACCTACTTCCCCAAACAATCCGCAGTCTCATATACAAATTCAAAATGATCTAAAAAAAATCGAAGCCTGGTCTAAACAGTGGAAACTAGATCTTAAACCAGAAAAGAGCAAAGAAATGACCTTTTCTAAGAAAAATAATCCAATCTATCCACCAGTTATCTTAAATGATAAACAAATTGAAAAAACTGACATTCATAAACACCTAGGCTTCATTTTTGATAAAAAATTAAGTGGGTCAGCACATATAAATTCTATCTGTGCAAAAATCCAAACAGCTCTTAACCCCTTAAAAGCACTTAAGGGTAGACTAAAATCAAAACAATTAAATATTCTCTATACAGCTTATATTCAGTCCTTATTTGATTATTGTGATATCCTTTACGATTGTGCTCCTATTTGTGACCTTAACAGACTTGACAGTCTCCAGTACCAAGCTGGTCTAATAGTCTCTGGTGCTCTCCCAGGCTCCAGCACTTCCAAAGTACTTAACATTTTGAACTAGTCCACCTTAACTGAGAGGAGGATCCTCCACTTTAAAACAATTATGTACAAAGCCGTGAACGATTTAACACCTATTTATATCTCAGATATATTTAGGCCATTCATAAACCCCCAAGCAAGATTGTTAAGGAAATCTCGAGATTTCACTATCCCTATTAACTATCCACATAAGTCTCCAATATACAAAATGATGAACCTATGGAATGATCCAGGATCTGTTCCCTTGGAACAAAAGCTCTTGCCAACTATTGTATCTTTTAAAAGAACACTTAAATTAAATTTGTTCCCTGGTGTTGTTTCAACAATTTGTTTAAAATTAACTCGTCAACAAGAACTTTATCTGAATAGAGCCAGGGTAGATTTAATTTTAAAAGCCCAGCTCAAAGCCCACAATTGGAGCTCAGTTGAGTCATCAAATTGTTTATGTGGTTCCCCCGAAACTTTTCCCCACTTCTTTTTCAAATGCCCTCTGAAAGAACAACAAAGAAATAAACTAATAACAGATACTTTAGGGATATATGGGGACTTATTAACTAATTTCAGAACTCAGCAAGACAAAATTCACTTTTTTCTTTTTGGGGATCCATCATTAACCCAATTAGAAATGGATAATCTATTTTCACTGGTTGCGAATTATCTCATTGAAAACACAACCAGAATCTAAATATTTTCCTGCCTATGACCTGTTTCCATTTTTCAACATACTACCCCTCCCCCAGGATATCAGCAGCCCTCCTATCTTTTGTTTCATTGCAAGGCATTCTACCATTTACAGGTGACATCCAGGTTAAAATGAATATTGTACTTTATTGTTTATTTATATAAGGGGACATCTAATGCTTACAGCGCTTTGCCCCTTGTAATTGTATCTAAACGACTTGTGCTTACAATAAATATGAAAGATGTTAAAAAAAAATATTGCCTACAGGCGAGAAAGAGGACATGCTGTCTTTCCCATCCGCCATTTTTTGTTATCGTTACCGCAAATTTTTGCAAATCGCTTTGTCGTAACCGCCATGGTATACCAGACTGTTTATACAGTCTAGATAATCTCGTTAACCTTTTCAAATAAAGATACAAATTATTTTTGCATCTTCAATATCAAATTAGTTTGTGTGATTTTATAACACGGCATGATCCCCACCCCTAAGCACACGATGTGAATTACATTCGATAAACTTGAAACGTTTCCACGTAACAATCCAAGAACTATATGGTATATGAGCCAATTCACACACAACTCTAGGCAAGGTGTGTCCAATTCCGGCCAATCAGAACACGCTATTTCACGTAACTGCATTTCGTTATTCAACCAATAACGCATTTCATGGTGATAATTCGATTGAAATTGATGCTTTGCCAACTTGACCCCTGCAAAAAGTTTCGTTGAAAATATGTTCTTTTAGTGATTTTGTATCTTTTAGGTGATTTTGTAGAAAATATTTTGCAAAGTGTGAAAAGAATTGAAGCCCAAGACTCAATGCACTGTGGCCGATTCATTCTACTCAGGCGTTGTTACCTAAACTGTGCACACGCGCTGCGCGGTCATGCAAAGATTTGGAAACAACACCTTCAATGGATGATTCAGCATACAATGCACTGAGTCCTGTGCTTAAATCCTTAAACACATGGCAGAGAGAGGTTTAATGCATCATATGTCAGGGTGACACAAAAGACAAAACTCAAGAAACTCAAGAGTTGTCAATAACTTGAGCGAACCTTGAAATATTACTTTCCACATAAAGGAAGTCAGCATGTTTTACATATTTCCACCTACTGTACATCTAGGAAATCTACTGATATTTATATATTTATATTCATTTAGAGAGAATACGACAAACCTGATCAAATCTCCAACGTTTTTAGCTTACCAAGGGGGATCACGGTGTTTGACTCGTACCTCTGGAAGGACTACAACGAGATAAAGAGAGACTGGTCTATTAATGTGAGAAACATTTATAAATTATTTTCAATGCCAAAACCACGGGATCTCATCGCGTCGCCTAATTTGGTCAATGTGAGGGAGCAGGTTGTTTTTACAAGAAATTTCAAGATTTTCACACAATATATTTTTTAATTTAAAAGCTGCTCATTCGATTGAAAGAAACATGATAAAACATGAAGAAGAAATCTACACATTGCAGGCTGGAACGGACATACTCGGTATATTTGGTTTTAGCGGGTCATATTCCCAGCTTCACCACCGCATTACTGCAGAGAGACGATTCTTAGAAGATGTCACCAGTTTTGTATCTGGATTTCAAGCGGACTACAAACCACCATGGCAATTACAGGTGAGGCCGTTTTGATGAAGTGAAGTGTTGCCCTAAAATATCATGATTGCCCAATGAAAACTCTTGTTTTAGGATCCTGTTTACTTGTCATACATTATAATGAAATAATCACCCATGGGCGAAAGTAGAAAAAAGCTGGAACAAAATCACTTTTAGACTCTTGGTCTTTATTTTTGCGCAAATATAATTTCAGCGTTTGTCAACTTCGAATAAAAGAGATTGGTAGAATTAAACCATAAACATAATTGAAAACTTATATTCGGCTGTTTTGCTTCTAGATACCTCCTTACCTAAAATGCAATATACAAACGTAATTGTCGATGACATCATTATATGTGTGAAATCTTAAAAGAGGACAGCCACTTGGACGTGCTATATACAATATATTTTAAATGATCATACTAGTAAAATCCAAGTATGGTCAGTGAACAATAAGTTATAGAAACCATATCAGAACAGGAATAAGATTGTAACGAATTCAAAATCTCGAGTTATGAACTTTTGAAGTCTTGATTTGGAATGAACTATTTAATTTGCTCTTACTTTACATCTACAAATGTAGGTGAACAGTGGTGCGAAGCAATTTATTGATAACTTACTCGCTAACACATATGAAGGTAGCATGGACGCGTATGATACATTCGTCGACTATTATGGAACTCACTACTACGGGCAAGGCAAATTTGGAGGTCATTATACAATAACATATTGTATTTATTTTGTACAGATTGTAACGAAGAAACAGATAGATAGAACAGAAAATGTAATTATAAAATATAAATGTTGGACGCATTTCTTTTTAAAATATTATGAAATAGTGCCAATTTATATTATATACAGGGTGTCCCGAAAGTATGGGCCCCCCCCCTAGGCAGACATATTCAAGTGTCCTCATAGTATGTGTCATATATCATTTTGAAGCTTATCCAAAGTTACATTGATTTGCCAAGTATCATGGTTTTACTCCCAAATGGGAAAAAGTTACAGTCATTTTAAAAGTCAGTGTTTTGTCAAAATAAAGTTCAATTTTATACCACATTACTAGTCAATGTGTCCCCCCCCTTGGCCATGTTAACAGCAGCAATTATTTTCAGATATGACCATAAAAGCCCTTCAAATAGGGGTGTGGAATTTTATAACCCTCTTAAAACCTGTTAAGGGACTTTAGAAGAGTTTCCTTAGAGTTTCTACCCTCACCGTTCTCTTTTTCCAACTCAATATCCCTCCGACCCGAAAAGAATTGCTGCTGTTAAGATGGCCCGGGAGGACACATTGACTAACGATTTGGTGTAAAATTGAACTTAATTTTGACCAAACACTAAATTTTGAAATGCCTGTAACTTTTTCCCATTTGGGAGTTAAACCATGATACTTGGCAAATTAATGTAACTTTAGATAAGCTTTAAAATGATATATGACACACACTATGGCGACACTGGTATATGTCTGCCTAGGGGGGGGGGGGGGCATACTTTCGGGACACCCTGTAGTAGCCCGGACAGAATTGTTCAAGGGTCATTTTTCTTTAATAACTTTTTTAATTTTCAGTATTATCAAAAACCGATTACATATTTGAAAACTAGAGTAAAATTCTGACATACAAAAATTATTTAAAGAACATCTCCTAACTTTTTATATTATAGGCGTTCATGGTATGCGTGACGCAAATTCATAATTCATCATTTTGTCTCATATTTTTTCAAAAATGGCATGCCTATAATATTCATAAGAGATGTTCCTAAAATATTTTTATATGTCAGCATTTTACTAATTTACTCTAGTTTTCAAATATGTAATCGGTTTTTGTTATTCCCGAAGATTAAAAAAGTTATTACAGAAAAAGTAACCCTTGAACAATTCTATCCGGGCTACTACAGAAACTCACAATATACATTCGATGTGATCAATATTTTGAATATAATTTTTGTCCAAAATGTTTTACTATTATCAACTTTAGGTTTGGTAAAAATGACTTTGGAGACTGACAAAGATCTAGTATTCCAATTGGGAGCTAACTCGGCCAAAGCAAATGCGGAGGCAATGTTTAAGGCTTTCCTTTTTGACATTGGGGCGAGCAGCAACAATGCTAGGGTTGACGCCCGGTTCAGGGCAAGAACAAGGGATGCAAGGCGGTATTGATTCATAATTCCATTACTATAGTATATCATCTAGGCTTGCCTAAGTCGGTATATTTTTATTCTTTTAAATATTAGTAACATTTTTCATTTAATTGAAAATCAAGATCAATAAAAGGTAATACCGACTTGGGCAAGGCTATATATTTTCTAATCATCCTTTGACGTGTCGCAAAAAGGTGGCGCATTTGTTTTTTAAGGGTATCGCATGAATGTAACTTTGATTCCCCGGATTATAAGATAATATTCTAATTAAAGTTATATATCATTTTAAAGCTGTTTCGATGAAGTTTTTAGATCAACTACACTCCGTTCACAATTCTTGTGCGTTCTTTTTAAAAAAAGAGTTTTTTACCAAAACATCTGGCAAATATGCCCTGTTGACACGTTACATTTTGAATTATTTTTCGTCTTTAAACGCTCATAACTTAAACAATATATGACTATTATACTTATTTTTCGTCTTGATAAAAGTAGATAGAAGTTTTATTTCAAAGGATGAATTTTAGTAAGCGTCCCATATTGTGACGTCATAGAGCTTGAAAAATAGAATCTGTTGACAGCGACCTTTTTTGCTCATTTTTTGTTACCTTCAATTTTTCAGGTGTACATTAAACAAAAAATACGAGATCAATTTTTAATAAATCATACATCATTTATTTGCTCCTAAACTCTAGTTTATTAATAAATAGTTGATTTTGTTCGCAAAATTATGTGTTTTCTGTTGTATGTGGAAAAGTGGAGGACGAAAGGTTTTCAAAATTCATTAAAATAGTGCTAATTTACGCCATTCGCCTATTTTCAAGTACAGAAACACGTATATTTATTTCACCTAAAATATCAATTGATTCGTGTTTTATAATGCTCCTAGCCCATTAACAATATATATATGATATCAGAGTTATTCGTCTAAAATGTTTTGAGATATAGAGGTAAATGTGGAGGACGAAAGGATTTTCATGTGTGTATATTTTTCTCAAAAACGTCACATTCTATCATGTTAAAAGTGAGGATCCTCTGGATTACGCCACAAAATGTGTAATAACAATGCGTGCGCGACCTTTTTGCGACACGTCTTTATACTATCTGTCTCCTTATCCATATATGTAGCAAATGATCTTTTAATAATGCAAGTTGGTTTATCCCTACATTCTAGATATTTTGGTGGTTCAGAGAACTTACTAGACAAACAATTCTATCGTAAATGGCTACCAACTGTACCTTCCAACCCTTGGTTGTTCGCTGGGGAGCTGAAGCCATTGTCCCTTTTGTTCCCACAAGCCAAGATAGCTGGAATGGACAGAGCCATTCAGGTAACAGCTACATGTAGGCAGTTCAGTACTCATACTCTGTATTAAATCATTAAGATACATTAGATTGTCATCTTAAAAGTATTAGGTCACCCCAAGAGTCTGTATAAGACAAAATACAGGACAAATAGTCTAATAGAACACGGAGTCAAAAATGACGGTATTCTTACATACAGCAAACCGACTTTATGATAGAAAATGTGTCGTACATCATCCAGTGATTTTTTGCGTGCTGCACAGCTCTTATGAAAGTGAAATATCTGAAATTATTTCTGAGTCCAGAGACGTACTCGCATGTCCCTGCTGAGTCGAAAGGGCGCCAAACTGTATTTGTATTCTATTTGTATTATAGGTGGGCTTAAACAAAGCTAAACTAAACGATATGAAGGTGGGCTTAAATAGTTACATATCAAATCTACAGAACATGGAAATCACTGGTCATCCAGATAAAACGAGATGGAACTCATGCAACGGCTCAAGTCCCGACAGACAGTGTAATCTGGCCCCAGTCCCTATTATTGGCTGTACAATAACAGGTTGTAGATGGAATGGATGGCAAAGACGAAGAAGTCAATACATAGCCGAGGCTCGTGCTCATCTCACCAGAGTAACTGCTGGTAAATATTAAATGTTTTCTTGGCAAAATTAGAATTCTCAGGGATATATGGAGGTTTTATTCTAGTGTACCACTGGTGGATCCAGAAGCTAAGAAGGGAGGGGCACATTTCAAGTTTGGGGAAACATTTCTAAATCCAAATATTGGGTCAAATTTTGATTTAAGGCCCGTTCAAGTTATGCCCAAAAAGGCCCATTTTTGGAGGCCTTACAAGTTTTTGGGGCCCTAAACGATTATTCTGGGCCCACCATAGGGAGGAGCGGTAGTGAAATATAAAGCAATTATCCAGGATAATATACCAATTGTTATTGAGGAAATGACCAGGTGTAAAAGGGTAGGAGGTCCTTTCAAATTATGGTCCTACTCTCCATTGATTTATATGGTGACCTAAATACAACTCTCCCTCATTATCTTATACACAATCAGGGCCAGTAAGGGCCGTTAAGAAGGGGGACCATAATCCCCGGAGGACCATAATTTCTTTTACACCGGTGGGATACTCCAAGATGAGGTTTTACTTCAAGATAATACATGATCCATAAATTGTCTACTGTGATGCAATTTTCAGAGTTATCGAATTTGACAAAGAGAGGCAATTATCTATCTAAGGTAATATAATCAGCACTTATATAAGCACTTATCTTGTTTTATATATCGTCCAAGGCGAAGCAATAATTCTGAGTAATATAATTGTCCAAGGTGGGGCAGTTGTTCTGGGTTGTAAATTGTCCAGGCTAAAGCACTTATCTTGTGTTATATATCGTCCAAGGCGAGTCAATAATTCCGAGTAATATAATTGTCCAAGGTGGGGCAGTTGTTCTGGGTTGTAAATTGTCCAGGCTAAAGCACTTATCTTGTGTTATATATCGTCCAAGGCGAGTCAATAATTCCGAGTAATATAATTGTTCAAGGCAGTTGTTCTGGGTTGTAAATTGTCCAGGCTAAAGCACTTATCTTGTGTTATTTATCGTCCAAAGTGAGGCAATAATTCGGAGTAATATAATTGTCCAAGGTGGTGCAGTTGTTCTGGGTTGTAAATTGTCCAGGCTAAAGCACCTATCTTGTGTTATTTATCGTCCAAAGTGAGGCAATAATTCTGAGTAATATAATTGTCCAAGTTGCCATGTATTATGTATTATTTTAAAGATAAATCATTTCCTAACAATATGACACCATCAGAAACTTTTCTTGTAGAGTTAAAAGCTAAAATTGACACCGAGCGATCAAAAATCAAAAAATGAAAATTCCCAAATTTCCTTCCATATTGCAGTTTTCTGAAAATGCAATGTTTGAAGTGTCTTTTGACAAATGTGACCTCGCGATATGTATCAAAACCTTAATAATGGGATAGCATGTGGCATCGACCTAATTCCGAATACGTTTTTAAAAAATGGAGGGCAGGTAATTCTGGACTCCTTGTGTGATATTTTTTATGAAAGTCAAAGTTTCAGAAGTCTTACCAAATGGGAGGAAAGATGTCATACTCAAACCACTCCACAAAGCTGGAGACACCGACGTTCTAAATCATTGACGCTGAATAACGGTTAACTCTAATGTACATAATTTGTTTACATCCTTGCTTGAGACAAATTATCTAATTTTTGAGAAGCAAATCATATTCTGGGTGACCTGTAGTACAAGGCGTCTTCAGGAACCGCAGGCGTCTGGAGAATCATCTTTTTGCCTATTAAAAGGCCTTTGTGGACTAAGAAAATCTCAAAATAGAAAAACGTGGCCGGGTTTCTTGGACGTGACGAAGGCGTTTGATGTTATTAACGAAGGTCAAGTACTTGAAAATGATGGGATATTGGAGTTCAAGGTAAATTTTGGAGACTACTTCGTGAAACATATAACGAAATTTACAACAAAGTCGTCTTTGGTAATTTTTCTAATGAATGGAATGATAATAGGTCTTAAGCAAGGATGCAGTTTGTCTCCTACAATTTGTTCCATAATTATGACCGACTTTATTAAAAGACTTGATGATAAAGATCCCGATGTTAATTTTAGAGACAGAAAAAGTACTTGCGGTAATATAGTCATAACTGCTGACTCGGAGTTACAATTGCAAGAAATTTTAAATACAGCCAATGATTTTGGTACAGGCTGGGGCTTTATATTAAACCAAGCGATATCCAAGGTTATGGTAACAGACCAGCGATGTCATCAAAATAAATACTGGAAATTAGATGACCTTAACACAGTGTTTCTTAAGTCAAGCAATATAAGTATCAAGGTGTTTACATTGATCGAGCTTTAAGAGACAATTTTCATGTTAATAATATCTTAATGCCAAAGTAAAAACGTATTAGAAATATGATCAGAAGTACCCTGACTAAACATTGTAATATTAATCGTGTGAAATTTGGAAACACCATGAACAATGGAATGTTTCTACCAGCAATCCGCCATGCATTTGGAGTGTTTGTGCTAGTGAGTCGTCTTCTAAAGCATTCTCCACAATGCAATATAATATGGGTAGAGACATCCTTCAACTGAAGTGTAACCCAGCTAGGGAAGCACTGTTGGGTAATTTTGGGTGGGGACCCATTTTAACCTTGGTTGATTATTATGCCCATTTAAACTATGATATGCCACAAAGTCTGCATAAAGACATTTTTAACAAAGAATGGGTAAGATGATGTCATGTTGAGAAGTGATAGAGACTGGTACTCATCCTTTCTTTCAATAGCTTAAGGAAGAGCTTCACTGCAACTTAAAGGTAATAAGAGAGAAATCATCTTTGACCACGGCCTATTGTGACCTTCAGCCTAGTGCACTTATCAAGGAGGATTACTTTTGCTCCGTCCCAGACGTTTTTGGCCAGAAGATAAAATTTAAGGCTCAGTGGCTGTTTTATAGCACTAATGTTGATTTAAGTAGACAGGGCAAAGGTAACGATATATGTACATTATCACGCCCGGTGATCGTGAAAATGGGACTGAGGGGGGAGCAAGCAATTTCTGGAAGAAAAATGAACAAATCTGCAAAAATTGTTTTTTCAAGAAAAGGTTTATGATTTAATTGCTAAACGAATAGGCGCACGGTATGGTAAAATATGTCACGTATTCTACGAATTTTTTTTAGCCGATTCTCTTCTTAGGTATAAGATCTATTAAAAAAGGCGCAACGCCACCAACGTGCAAAAGTCAATGTTTTTGCTTTAAATCAAGCATCAACGGTCTACACAACCTGCAATAAATATTTGTAAATGACATTATCATCATAAAATTAATGACCTTAATGACTTTACAAAATATGTTTCCATACGTTGTATAAAAAATAATCGAAAATAATTAAAATGGGACGGAGGGGGGGGGGAGAGACGGAGGGGGGAGCAATATGTCTATAAGATATGATATGAGATGTTACTTGATACTTTATATCCAGATTTTCCCATTATCTCCTCAATTACAAAGGGTCAGGAATTGATAACATGTTGTCCTTGTTAGGTTTAGTTAGAGGGGTCAAATTAAGGTTGGCAAAATATTCCAGGAGACTGTTTAAATGTTTACCTGTCTTAACGTTTTTACTTGCTGATTTGTAGGCATATCATACACAGCACATCACACTTTGGACATGTAAGTTTCAGCGAAAATGTAAGTTATTGACAGCGAAGTAACAATCTACTTGATATTAATTATGCGATATATTTTAATTATGCAGAATTGAATAAATACAAGAAGCTCACGCGTCTCCAACTCACGCCCTGATGGTTATGACGTCTTTGTCTAGCTGAGATTCTGGCGCTGTAGACTGCTCGGCCAACTGGCAATGCCTAAAAAACATGTTCCATCAGCCGATCTGACTAGAGAATTTACACTTAATAGTCTGCTAGGAAGGTTCCCAGTAAATGTGCCACATTCATGCCATGGGTGCAACCCCTATTACGCCAAAGAAGCGTAACAAGTCATTTTTTGAAAATGAAATAAAAATTTGTTAATTATTTGAAAATTGTTTTGTGTGCTTATTTAATCAGAAAGCCATATCTCATCCGGTTTCCATTGGGACAGGCTCAAATCGTTCTGATTTGGATATAAAGTGAAGTAACATCATCATGTCGTATAGACATTTTGCTCCCCCCCCCCCTCCGTCCCCCCCCCCCTCCGTCCCATTTTAATTATTTTCGATTATTTTTTATACAATTCGTAGAATACGTGACATATTTTATCATACCGTGCGCCTATTCGTTTAGCAATTAAATCATAAACCTTTTCTTGAAAAAATAATTTTTGCAGATTTGTTCATTTTTCTACCAGAAATTGCTTGCTCCCCCCCCCCCTCCGTCCCATTTTCACGATCACCGGGCGTGATTATGTGATTTTAATTCAATGATACAATTGAACTGTTTGAATACCCAGCTGACAACTTTATTAGACATGATCAGCTTGATATTCAAAATGGTTGTAATAGTGAAATGTTCTCAAATTCCTTGCTATTGTCACCACAGGAAAAAAATCAAATGAGTACTGGGCTCATGCAACAGTGATATTTGGGGTCATGACCTAGCCAGACAATTTGATGCTTGGTCAAAGCGTTTTTTAATCAAATTATATACTGACACCTAATCAATTTTTAATATTTCATCCACGTATATTTTACTATAAATGTAATTGTATAAATGCTGCACAACAATGTTGCATTGTAATTGTATTGTATTGTATTGTGTACAAAATGAAACACGCGTCCATTAATACTCCTGCATATTCTTTATAGCGTCGTGTCAAATATCTAGTAATGTCTAACGTATCATCATGGGCAATTAATGCAAATTAATTAATTAAATTTTTGATGCATCCTTTCAATGCTCTCTATATTACTATATTGATATCTTGTTTTCAGAGGAGCGTAAGAAGGGTAGGGATGATGCTGGTGTTAACAGAGTGTGGTCGCAAACGCAGAGAATTCTACTTAAGATGGATACAAGGACCCCATTAGTGACCAAAAACCTTATTTGGACTACCAACGTCTGTCGTTGTGCGGTTCGCAGATGTAGATGTTTACGCAGCAATCGACCTATTGCAACTGTTAAAACTGCACAACCATTCTTCAAGTATGATACTGAATTATTATTCAACAATTTCATCAAGAATAAGATAAAAGTGCCTTTCTTCGTAATTCATTCAGTTTCTACTGTAAGAGCTAATTCCACACTCTTCAAAGCCCTTTATTTATATCTGCATGTGCGAAATATAGATATTACATTAATAAACATGCTAGAACGTCCCAAATATTCTTGTATACATTCACGAGGGGAAGTGTACCCGTGTATATACAACCTACCGCCGAGCAAAGACCCGAAGATGTCTGAAAATGTAGGGGATAAGTTAATAAACTCCTGTTTTATATTGAATTTCTCAATATGAAAAATAGATAAAACACAGAATTGTTTGTAACCGATATAATTGTTGTTCCAGGCAGGTAGTAATTTATAAACTTTTACCCGCTCGTTCAATCGATGCAATTGAGAATTGCGTACTTCCGTATCTCGTTCTCATTGGTTAGTGAACGTGCCATATACCGCAAGTGAATCTGTCAAACACGACAAGTGAATAAACCATATTCGTTGCGGAATATGACATATATTTGTATCTTGTTTACCGTGTAAAAGTGGTGACATTTTGTCATTTTGATACCTTTATATATTTCAGTGGAATGTGAAGTTAAGAGATGCATGTATGGAACTTGAAGCAACCCAGTGCTTTGAAGGTTTTATTATTTTGATGTTTAATTTCATAAATACAAACAATCGATCCCAATAAATAAAATGTATCAACTCATATTACAAGTGTTCTGTTTTTAGATCAACTCAGAATACTTCGGCAAGAGTCGGAATACTTACTTATACCAAAACAGTTGGGACTCCACACACATTTTTATGTCACCACCAAAGGTAGTGACATATTGTTATGGTCTCCGTTTTTTGTGAGGGTGGGTAGCTGCTGGTGGTGGGCGGTTGGTGGTTGGCGTCTGTAACAAATTCAAAAAACTTCAAAGAACTTAACAAATTCTGTTTAGACTGACTTCATTTTTTTCAAAATCATCTACAAGTTCTAATAAGTTCAAATCTGACTCTAGATTTGAGATTTGACCTTCAATGACCTTCTCAAGGTAAAAAAGTCAAAAAGGTATTTTCTTAATTTGCTTCAAATTGATCAAATCTGGCTTTAGATTTGAGATTTGACCTTCAATGACCTTCCCAAGGTCAAAAGGTCTTTTTTCAACCTGCTTCAAATTGACATTTTTTCAAAATCATCTACAAGTTCTCAGAAGTTCAAATCTGATTTTAGATCAAAAAGGTCTTCTTTTAACTTGCTTCAAATTGATCAAATCTGACTTTAGATTTGAGATTTGACCTTCAATGACCTTCCCAAGGTCAAGGGGTCTTTTTAACTTGCTTCAAATTTTTTTATCAAAATCATCTACAAGTTCTCAGAAGTTCAAATCTGACTAAGATTGAACTCATAATATTGTGAGCAACTACAGCCGTAGGTGGTGACATTTTATCATGGCAATGCCTTCTATAAGACATTGGCTCAATCTAGCACATTATCTTCACCTTACTTTTTGTCTTGTAGTGCTTCCTATCGTTTTCAAATATTATTTTAGTCAACGGGGCAAACATTTTAAGAATTTCAAATTGCGTCTTAACAACTCGTGTTATTTACATCTTAAAGGCTCTGTGCAAAGTTTGAAATGGCTGCCATTCTTTAACGAGCGACCATTTTGGAAATCGGCTTTCGAGCAGTATCGAGCGGTAATTCAAAAAACAGTTAAGATCTGCACTTTTAACCCAAACCGTTTATGTAACTTAAGTGAGGAATTAAATCGACGATTCTGATCTGTTGTCTGCTGAGCTATTTTTTCGCAAACATGTACATTTTCTAAAACATATGATACTGATACACATTTGTGTGAAAAAATGTCGTGGGGATTCTGCCTACAACGCGTGAAATAAGGAAAAAATAAAAATCGTCCCTTCGACGTTCCGACATTTTGTTACCGAAACGACCAGCGTAATCGGGCGGATCGCCAGTGATCACCATTGTTTTTTACGATAGAGGTTTCTCACGATAGAAATAACACCATGGGGTCATTTTAAAGTGAACAGATTCTGCCGAGAAAGAATGCAAAGTCGGTTTAGCGATTATCAGTTAGACAAGTGCGCTGTTATTCAGCCGTTTTTTTTATAGAAACAATATAACTGAACGAGAAAAAAAAATACTTGTATTTAAAAACAGTACATGACAATATTTTAAGCGGGGTTGTTTTATGAATTACCGAGATATATAGGTGCTATTTATTGCAAATCAATGGGACAAGGTCTATAAAACATTGTTCTATAGATGTTTTATATTGCCCGCTGAATGGCAACAATACAGGTGAAGGAATTAATTAAGAGTACTGGAATAATACATGCGTTTAAATGGTTATTTTCGAACAGTGCGTCCCAATACATAGCTCTGATATGCACTTATATATCTTTATATAGCGGGTCATCTCTGTATAAGTTTTCTGGGCAAACATTTTATTTACTTTTTTGTCAATCCGAAATGTACTTCATTATTTCAGACACTCCAAAATACAAAAAAAAACTGAGCTCGATGACGTGCTCATTTTTAACGTGCGGGTCCCATATCACATAGTGCCACCATAGACAGAATCCCATTCTATATTATTTAATGAGTACTTTAATCAGTCCCGGAGACATCAATTTATAATTTTCATATGCCTCTTGAGAGTCGTAGATCAAAAGAGTAAATCTATTGTTGTAGGCGAGATCACGGATAAAATTCACAAGGAATAGAATATTAGAATATTAGTAATTAATTTAGTCGACATGTCGACTCACTGATGGGATTATAATAACAAAACAGTAGGGGGTATGTAAAACGAATGTTTCTATAGAAATTCATTACACTGCATGGGGAATGATACTGTTGTCAATAAAAATAGCTCTAAGCTTAATGGATTCCTAGACTTACAAAAATTGATAGTATTAGTGTTTAATTGATATATAGTAGCTAACACTTGACATGTTATCGTGATAACGGCTAGACTACGCAGAAGAGTGGTTATCTTAGTAGTCTGTTTATATATCATAACGACAAGCTTTACAGATCAGATCTTAATGTGATTGCAAAAAACAAGATCTAGACAATTAAAACTATGGGTTCATAGTTTGTGCAAGCCAGGATCTAAACGATTTAAGAATTCTTGTAAAACGTACAATTCAGTGACTGCAACACTCAAAATAACACGCGCTTCAAAGAAATAATCCGAGGATCGTTCGGGAATTTATACAAGTATTGATAAACAAGAGACAGTTGATGGATTCGCTGACCTAGAGAGCCTTCTTCAAAACATTATATCCACAGTCGATATTTAACATACATGGCGTAGTATTTCACAATGGAATACAACGCTGCCGAATTAGCGGCAAAGATGCAGGGATCAACTCCCCAACAAAATGAATTCAACAAAAAGATAGACATGAAGAAAGAAAAACATTCGAAAGATACAATCAGGAAAGCAGAAAGACTCCGTTTGGAAATGGCTGACTCAAAAGCAAAGGTAACTCCTTCTTTGGACACTATGCTTGGTGATAAGCACGAAGAACTAGAACAGAGGAAACAGGCAGAACGTGAGGCAATCGAAAAGAAATATAGATTCGGTTTCAAAAGACAGATAAATGACAATAAGATGTCCAATCCGAACCGCGCAAAATCAGTAACAGATAAACCCAGCGTACTTCCGGCGGAAAAAATCGAGACAATATCTGAATAGCACATTTTGTTCCCTTCTCATTCGTTCGACTTGGCTTCTTAAAAGAGAGCTTCGTCATATTTTTCAGCTAACCACTCCGCTCATGGAAGTTCACCTGATGATTTGAAATCTTCAAATTACAACATTTGTTAGTATTGACGGTATGACGGCAGTTTACTTTATGCAAGAGAAGAGAGCGTTCCTTAGTGACTGCAATAAGGGAGGAATTTTGAGTGAGGCCGGATAATGCAATAACAATAGAAAAAGCAATATATATTGCATACTGAACAAACTATATATGGGAATAAGGCACTCTATTGATTAATTATCGACATTAGAATAAATAACGTGAAAACAGACTGACATTGTGAAAGCGGAGATCATGAAAGGTGGAGTTCATAAGTTTTGTAAAGTGTCTCTTTGAGTATATTTTTTTACATGTGTCACGACAGTAACATAATTGAAGTGCTGTTGAGTAAGTCATTGAGTTAAAGATACGATAAATATTTTTTTCAAAACAATAGTATCACTCTTGAACTAAGATCAATAAAAGTGATTTCGATTTACGATGTATGTGACGTGACTTTACCACACTGCTTGTTTTATAGCAAAAAGTTTGACATTAGTGACATTGCGCCTTTTTCAAAAAATCTCATACCTTAGAAGCGTACTGTAGCAGATAAAAATCCATACAAGCCGTAAACACGTTGATTTTATCATACCGCAGACTTATTCATTTAGCGATGTATGTGCTAAATCAGCTGAATTGTGGAATTTTACGATTTTAAAAGCATTTTGTCTGTTTCAAGGCCTTCCCTAGTGGATTGGCATCTGTCGTCCAAAGTTCAAACACATTTAGAAGTGGATAGTTGACATTTCAGAAACAATTGACTTTCGCTTCTCGAACAAAAATAATTTATAAACGCATTATAAAGTTATAGATTCGCATCTCTGATAAGCATTTCACATCAGTCGTATACACAAATATGTTGAAGAATTCTAACGTGGACCTGCTGAAAACTGAAATGACCAGCATCGGTTAAAGTGATGAGGGGTTCGATAGTTCTGAGACGTTACTCTAAATGTACATTTTTATATATACATCTTTTAAATAGTACCCCGAACAGCTACTTGAGATTCATGTTACATCTTTGACTATCCTTTCTAAAATATTGATTTATAAATGAAGAAAATAATTGTCGTTAGAAATTATCTAAGCTTCGAAATGAGTCATAGAGTGTTGATTATTTGGGTACTACTTATTTGATGATTTTTTGACACTTTTTGTGTTTGAGACAAAAAAAACTATTTAATCCTACTGTTTTCTAGTAGAAGCGTACAAGGGTACAATGTCATTCAGTGATTTCTATGCACATCCAAAGTGTTTGAGTCAATTAGAAAAAAAATAAACATTTTCTTTTCAATTTCAACGAGGCGGTGCCATAGGGGGTGCAATCGCACCCAACCCCCGTCCCTGATCCGAAGGATTTGTATATTTATGTATGTTCATAGATTCAACTTTTATTGCCAATTAGACCATGAATCAAAAAATCACAAGATAAATAATCAAAATAGGCGTGACAATAAATGCAACCCTGGGGGAAGACCAATGATACCAAGACCAAAGATAATTAAAAACATGGATTTCACATACAATAAGTTCTAGAATAGTATTTTCTTACTTGTCAAATCCTGAAGAACAACATAGATGTGCAATGAAGGTGAAATGAAATGTGTTAATTATTTCTAAAATTTTGAATAAAAATACAAACGGACAGAGGGTATCAATTTCAATTTAACAAATAAAATAAATATATCATGCTAATTACCTTTCAAACAAACATTTCATTAGATCAGTTGTAAACTTCAAAAATGATCAAGATTTAGTATTTTTTAATTTTTATGGACCCCTGGTAGACCCTTCATTAATAAGTAAACGGTATTGTTGAAAAGTAGTACTCAACAGGTGAAAACGTATGTAGGAATATGTGTTTTAACATTTAAAAGTTTCAAAACGAATGCTAAATCAACAGGAGGGAACAACTTAACTAGGGCTTATCTGAAATTTTCCTTGAGCTCTATAGCCATAGCAAGAGATACAACATAAATATCAAGTAGCTATCAAAAGTACTATGCATCTACATTGTACATCATATTAATGATGATGGCGTCACGAGATATTCAATAAACAGCCATTCCAGAAATTCCTCTGCCGCTCTAATCACTGCCATTATGGCATTATTAGTTTGCCTGATAGCGTGAGGCAGTGTTTTATACCCATTACTTTGGATCGTAGGTATTGCGGACATATAACAAAGAGAAAGAAGTGAAATATTCATATTGCCCTTTCCGGGCGATTACTGTACTCAAATACCAGTTAACGTGTTTGGTTAAAATCTTATTAATAGGCTGATACCTTATGGACATATGGTTGAGATGAAATTTTCAATATGGCTTCTGAATTCAAAATGGCCGCAAATTTTGTATTTATGTAATATTTGATAACTCCATGAACCGTGACAACTTAAAAATTGGTTGTAATATTTATTCAAAGGACAAATAATATCTGTCTGAATTTTCAAGATGGTTGCTGAATTCATAATAACATATCTTGTTCTTAACTGTTCGTAAGCTGACCTGTGTTATAAGGACCATGGTTATGTTGAATCATAAAGATATAAGGGAGTTGGGGTATACTGTAGATAAATAAATACGTAGATGTCAGAACTTGTTTTTATTTTCTTTGGTAGGGTTATACAGTATACTCAGTATATTACTGGATTAACTTAACATCTATATGTCAGTCCAAGACAGGTGGGAACTGAACCAAATAAAAATGACAGATCTAGATAAACTGGCAGAATTAGCAAAATCGAAGGACAGACGCAAAAAGATACAGAATCAACTGATTTGTCCCAATCAATGTCAACCCAGAGACTAGTCGAACCAAGGTGTAATGGTGGATAATACAATAGGAACATGGGAACTCTGAGACTGGAAACAACACCACTCTTATTCTAATCCAGGTTTAGGTTGAAATAAAGATGGCAGTAGTGTTGATACATAATATGAAGAAGGGATACAGCCCTGTCATCTTTTTATGAACAATCGTTCTATTACCATTTATCTTGTGTTCTAATCACTATTGCGCGTAAATGTTACCAGAGGCTTTGTAATATTCTTGATGTTCTTGGTTCTTAAAGGTAGTATCAAATCTAGATTCTAAAAAACCCAAGCGCATACTTCAGTTATTTGAGCCAAACAAAAGATTTTTACAATATTGTATTCATTTCTCTCGAAATGTAATCATGACATTTATTATTTGGGAGGATTTGTGGCAAATAATCATATCGAGATTTTGACGTCATTTGCTAATTAACATAATGTGACGTCATGCATGCATCATTGCAGAATTCTAATGGGATGTCCATATAGGACAAAATTGAATATCAAATAATTAAATAAATGTTAAATTGATCCATTAGCTCAGGGTTAGAAATGGTGAAGATACTAACAAAGGTCAACTGTGCAAAAAATTGACGATCAACTATGAAAATATTTTCTTCCCCCAGAAAAAACAGTTTTTTGGCAAAAATTCCTATACTTTACATGTAACCGATCTGAAAAAAGTGCAAAAATGGCGAAATTGGCGTTATACAAATGTAATTTTTGCCTTTAATATTCTTTTAAATCGTTAGCTCAGGGTTGGAAATGAAAGAACACGACTAATACGTTTATATTAACATATTTTATTTACACCACATTTAATAACTTTTCTTCCTGACAAGTTACAAGTAAGGTCGTTTTTGAAATACGACGCCGTTTTCCAACAGTAAATAGCTAAAACGTCACACATTTAACATGTTTAATTATAACGTACTTTATTCATAATACAACTTATTTAACACTGTAAGTTGCAACGATGTTCTTTTCATTTTCTCTACTGGAGGAGTTGATTAATTTAAATTTATTTATTTTCCAGTTTATAATTAAAGCTATGGCTTTCTAGCCTTCCTAGCATACATGGGGCACTGGGCCAGTCATAAGACTGCCCCATACGCTAGAACGATGCGCAAATCATGAAAAATGGCCCATGCTTAAGTGAAAGATAAATAGTGTATAAGAGAGGTATGAATTGATTAATTTTACAATTCACCATAGCTCTCGGAAACAATATAATTTATATTTCAGTTATACTTGGGCTTTTGTTTTTTTTCCATCTGCGCGTCTTCCTAGCGTATGGTGCAGTCATTGATTTCCTTGTTCGTACACGTAGCGCTTCTACGGATGGTTTATGTTTTTGGGTTTTCCTATGATAGAGTGATTTGATATCATCATTGGACTTTTCTACACCCTGCCCTGTAAAGATTTTAAGGCTACCATACCTTTTAATAACACGAGGCGTATGGTACACCAAACAGTGGATGTAAGGTGTTACTCTATCGTAACCTTCTAGTTTAGATTGGAGGCCTAAGAATTCCTTTGCCCAACTTCGCGCATTCACGAAAAAATTGACAACCTGTTCCTCCGCTGGATAACGATTACTGATCACATTAAAGTACAGATTCCCAAATTTTTTCCAAAGCGATATTATGTGGACTTTTTCACTGATCTTTATATCGGATTGCTCGAGTTTCGTTGGCAATGTTCGAAGTAGTACTTTAACCTGATTGCCTGTCAGGCTTGTCCAGTCGAGGGCTGTCTTCTGGTCTCCTTTAGATTCTGATTTTGAGGTTTTAGGCCAAATATTGAAAGAGACCCCGCATGATTGTATTACTGTAACAAGATTTTTCGTAGTATCACCGATCAAATTTGTGCTCTTTCCACGACCTTCGAGAATACGTCCCTTTTCATCCACGCTGAGGACATCCATTATGAGATTTCTAAGCAAAATATCGATTACTCTAAGCAGTAAGTGAAGTTCGCACATCATTACTCTCTCAATAGGGATCAAAAGAAGGGGTTCAGCTATGCTTCCCATTGCCCTTTTCTTTGAAAGTTCAGCAAGAGAGTTCACGTCTCGCATCTTGTTATCCCAGAATTCCTCTGGCAATGTCATGTCTAAAAAATCAGTCTTGCTTGCCGGACAAGAGAAACACGCATACTTCGCATTAGCGGCGTTGAGACCTAATACTTGGAGCAGGAATTTCATATCACCGCCTAGAAAAAGTGCAGTCTTATAAACCCTGCCAGATGAAGATACGAATTCTTTTGTTTTTTCAAGTGTATTGATATCGCGAAATAGATCGGCAAGGGATATTTTAAGCGTTTGGTACGTTTCTGGCCCCTCTACTATAGCTATAGTTTCATTCCCCTCCAAAGACATGATGTCGTGATCTAGAAGTCCTACATTTACGATGATAAAGTTTTTGTTGTTGGAAACTTTTGCGCCATCGCACGACCATTTAATTCTAACGGGCACGGTTGGGGAGCTCAGTTCGTAGTTTTTTGCATATTTTGAATCGATCAATTTCGTCAATGTGTCCTGAAAGTTAAGTTGTGCTCCTGCGAGGTCCCCTGGTGTCTCGTTAATTACGATTGTGTCGTTCAACTCTGTCCGCATATTTTTGACTACACGCACCTTTGTGATCTCCGGGAAATGCATTGACAGTTCATGATACGCATGATCAGAAATACCAAATCTGTCCAGGACATGTAATAAGCCCCTGAGACCATCTTTTTCATTTTCGGTTAAGGTTTCATACGTTTTTTGAGAAATTAGCCTTAGAGTGTACTCATTACCCGATTGGTCTAAACACTGTACCCGATCGACCGTAAGTCCAAATGACTCAGTAAACCACAGAGCTTTCCTGCAATTTTCTATGATTATTTGTTTCTTGAACCGGTTGGTAGCAGAGTTAACGTTGTTTATCTTTTTACCTTTGTTTTCTTTTATGTCAAGTGCAGTTATAAGGCGATCGAAATTGTTTTGGAGTTCGTCTTTTTCGGACAATATAACTTTCATAAAGATGTTCATATCTTTCATTTTTTTCTTTTCATTGACTATTTCACTATAAAGCTCTGCGATATTCTCGAATTCCGAATCAAAGACGATAATTTCTTTAACTTTCCTGCTAATGGCATATTTTCCTCTTCCAGAGGATTTGCGTATTTCTGACTTCGCAACCATTGCCCGTAATCTAAGATTAGCCAGGAGTCTTTCCGACATGGGGTTGATTTTAACGCATGATTTTGGGAGATTATTATTTATTATGTCAATCATATTGAGTTTTTCGTTTGAATCTTCTTCCATTTTTATTTGGCACAGCTCAAAGTTTGTTAGAAGAAAACTTGACTGGCCCTTGCCATGTATAACCTCAACTGTGACCATAATTAAAATTAGCGTTTGAGTTTGAGATAATAATGACAACTATGCTGGATTCATAATTCTCTACTGATAAACTTGTGAACTAGATAGTAGAAAATCTTTCTGTGACGAATTCAATGTCAATTGCTTCATATGGCATAGGATGTCCCTTACAAAATTTCACTTTTAAAGTCATTCTCATTGGAAAGCTAATCTTGCGTCCGGACCGTTCACCTTTAAACTGGTCCCAGCAATCTGGAAAGTTCAAATGTTCAAAATCCTCTCTGCTGAACAGCCTGGTTTTCTCCACTGGAATTAAAACAAAATTGTATTTAATACACTTTAGTATGTTATATAGATAGGTGAATATGATGTTAACATGGAGATCCATTGTTATATATATGATGTTAACACAAAGATCAATGCCATATTGATGATGTTAACATAGAGATCAATTTGACATACTGTAGGTAATGTCAAGACAGAGTTCAATATCTTATAGGTTGTTCGGCCCTCAGTTGTATTGGGCAAACTGTCTGTATACTTTTTTATTAAGCTGATGATCCATAAATGTAATGCCTATGATTGCCATACTATTCAAAAATAGGCAAGGGTTTCGAAGAATAAAATTCATTTAAGAAGGGTACTTATGTCCTGGATGAATTCATGGCCAGGGACTGTCCAATGTACTAAATAATGTGACAAACACGATGAGATATACTAGTATGTTGCATTATACAATTAATATGAATATTGTACAAAGAATATATGTAATTATCTGGGTGGTCAGTATTATTAATTACAGCCGTCTAGTTTTAAATTATAAAAGAATTGAGTTGATTCCCAATTAGCTATTCCCAATACTGTATGTTTCGTTTCTGGGTTTACAGTATATTGTATCCGTACACTTCTATATTTTGATCTTTACTTACGTCCAAACAAATGACGAAACACATCGTGTCGAAATGCCACAAGGCCACACCTCCCCGTCCTTTTGCCAAGCCTCTCCCTTATAACAAAAAGTAGGTTGTCTGTGTTTGATTGGATAAGTTCGTTGTTTACAACTGGGTATCTGAAACATATCGAACGTAAGGTTCACATATCGATAGAGTAAACTTTGACATGTATATCTTCGATCAACGCTCGGAGAACCTGTACCAATCACCTGACATTAAATTTTTTTAGCTATCTGAGGCTGTTTTCTTTGGTAGGCACTTAATTAATCAATTATTAATTCATTAAAGTTTTCAATTAGACATCTCAACTGAATGCCTAATTCATTTGGATCATTACAAACATTAACAAAGTTGCTTTTTGAAAATATTGCTTCCAAACAATTTCAAGTCTGATTTGATGCCACTGGACGGGCACTGGACAAACAACTTGACTCTATGACAGTGGCTATTGGCTATGCAATAGGCCTATGTATGCGAGGCAACTGGCTCGCCAAAACTTTGCAGAAAAATATTAATTCAGACTGAATTGAAACTGTTAAAAAGTCTCATAATCATATGGAGGTCGAATGTATACCTGTATATGTATTCAAATGTGCTGGAGCATCTGCTGTTTAAGGGCTCCCACGTACTATCCCAAAGGCTGAATCCCTTCCACTTTACTAGATAACCTTTACTAGTTGACTGAAAAAGGAAAACCAGACTATTTGTCAAAGGTGGGCTACACGATTTCATTGATGAATGCTAAGCTAAATGAACAATGCACAGATTCCTGGGGCGCCAATCTACCTATATAGAATCTAGTATAGTTCGAACGATAAATAATAAATTGTGGATTTGCTGAAGTAAGGATTTCACAACCATACATCAATAACCCACGAAAAAAAATTTAGTGGATAGCCAGACGTAGACGGTTGCAAACTATAGACTTTCAAACCACCATCCATTGTTTATCGTTTATTTATCGTCCAAACTGTATGCGGCTAAATCTAATTCTATTTTATCAACTGTCAAATTATGATTTGAATGATTTCTGCATCATTTCAACTTCAAGTCCAATTCTGTGTTTGATTCAGTTTCAATCTCAGGCCTAAATCTGAATGAAATGTACCATTCATCAAAGAAACGTGACATGACTTACCTTTGTTATGATACGATCTACATCGTACTCATCAGAGTAGGATAATAATTTAATTTTACTGGGCCTAAGATCCGCTTTGTTTTGAAAATAAGACAGGAAATCTACTCGCACTCCTCTTGTTTTCATGATCTGGTTTACACTGTAAACAAGATTTGGCGCGACTTATAAAACCTCGCGCGGACGTTTTAGTACTCGATTACTGTAACGCTATTGGATCAGCGGAATCACGTGACAATAACAATAGGTTTAAAAGCACGTGGTAAAATGACGCTAAAATCTCGATATGTTGTGCATTTTTAATTCTCTTTTAAGGGGCAACAAGGACTGTAGAGAGAAAATTCGAATTTTTTTCTGAGCTATCAGGTCAATATTTGGCTTAACATCTTCTTTGACATACCCTTTTTCTTAAAATGTATGGATAAACGCTCAATTTCAACATTAAGAAGTGTAAATTCAGTTCAAAGCTTCTATAAAGGGAGTCCCACTTATAGATTTTTAAGATTCACCACGTTTCTAGAGGAATATCAGCTGAAATAATGTTCATCCAGGGGGTTTCTTTGTAGATAATAAAAATATGTGTTAGTCTTGATGAAATATCCAAACTTAAATATATTTTGACACTGGTCGATGATCGTTGAATGCCCCCCTGCTCTAATGGTTGCCCCTTTAAATACAATATAGTATAACTCTGATTCTGACTTAAACGTTAGGGGAAGATTTAAAGATTTTTAACTTTTCACCTCATCCTCTAAGTCACTTGGAGCAGTTAGTACAACAACACTATCACTTTTGTATTGAATGTCTTTTAACCTTATGGTAAACGTCAAAGAAATATACACCTCTTCATTCAGAATTGATCCATTCAAAGCTTTTGATCATGTGTACTCAGGAATAAAGTCCTTTCATAAATATATTGACGTTAGAGAAATATGACTGCGTATTCTTGTATCATCGAAAGTTACTATCAATGGGTTTTTGTAAGTATAAACAAAATATGATACTTTATTTACAAGTGCGGGTTTAATTCAAAGGAGTAACTCTAATGTTTTGGACCATCGTTCGTGATGTTGTATAAGTTATAACGAATGTAATGACGTACATGTGGGAATCCGTAAAAAATCGTAGAATGGAAAGGCAATGACGGATCAGAGCAAATACGCTATTGGCAAGACTTTGAGACACGCAACACTATCATAGAATCACCCAACGATAAAAGGTATGTGCAGTCGTGTTAAATGCAGATTATATATGCACCCTATGCAGACAGAGCCTGTGGGAAATATTGGGTGCGGAGCAAATGAGCGGAGGGTGCGGAGCTAACGGTTAGTTTTGAATTTAAATTTGGGATATTTCTGAAACTAAGCCGTTTTGGGACTTCAAATATACCAAGATATGTGTATTTGACACCAAATATCAATACAATTGTGAAAATAGTAGCGCAATTCATTCTATAGCGACGCAGTGTGCCTTAAACCTTTCCCAGACCTATATATTTTGAAATTATCCTTTTAATACTGAGTCCCCAGCATTCATAAAAAATGGTGTTCAAGGTGCACTATCTATACAAATTATTTTTGCATCTTGGAAGCCAGGCAGTATCTGTGTGATTTTATAAAAATTCGGAAATTTTTTCAGATATGAGCCCCCTCTAAATATTGGGTGCGGAGCAGCTCCACAAACGTAGCTCCGCACCCAATATTTAGAGGGGCTCATATCTGAAGAACATTTCCGAATTTTTATAAAATCACACAGATACTGCCTGGCTTCCAAGATGCAAAAATAATTTGCATGGGTAGTGTATCTTGAACACCATTTTTTATTAATGCTAGGGACGCAGTATTAAAAGGATAGTCTCAAAATATATAGGTCTGGGAAATGTTTAAGGCATACTGCGTCGCTATAAAATGAATTGCACTACTATTTTCACAATTTTATTGATATTTGGTGTCAAATACACATATCTTGGTATATTTGAAGTCCCAAAACGGCTTAGTTTCAGAAATATCCCAATTTTAAATTCAAAAATGACCGTTAGCTCCGCACCCTCCGCTCATTTGCGCCGCACCCAATATTTCCCACAGGCTCTGTCTGCATAGGGTGATATGGAGTTCACAAAACATTTGTATGTATGTGTGCCTTGCTCTTGTCATTTGCTTAATCTTGTATGCACTTATCTTTAACATTCATTTATACATATCAACTATTGATTCAAAACACAAGGGATTTGTAACTTAAGAAATGTAATACACAGTATAGAGATATGCCAATAACAAGTCGTTGATCCATAGGTAAAAAATCCAGGTCTTAGATTCCAAATAAACCATCCAGAAAATACCGTCACGATTGGACATTCGTTTTGCTAGAAATTATTAAATGGAACTGGTCTATATTGAAATGTCGATAAAGTATCCAAGCTTTGTAGCTAGAATATCACACAGTACTTTATCAGCCTTACACTTTTTTATGATTAATCACGATCTAATTTTCAATCAAATCATGTTCAATTATTGATAGGATTTTGTTTCCGTAACGAAAACAAAGTGCTCTATACACATGCATGTGGCTATTTACCAGAATGTGACGTTAATGGATCTTTTGTTAGACTAGATTTGAAATCATTGCCTGATTATGATGTAGATTATCTAACGTACGATTTTTTTTTTTTTTTTTTTTTTTTTTTGATGAATATCCCATGGTCGCTCATTTATATTTTCAGGTGTTTTACTGACTCTATTTATAGACCCAGAGGGATATCATATTTTTTTCAAAATACAGCATACAATAAGACGAGTGCTTTAACGAAAATGGACGCCTGTCCACAAGATATCGCTCCAAGATGAGTGATCGGGAATCCCTAAACGAATTCGAAAGATTACTGCCATTTATGATATACATGTATTGCTGGAGTGCCGAAGTGAAATAGAGATGTGCAATTTACACACAGCTGCGAGAACTCAATGGTAAAACAAACCCTTCAAGTAGTAAGTTCCATTAGCGATTCTCATTGGGAATGCAAAGTTTTGTTCATTCAACTCAGGTAAACTGAACTACTTCTACCAGAATATTGATTAAAGAACGCTGAATTAAACGATAATTGGATGACGTCATTGATTGGCTCCATGCACATTTAGAATCTGCTGCCAAATGATGTGACGCTTGGATTATTGGAAATCAGGCGTAACTGCAGTGACTCACGTAATTAGAATTGCCAATTTAGAAAGTAATATAAAAATATAAAATCTGATTAGAGATTGGAGTAAGACAACGAGTTGGAGACATGCAAAGATATGCGCAGCTTACCGATCGTTTCAAAAAAATGTGTAGGAGATTTGTTAACAAGAGGATCGACAATTAATTCTACATACAAAAGAAAGAACTTTAATATCAAATTGAATATCAGTCTCGTATGTTACTAAACATTTTGTCATAACAAATATCCATCGTCCTAGGTATCGTTATATCTAGTTTGAATGAGGAATTGCAATTAAGCATCTTATGTTGAGTCAACATAGCCTATTTATCTGGTGTATTTACAAAGGGAATTCAGTCCCTTTCATCCTGCGTTTACAATTCGATTTTGCATTTATCGGACCAGGAAACCATTTGCCAAGCCGTTCTCTGGTTTTAGTTACGTTTATCAGAAACTAGGAGCCTAAGTCTACTAAGTTTGTGAACAACAAATATTCGAAGGACAAAGGAAAGGCAACAGTGTAAGGAGAGACAAATGTCAGGGTTGTTATTTGTGAATTTGTAAAACTCAAATGAGTTGATAGAGCGGAACATTATTTGGAGTATATGATCATGACACTGCTCAATATGGGAGCAAATTTAGATGGATTTAGAATTTACACACAATAGGGATTAATTATACACTAGGGAAATAATGTGGAAAACACTTATTGTATATTAAACCGTGTACACTAATCTATATACACTATGGATGTATCTTAATGCCAGTGTAAAATGAAACACCGATGCTCCAATAATGACAAAGTCATCATATCCTTGACATCCTCGCTTGAACTTGGATGTTATTGAATTTCGAACTAACACTACAAATACTCTTGAAATGTATCACAGCGGAGCAAAACACCTAAAGACTAACTTAAGTGAAAGATCACAGGGGCAACAGATGCGTCCTGGAGAAATTCAAAATCTAGTTGATTTTCTGAAGGGTAATCAAATGCAACGAGAAACTACAGAAATGCGTATGAAACGACGAGATCCTTTACCGGACATTGGTAAAACAGCCAACCTTCGGAATATTGACCTAGACCGAGGTGTCAATATAAACATAGAGGAAACTCTACCCGATGACGCATATAATGAGCTTGAGTGCCAACAAAATATACAAGCTGGTAAACGATGTAGAACACCAAGTCCACCCCCTTCTATGCATATTTCTCCTCGAAGTCTAAACACAATCAACAAACCATCGGTGCTACCACAATCTCTTGGGTCATATGGAAACGAAATGTATTCAAAACGTAGCAGCAAGACTAGGGCTATAGTTGGATGTAGGCGACCAGTGGCTAACGTGCGACACCTACCCCCCATACAAAGAATAGAGCCCCCCGATAGACCATCGGCTCCAGAGCCGAGACCAGACATCGTCATTCCGTCAGTTGATGGCAATGATGATATCGATGAATTCAATGCCCAAATAAGCGGTGACTCTCACCAAGACAGCGCGATAACAATTGATGAGAACATCGACCGGTTACTATCTCCAATACAGGAACGCAATGACAGCAGTCAAGATGAATATTCAAATCACAAGACGGTGCATGCCTTAAGAAGGGAATTCTCTGATGTGACACTTGAAGCCCAAACCCGGAAATCTCAGTCTCAAATAAATACATTCCACAAACAAGGGAGAGAATCTGTCACTGGGATATCAAAAGACTCCGATATTGTAATCCGACCTGCTTCACCAAATGCAACAAGAACGCAAGAGACTGAGAGACCATGGGCCCCAGAGCCCTCCTCAATGCACTCTCCTGATATGGATCATGATGGAGAACCCATAGATTTCATTGACGTAAATTAATTCATGTACAGAAAAATATAAATAAATGTTTAGCTTGTTTAAAAGCTTTGTTCGAAAAATTACTTATATTTGTAAAATTATAAGGACAGTGTGTTATTAGATTTTGAAGGAAGAAATGAGATTTAAGAGACAAACCGAGAGTTTTATTCCCAGGGTTTTACTAATCTTGTTTGCTATCACCATTCTATATTTGCTTATTTTCTAAACTGCTAAAAAGGCACTTGACAAAAAGAAAATACGATGGATGTTTTTTTCTGGAATGGCAATGAGAAAACAGCCAGAAAAACAAGATGTCCACTCAAAATTTAAAGAATTTTGTAACTTGGTAATACGTCTAATATGTGAACGAATTTGAAAAAAATCTTACGATCGGTTTTCTTTGAATTGCGAACGTCTAAAATGGCCGCCATAAAACAAGATGGCCACCCAAAAGTTCGTAGTAGAATTTGAAGAAATGCGATGAACGGTTTCCTTGGAATGACGATGCCAAGATATGAATGTCAAAAAACTCAGTCTTAAAAACATGACAAGATGATCGCCAAAACCTTCAACAGTTTAACAATTTACTATTATTCAAACATCTGATTAACATAGTGAGAAATCATGGCCTTCTTTCAGAGTGTTTTGGTGTATGTCTTTATCCTGGTAATTACGTTTTGACAACCGGAAATTGATTTTCACTTCCGATTGTTCGGTGAGAATGACCTAGGTATTGATCACAGTTGGATGCAGAGCAAATCCATATTAGTGCACTAATTGCAATATCATGTTATTATTTTTATCAATAACTACTTGTCTAAAACGTTAGTTACATTAAAGGCCATAACTTTTTTTGCATTCAATGCACATATCCAATCACACCAAATCGCCCGCTCGCCAGCCCGCCCTTCTTTGTCGGTCGGTCGGTCGGTCGGTCGCTTCAGCAAAACTTAAAGGCCAGTTTTAAATTTGCTAGCAACTCTCATTAATTTATCAGGTTATGTCCACACTTTAACATGGCATAGAAAGTCAGGATTAGTTTAATTAAGAGCATTGCTTAATACTTGCAATTGATAATACTTATATAATTGAACAACATGATGAAGTTAAAATATAACTGCAGAATATAAACAACAAAACATTGAAAGATACACATAACAAAATTGGAAGCAATACATTTTTTCAATCAATATGAAATTTGAGAAAATCGACCAGCTTTATGATGATATCAAAAATCCAGTTATTTTGGCTGCTCCATTAGTCTGCCTCCTATTTATACTCCATGTCCCTCTTTAACAATGTGAAAATTCGGTGTGACCGTAGAGTTTTACTAAATCGTTCATAATCAGTATTCATTAAAGAGAGAATCAGATATAGCGAGCAGGCTAAACAAAAAATTGTTTCAATTTTAGAATATTTTTGGCTCATGTCACTCCTTGTCATGTCTATTGTCATGTATTTTTCACTCATTTTTGCACTTTGAATCATTAATACTTAAGTAACTTCACCAATTTAAAACATATTGTGAATCTTATGTATTTGATATTGCAAGGAATAGATTGGTAGGTCAATTATACATGTTGCTAGTAATTTTGTCACTCCCTATAGATCAGATTCTGCCTTTAATTAATTAATTAAGTTACAGAAACGGTTTGGGTTAAAAGTGCAGATCTTAACTGTTTTTCGAAATACAGTTTCTGTAACTTAAGTGAGGAATTAAATCGACGATCGTGTTGTCTCCTGAACTATTTGTTCGCAAATATGTACATTTTCTTAAACATATGATACTGATACACGTTTGTGTTAAAAAATGTCATGGGAATTCTGCCTACAACGTGTGGAATAAGGAAAAAAGAAAAATTGTACCTTCGATGTTCCGACATTTTGTTACCGAAACGGTACCAGCGTAATCGAGTGGATCACCAGTGATAATGTATCCTGGAGATTAAATTCTTTGCGCATTTTTATGACTTTGATCAATGTTGGGCGCAGACTAGATCCATCACCAGTCAATCCCGTCTAACTTAAAAACTGAAAAAAAAAACACATATAGCTTTCCTATGATTGTAGACCAATGATATTTCAACCGTACTGGAGTACACTTCTCAATATTATAGAACTTTAGAAAAACAGGTCAGAAATATGATACTAAATTAGAATCATCGCTTTTATAAATACTCATTGATTGCCCTAAACGCATCCATATAGGTATAATTGTCCTTTTTCAAGTTTTCGAATTGATGACAGTGATGTTTGTGTGAAATAGGCGTCTCTACATTGCGCAAGTAATAATTATAATTTCAATGAAGATTTTGTAAGGATATTTTCACATATTAAAACACTTCATGTAATATTAACCTCACAATTATTAAACAAAATAGATGAAGAAATGATGCCAGGAATGATATATATCCTGGCCGTGAATTAGTGTATTTTTGCATTTAACATGAACAACTTCAATTTTGATTTATGACTCCAGGTAAAAAGTCACCCTTTGCGAGAAGGTTAGGTAATAAATAGCTTGAAAGTCAGAATCATATTCTCACCATTAAGCCTTAGGATGAACAGGATGAATTTGATTGATGCCGTGGCACTGCAAGGTTGCTATTTGACCAATATATTGTTTGAACTCATTCATTTTGGTCAGTTAGTTTGGTTTCAAAAGTTTGCAACATTACCACAATTAAGGGAATAATCAAGTTTCATAACCAGCAAACAAGTGAGTATATAATTTACAACTATAATCAATTTCTATGATATTAAATGTATTACCGTGTATAGGTTCGAAACAATTTTTAGTTTTTTTTATTTCCGTATTTGAAATATGTTAGTAAGTTTGTATTTTATACGAAGTCGGTTTCTCAAATGGTACCATTTGACCAAGATAATATTGTTGACTGATTTCCCCATATATTTTAATCATATTTCGATTTGTTGTTTTATACATAGCACCATGTGGCTTCTTCCCCTTCTCTTCTCATTGGCCTTGGCCCTAAATGAGCGAAGTGGAAAAGGTGAGAAACATATATATGCTATATTACTTATTTATAAATATCTTTTTTGAGTTTGCCAATATTGGAATCAGCTGGTTGGATGGATAGTTTAGTACAAGTTACATCACCAAGGCATTAGAACATATTCAGATCGAAACCTTAATTAATGAAAAAAAGAACCAGATTATAAGCTTATATAGATAATATGAGTTTAATAAATACAACATGCACAAAATCAATGTACTTAATTATTTATTACAATAATTTTATCTTTTTTTCAGGAGTCGAGCTTGATGATGCTCTTCAAGGTATTAGTATTTACTGGTTACGGTATTTATTTACTATGTACTTTAATCTAAATTAGAATTTTGTTCCTGACCTGCAATACAGTGCGTATCAAAAAAAACGCAACAGATTGTTATCTCGGAAAAGCTCAAAACCAGTGATAACAGCATCGATTTCATTCAATGCACTATAAAGCCACGTGTCTCCTCTTTACAATGATATATCATTCATTGATATTTGGTCATGGTTGGGCGAGTAATCATTCCATTTGCAAAGTGGGCCAAAATTAGCTTTTGACCAAGTTATAAACATCGCAAAAGTCAGTGTACGGAGCCCGATGAAATTTTGCAAGAAAACATAAAACCAATGCTGACTGCATCCTTTTCATTCAATGTTCCAAAAAGCCAAATTACTCCTCTTTGCAATGGAATATCATTCTTTCACAGGGAGTCATGACTGGCCGAATAATCATTAATTTTGCAAAGTGGGGCAAAATTAAGCTCGAACCTAAGTTTTAAACATTTCAAAAGTCAGTACAAGGGGCATAGGGGCTATTGGATGAAGGTGTGACAGGTGTGGCATAGACTGAAAAGTGTTCATACTCATACTCTTGCAAGAATACATCCTATAACCCTTCCAAATTGCCACCACTTCCTTGCACATAAAGATGCGCTCATCTGTCCATGTCATGCATGGTTCAGCCCTGAGTCATCTGTGGGTTAAAGCAGGGAAAAGCAGCCCATGGGCAATTCTTTCTCGAAGTTTTGCAATATCTGGTGGAGGAATGGTGAGCACAGATGCTCCTGAGATAGCTCCAAAAGAAAAAGTCACAACAATTCAAGTCAGGGGAACTTCCATTGGCACTTAGCCCTTGCACTGAATTTTGCAATATCAAAAACTTGGTGCAGAGCCGATTTTGACCAACTGGACACATGGAAGGATTTCTCACCCAACCATTACCACATGTGAATGAATGACATATCATTGCAAAGAGGAGAACGTGGCTTTATGGTACATTGAATTAAATTGATGTAGTCATCACTAGTTTTATGATTTTACGAGATAACTAATTGTTGCGTTTTTATTGAAACTCCCTGTAAAAGTAAAACCTCTGTAACATTTGAAGTTATGTTGGTAATAATTGATGATAATTAGGCTTTTGAAACAGTGGATCAAAAATTCTGTTGTATCGAATCATAATCAATGAATTCAATTGACCAATTTGAAAATACAGATCAAATTAAATAATTCGAAACCAAGTAAAAATAATTGAATATGGTGTACTCCAACGTTCACTGGAAGAGCCCTTTTATTCATATATAAATGACAGACATTTAATATTTTATAAATCGAACATCATCCTCTATACTGACAACACAAATATTGTTATTACCGATGAAATATTGATATCTAGTCACAGAAAACAGAAAGCAAATAAATTTACTCTATATTTAAAAATAACTAAGTTTTTCTGACAATAAAAGAAAAAGATCCTAGAAAAACCAATTAGCATCATCGTAGTCCCGTCTTGTTGGAACCACTGTTCCTGCCCATCAATCCCACCGAGTATACCTAATGCCCTACAGAACTTAGAGAATCACAATTTAGTGTTCGGTGTTGTTTAGTGTCATCGGACTGGCATCTGTTTGAGTGAAGGGGCCTTTCCATTATTTCATCAGGTGCTTGGCTCCCCAAGAATATATCATTCTTAGAGTTTACATGTCAACCAAGCAGGAGGTGGACAGTGCGATTGTGCCCGGGAGCATGTTATAGTAACATTCAAATAAGTTATGGCGTATTTTTTGGTTTTGGTTAATGGTGGCCCGGTAAAATCTGTTCTGTGTCATTTTTGAAGGTCATGTGTTTCGGGGTCATTAAGGGAAACTTTGTAAAGTTACTTATGTTTCTCTCCCCTTGACTATCATCACAACGTTTTTGTTGTTTTCTATCAATCACCTTATTTTATCAGCTCTGGTAATTAAGATTCTACAGGTTTGCACAACTGCAAATATTTGAATATTTTTATTCCAGCTCTATGCATAACAGACCAGGGTTACTTAAGTGGGGACGAAGCTTTCCCGGATGATGACGAGGCGGATTGTTGCTCTTTTGTGGTATGTGATGCAGCTGATGGAAATAAGACTGGCTTTCTTGGCAAATGTATGGGTGGAACTGTGTGGAACGCTGATCTTCTTGTGTGTGATGATCCAAAATATGTTGACGGATGCGACCCGGCAACTTGTGACGGTAAGTGATGAAGAAACAAAAAATGGTGAACTGAATGACGGCAATCAATGATGATGGCGTATTTAAAACTAATGATATGGCTATTGCATGCTCTTATTTTATCTCACAAAATCATCCCTACGAGGAAGTGGACTTTGACATAAGAACTAAATAATAGTAATATTAGTTTAACATTGTTTTTTACAGTTCCCAAAAAAACTACAGCTCTTTGTGGTCCTCTAGAATCAAGTAAGTTCCATAATGCTCATGTATGAAATTATCACTTTCGTATCACTTGCTTGGTCATGTTGATAGTATAGGGTGACACAAAATAGACACACACCTTACATCGCATAACTTGTTAGTCCATTAAGATATAGACTTGTCATTTAATACATTTAAAGTAGACATAATGCGAAAGCACCTCAAGAAAGGTATAGCTCAAGTGGGTCAAATTTTATGAGCGTTACAACAGTTACTCTAAATATCGTTTCCTTTGCAGACACACATGGATTCTACACAAAAAATGCCACCCAGCTTTAACTTTGCCAACATAACTTTGTAAATACTTTTGATTTTGGCTTGTACTTTCAGGGAATTGAAGTCAATTCACAAAATAATGAAGTTGTCATTGATAAAATCATTATAACTTATAACTTAAATAATGTTAGAAAAGCTGGGTGTCATTTTTGTGTAAAATCCAGTTGTGCCAGCAAAGGAATAGACGACACCTTTTGTAACGCTCATAAATGTGCATCTAGGTGAGCTAGTCATCCGAAACTTCTTGTGGAGTTGAGAAATGGATTGCAGTTTTTATGTTTGAAAAAACAAGTCATAATTTCTTCGACAGTTCCAACGGTTAATTTTTGAATCATTAATATTTGATCATTATACACACTTTGATTACCTTTGATTTGCGTATACTTGAAGTGCCCCACACAAGTTTTTGTCGCGCCACAGTTGATTTTTGAAACAAGTATACTTTGCATTGGGCACCAACATTTTGATATGATCTGATTTGCGAGTACTTAATACTACACACATGTTTTTCACATACTTCTAGATCAGTGTTGTGTTGGAGGAAGAGAGCCTGTGTTCACCCTTGTTGATGCCTTCTTCAGCATATACAGTGTCTCTACTGATGGTGAGCCACAATTCTGCCCAGACATACAGGTGTTCAACCTAGAGGACTGCTGCTGCGAGTATGAATGTAAGGAAATTCGAGAAAACCTCAAGGGATTTAAGGCCGAGATTGAAGTCATGTTGCTTTTCGTCCAGTGTAATTCAATTTGGATTTCTCTCGATGAAAATCAGGCTATTTTGTTATAAATACCAAGACATCACAATTTATTTTTTATCAGATGTTACATTATCCTACACTTAGTGTACTAAATGTATAATAACATTAAAAAATAAATTTGATATTTATTGGCAAAATGAATATCCGGAGGATATCGTGATGATATACTCCGGGCGGAGGATATCGTGACGATATACTCCGGAAAACCCAATGTGCGGAGGATATTGTGGCGATATACTCCGCTTGTTGATTTCCTGCCAAATTGACTCTATTTGGCATGAAATTCATTTTGCTTTAGACACCAATATTGTGATGTTTCTGTACTTACTTTTCAAAATATTAAAGATAATCACTAATTTGATAATGGCCACCTTCATTTGCCTATATGATGTTTTCCCCAAAGTTAATTTTTTTGGCAAACCTGATAAATACCTTCATAAAACCCTTAAGGTGCTGATTTCACAATAAAACATCGTGTTTTTACAAATCGATACGTTCAGAAAATGACAAATGGACTAAGATGCTATCATTATTAGCTTTTGAACATGTTTTTATTTTTTATTTATTTATTTCATTCAATAATATTGTACAAATTACATTGCATAAAGTGGACGACCCCCTTTTGGGGATATTATTCACAAAATAGGATTTTACAAAATGAACTTACAAAAACATCTAGATGAATGACTGTCAATTTATAAGAATTGTGTGTTCCCAATGTACTGGCCTGATGAGCCTGTTTCCACAAGATAGGGAAACACTGTAAAACGTTCACAGGCTGTCGAGTAAAATCACACCTACTTCTCTCTGGATCAAAAATGGAGGTCTGCGTCCAGTATGATCTCGGTTCGTACTAGACGAAAATACTGGACGCGTTTCTAGTTCTACCCCCTGAATATGGCATAGCCATTGATGAAGCCTACAAATACCAATGCTTTTCCACTCAGACATGTCATAGTGGAGTGAATTTCTATGTTTAAAATTATCTCCAGCAGACACAGCAGAAGTGCTGTTCATTGATTTATGTTTGACATCTGACTCCAGACGATGAGGACGAAGTATGCGCTGAGGGCCCAGGCTTTTACTATGCTAATCCAGAAGATCCATGCTGTAGCTATCTTCAATGTTGGTCAAACAAGTAAGCCATGATCATTTGTATTTCTATGATTTGTAAAGTTTCGTGTTGTTTGAAATGGGCATAATCCCTAAATATACCAAATTAGAAAACCAGAATATCATACTTCTAAAAATTGTACTGAAACATACTTTGATATACTAGTTCTTTTATGTGACTATTGCTGGGCTTTAGTTCTGTTTTGACATCAACTTTACTTTTTAGAATCTGGCGATTTAAAAATCAATTGTCGCCGGAGGACAATAGTAGGTTTTACACTCAGAAATAACAAAACATGCTGCATGATTAAATTCAAATCCGCCAAATCAAAAAGTCAGGTTTGGGTCGCCGACATGACAATGTTTTTGGAGTTTAAATACGATTCCTCAAATTTTGAAGCTGATAGATAGATAAAAAGACCTATCAAACATACACCTTGGCGATTCACGATTCCTCAACGTATTTTCCTTAATTACAATAGTTGAGACTTTGATGGTTCATTAAAATTATCAAGCATAAACAGGCTTCGGCGAGTGATCCAAAAGGAAACCGGTTGTCAAACTTATGGAGGCAGTGTACAGTCGAAATGTAATTTCACTGTATTTCATCTGTCCAAATAAAGACAATGGGAACTGGTATGGGACAATGCCAGTACAAACCTCTGGTTTATCAATACTTGACTAATGGACGACTATTTTTGTAGCCATGAACAAGGGCTAGAGATACTCTCAACCATAAATTCCTATGTAATGATATTTGGTAATGTAATCATTTGTTTTCACCTGTTCAACCAGGAACTATCAAATAATTGTTGAAACTTTTATATTGATGTTTTCTAAAGGACCGGTTACGATACAGTGCAGTGTATGCCCCCGTCCGTGTGGAATGATGTGAACAAAACATGTGATATCCAAACCAATGTTATGGCATGCATGAATGTAATTTGTGACAGTAAGTATCCTGTTATGTGTTTGATAGATCAGGATTTCAAAATATAGCTCCTAACTTACATTCCAAAAGTAAAAGTGAATATTAAAGTGAACAGATCAATTTTAATTTCAATTATCCGTTTATATCGTTTCATTTATTCCTTTCAGCCCCAATGACGGACGCCCCATGTCCCCCAGCCGATAGCCTCGAAGATGGTAACATAAATTTTTTCATTTTAAAACATTAACATTTTTCTGTAGATCCTGTTATCCTCCCTTGTGGCGAAGACGGAATTTTTCTTTAACTGACGTTCGTGAAACATAAGACAAAATTTCCAGAAACAAGCAAGAGTCGAAATTGATTCGATACTTTTTTAATTTATACCTTATAAAAAATCATGAAAAATTTTGATTCGTAGATCAATGTTGTGTCAATGGACTCACATATAGGATGATTGACAACATAAACTACATGTTAGAAGATGAGCAACAGAGAGCCAATTGCTGCCCAGTTGATATGGCGGGGGAACAGCTGAATTTCAGTCTAGAGACCTGCGGTTGTGAATAAGATTTGGAAAATACAAAGAGCGAGAGTGAATCAATGTGTTTTCTCATTTATTTGTTCAAATCAAATGAAATAAAATAGTGTGCGTTATCACCCAATTTTGTTATAGATTGATAGCCTAAATCGGATCCATGGTTATTTGTTCACTTAGAGGTTTTTTGCCATCCTCGTACCCAATAAATGAAAATTGATGAGACCAAGTCCAATTTTAAAATTGGAAAATTCAAAAATAAAACAAGCTGTTCACTTGATTAACCACTAAGATTGGCCAATTTCTTATTGCTTCTTATTGAGCCATGCTACTTTTCCCTTGGTCTAAGAGTCAAATGGTATGTTGGAAACTATTCGATGGTTCCGTTGATAACGTCGAAATACGTTTTACGTCGAAATAAGCCGATGAACTTTCAAACCGAAAATGGTCCTTTTGGTTTGGAATTCACCATATCTGCTCACTTATCAGTCATAAATGAATGCAAAGACTCATGCGTTTCGAATTCACAGCCTGATGGTGGATTTTTAAGCACAATTCTTGTGTTAAAATATTTAATTTTTTAATTTCATCGATCAGAAATGAAGCAATGAGCGGTTTAAGGATTTAAGCCTTGGACTCAGTCAGTGTGGATTGTGGAATGACCATTCCTTGAACATGTTGCTAAACAAACTTTGCACGAGATGCGCAGCATCGAGTATTTACTTTAGGAAAGGACGTCTGAGGAATGGTTATTCCACAATGCATTGAGTCTTGGTTGGGCTTAAAATTTTCACGCATTGCAAAATAGTTTGTACTGTGTCACTTAAAAAATACAAAATCACTATAAGGACAAATTTTCAATGCTTTTTGCAAGGTTCAAGTTGGCAAAGCATCAATTTCAATAAGTAGAGTCAATCCGTCACCTTGACAACCACATAAAGAATGGCCTTGGATGCGGTGATTGGTAGTATAATGCTAGATGCAGTTTTTTTTAAATTTATTTATGTCGCTTTTATTCCCATAATAAAATGGATTAAACATGTAAACATAAATCAATCAAACAATACAACAATAACCAAAACATATACAACATTTATACACGTAATAAACAAAGAACAAAATATAACAAAACAAATAATTATAAAAGTTTACAAAGTTAAAAGCAAGTAAAAAATTGCACCTCTGGGGTTTTAATTGCACGTCATAACTCAACGGTTATAGCTTATTGGAACGGTGTGTTTAATTCTACATTAGAGTTTTTAATTATATTGCTTAAGTAAGGCAACACTATGTTTATCGTTTTCAAATTAACACAGTCGCTAAAACAAGAAAGGCCTTTCACTGACACTGGAAGAGGGGCTTTAACGAATTCTCTGAGAAAAATCCCAGCTTCAGACTGACCTATAGCCACAGTGATTCTATTCAGCATATTGTTTCGTTCTGGAGCAGTTTCCGTGCACATTGCTGCTCTGTGTGAGATAATGTCTCCCTCTAGTGCTCCACAATATTCACAAAGCTCAGGTTTATTTGGGTCAAGTGGAATAGTTAGAAACTTTGCTATGACAGTTGCATATTTAAGAAGACCGGGAATCCTTTTTGAGTACAGCCATAGTGGGTTTGGTTCTAGATTGTTTTGTATTTGTCTTAATCTAGTAAAGCTATGATCATTTTCCGTTCGTGATTTCCATTCGTCATTTTGATGAGAATTTATGGCAAATTTGACGATACGTTTCCATATGTGTTTTGGAGGGAAATACCCTGTATCAATGTATTGATTTAATGACTCGATTTCATATTTAGCTAATATCCTTTGTATTTCTGGAATAAAACCACGTTGTGAATTTGAGGTCTCATTATGATGGAGTCTCATTAAGAAAATCTGTTTCGACAATTTAGCGTTATCTAGATGAACCAATCGTCCTAGAAATTGTAATTTCCTCATCTCAACCATAGATTCCATCGTATTAATACCAAGCATTCCCAGGGAAATATCAGTTCGAGTCCATTTGACTTGGTCCTGTAAAGCTTTTGTAATAAATCGTTCTGCCTTCTCTAGTCGTAACGCCTGTGCGTTCGTGAAGGCCTGTGAGTGGGTTCAGCCCTCGGGGGTGCGTCCCTGCTCCTACGAGTGATGCAAAAGTGCCTCTTAAAGACTGACACGCTGCATTAATTTTGACATCTGATGAAAGAGAATGGCTATACATATTACCTAAATGCTAATTTCATCAACTTCCTGAAGTTCCTGTCCATTGGTTGTTCCCCATCTTCTTTGTAACTTACATTGAGGATGCAATCGTGGTGATTCGCCGATTGGCTGTGCTCGGATTGGCTGGAATCGGACACTCCTTGATTAGCTATATATATGTGTATATGTTATGTTATGTTATTTTATTTACCATCTACAAGATGAGTACATACATAAATATGTTACAAAAATAAATATACGAAAAATACTACAAGTTATAGGTAAGTTAGATGAGCAAAATTGATATGCTCATATGTCAGAGCATGCTATTATTTACAAGGATTTAAGAAGGTAATCCCTTCTTTTGTGCATTTCATATATCGTGTCCAGCAATGGAAGCATTATTTCAGGATCATATTCGCTCCCTCCACCGAAAATGAAACATATGAATTCACAAAAGTTGCTGACTCCTAGTTTATATAATTCACTGAATAGATTGTATCTTATATCTATATACGCTGGCACAACGGGAAACACTATCTTGTAAGCACTATTAAGAAAGAATACGTTATGTGTTATCCATAATTCAAACATGACCGTGCTCTATTCGAATTTCTCAACCAATCAGAATGCAGCATAGCCAATATAGAACGTTCTCTAATTCTCCATAGATGCACGACCATGCATGTAGAGTGACGTCACATCTCAGCTGCACATCTGGGGCTCTGTCCGGGGATAGCTGTTCTTTTTTACTCCCTCCGTAACTACTGTAACTATTTAACTATGGCTGACTTCAAGTGAATAATCTTAAACGGGGAGTAAAATAGAACAGCCCAAAGAAATTCTAAAATTTTTCCGGCCGACTTCAGAATCTTGACAGCATGCGTATTCTTCCTTCATGCCCGTTCCACAGACACGGCTTTTACTAATTTTTATGTTTGAATCGGAATAAATAATGATAGGCCATTCAATATGGTGAAATTCAGCACTCGTTGGACAGAATGTTAGTACAAATGCACTCACCTTCGGTTCGTGCTTTGTACAACATTCTGTCCAACTCGTGCTGAATTTCACCATATTGAATGGCATATCATTATTTATTCCTTAAGTAATAATCACGACTAACTACTAATTCTCAGGAATAAAAAGTTCACACTATTGAGATAGATAGAGTTTATCCTCGGACCAGTTACGTCTTATCCGTGTGTCATATGACTACTGTGTTAATTAACTAAGTAAAGTATTCCAATTAAAAAGTGTTGTATGTTTGCATGCAGCAAGCGTTTAATAATTCTTCGCACATATAAAATTGTCCATAAAAGAGTCTGATATATAATATTGTCCATAAAAGATCGGTCTGATAATTACAAGTAACTCATGTTTATTTTAAAACTATTCTTTACGAATTTATGATAAGTGTATAATGTTCAATCATACAAATGCGCAGTCAGTGATTGTTCTCCACACTCACCCCTCCCCCTTCCTGACATGAACTATTTTGTAAAACCATTAAAAGTGTGGAAAGGATTCTTACCATTGAGTGTCAAGGGGGGGGGGGGGCAGTTATAAAAATATACAAGGCGATGGTTCAAATTGGACAATTTTCAAAACTGCTCAACATGGTGAAAACTTCACGTTTTTAAAGAATGCTTGCCCGGCGAGTGGTTTGCTCTGGATTGCGAGAGAACAAAAACTTAGGATTTTCCTAATACTATCATTAATCTAAACAACTTTTTAAACGTGATTACTCATCATTCCTAGATGGCCTGTCTTTACTGTAATCAAGATGCTACCTAACCGCAGTTTTAAAAGGGATAAGTAATTTATCTTTTGTGATAATATAATACTACTTGTTGATTGGTTTGCCAAATATAAGACCCCGTCATAAGACCCTTGTCTCTGATTGTGAAACATGTGTATGCATCAAATCCGAGGAATATTACATTATGTGAAACCATTCCAAAAAGTTTTGTCTTGAACTCAATCAAATAGCGATATATTTCAACATGTGGAAATTATTTATTAACGTAATGTCAGGCACTATAGGTTAATGGGTTTTCAGTTTTGCTCTTTTTTGTCACGCTTAAATTGTGTGCTTTATTTTTGGGGGATTTGAATTTGGAAAGGTGAATTCACGATCCAATAAAGCTTATAGTATCAGTTATTGACAGATGCATCGAGGTAGAGCCACCGTTCAAAAGACATAAACATAATTCTGTCAAGTGCAAACCAGTTTTAAATGTCTCTGTTTAAACCTACATGTAGTAAAGTTTACAACATCAATGGATATAATTACAGTCACATGTACTTTGTTATTAAATAGGATAGTTTCTAAATAGCAGAAAAATCAATGAAATCTCGTGCTGTCATCTTTTATTCAGCTTTTAACTCGGGCCAGAGCTCCATTCATTTACATGCTAAAATCTTGGAAAAGTGGCTTAATTTCATGATTTATCAAAGTGTGTTTGTTGAATCTGTATAAAACCTGAATGATATACCACATGATGACCCTGTTTACGTACATGTTGTGATTAAACATGCAAATGTTGATTGACATACAAATAATCCACGGATTTAAAGAATTTTAGCATTGCATCCATGGACATTTGGTCCAAGTTTTTTTAAATTGTTATAGAAAATTATTCAAATTACATAACTGTGTAAATCAAAGCTATTGATATATCTATATTAATCAAATGTCTGAGAATTTGATGACTGTCTGGAATCCAATGTTAATTTTATTGAATCAAACTAAGAAAAGTATAAAGAATAGATGAATTTTAAACTTTTAGAGGGAAAAGTCAAATATGCATTGTAACCCTAAAAATAATTCATTAAAGTGTCGTACACATTTCATAACATTTATATAAATAAAACAAATAAAGCAAAACTCTATTGCGCTAATGAATTCATATCGGCGCAAACGGCCCTTGCAA